TGATTTAATATTCTATATAATATAATAAGTATAATAAAGAAGTATACGATTATAATTTTCAATTGACAGACAAGCATAATAGTATGTCAATATAATATTCTTGTACATATTCATGCAATAGTATTTCATTACTTCTCCATATAAAAAGTAAAAAATATTGCATCAAACAACAAAATATAATAATAAATGAAAGCATTACTTTTGAGTCGACCAAATTTCTAATCTATCGTAAAAAAAATCATTATCAAACTTCATTGGAACAATATAATATTTAAGTTAACAAATTATTTAAATTATTATTATTTTATAATGATCGTAAATATTTAAATTATTGAACACGTTAACTCATTTTTTAATTCGTAAACATTTCCCATATAATGAAAAGAAAATTCAAGACGCTCAAATTGTTTGAAGTAGAAAACTCGCATAAATGAAACAACAATTGAACATACATAATCGAGACGAAGTATGGAAGAACACAATGATATACTACAGTATATAATTAGGATAGCTTAATAAGCCAGACCTGTTTTTACCAAACTAGCTTGTAAGTTTATGTGAACAGTTTGAATAAATATGCATTTAATATTATACAGATACCATTTATATGACTCATCTTGCTAATTTTAATAATTTTATTATAATGAACATTTTTATTTTATTTCAGTTACTTATTAGTCAATTCGCAAAGACCATATATTGTTTCCTTTGGACTTTAAGAAATTGGGATCGAAAAAAATACATTCATCATTTAATAAAGGTTTATTTCAGGGGTGATACTCATATTATTCTGTACTAATAATCTTTCTCAATTATTAATCTATCTCACCGGTAGTCTTTATTAAAGATGCGTATGTTTTATTTGTTACCATTATTTTCTTGTTTTCAATAATAAGCATCCTAAATTCCAAATAACACTATACTTTGTGGAAAAGCTACATGAACGGTAATTATAAAACCGAATAGCAACCATCGCAGAAACGAGGTGGAAAAGTTTCAGAAAGGTTTTAGCGACCTCTGAATGTCCGCTTCGGTTTCAAAAGGTGAATCATTGAAACGTTTCAATCTTGATCTGGAGAACGTTGCAGCAACGTTAGTCGGTAATGTTTTTGCAACCTGTCTAAAACCTTCCTACAATATCTATAAACGGGATTTTCAGACTGGTTAAAAGATGGATATATGCATGCAACGTCACTGGAAAGTTTAACAAATTTTTTTGAAAAAACAATTTCTTTATGCCTTCAAAAACTGAAACGTTTCTACAACGGCAAGAAACTTATCGACAACGAATTTGAAACGTCACTGCAAATTTGCATATACGTTGCAAAAATCAATTAAAAATAAAAATAACGAACAAAAAACGAATAAAAATAATAAATTTATCTAAAAATAATAAATCAAATTGAGTAATAAATTGAATAGTATATCTTAGTATCGATATCCTTTATACCGATTACCCTAGAAACCTAGAAAAACTTCAATAGTTTCAGCATAACAAAAGCCTCTTTTTTTCGTGAAGTAGGGGGTTGCTGAGTTTTTCTTCCACACCGACTATGTCGCAATATAATAAAGTGCAGAGCTAATCTTGAAAAAATCTTAAATTCTTTTTGAATTCATAATACAGTCAAATTTTAATATTAGACGGAACGTTATTTTTTTAAATAGCAAACTTGAATAAAATAACATTTTTTATCAAGACTGAACGTTAAAATTAATAAAAAATGGTTTATTTTTATCATAAATGTATTGTAATTGACTTAGATTTTCAATTGCTATTTATTGTACATATTATACAAAGAAAAATATGCACTTGTTTCCGTTAACTATCATATATACGCGTACCTTTTTAATGGTTTCTGATGCAATAATTTTAATATCATTATCATATTAACTTATACAATTACGTAAATTGGATTCACCTTAAATTATGATCACATTAAATTACGGATTCACATTACATAAAATAACATGTAATACGATCCAAAAGCAAGTGCAAGAAAATTAAAAAATAACATCACGTAGATGTAAGTTGCTTTTTAACTTTATCTCTTTTAAGTTTATCACGAATGCTTTTGATATGAGTAGTATTTATTTTTCAACTGGGGCAGCATTGAGTTAAAGCACCATCTCTTTAAATAATTTGGATAAATTCTTTGCCTTTTTCTAGTAACATAGATATGCTAGAAATAGTATCATCAAATATATTATTGAATCGTCTGAAAAAATGTTTCGATTAAATTAATTTCATAGTTTGTTTGAACAACTTTGATTTACGTGATTTGAGTTTAAAAAAATTATAATACTGTATTATACAGTAAGAAAATATTTTTTTATCAACTAACGAAACAGTAATTATTATTAGACACAAGTAAGTTACTATTTTTAATAGCAAAATATTGGTTAAATATACTAAAATGTAGTACAATCATTGTAAAATGAATAAATTGAAGACAATAACAGTTAAATTGAATTTATTCGTTGCTCAGTACCCAATAAATAAATAATTTTGAACCCGTGCCTAATTTTGATACCACATCAGTAAGGGACTTTCAACATAAGAGCCATCGGACATCGGCAACAGACGTGCACGAAGGTGTAAAAATGAATTAATTGTTTGACATTTATTCGGAAAATAAAAATAAATATTGCACATGGTCTTTTCAGACTACGCAGAAATCTTTGATAAGATAATGACAAACAAGCAATTTGTTTTATTAACTCAGTATTTGTCCAACATCCTATCTCCGATGTCCGATGGCTCTTATATATAGGAAGTCTGAGCCAATCAAATCAAACGTTTAAATTTCAATCGTCCACCAACGATGGCTGTTCGAAAGATATCTCTCGGGTCCCTAAAAATTATTTCACCAAATTAGTGTGGTTTAATCCAAATTCCCAGTTCCAAAGATAAATTTTCAAACTTTGTCTTATGCTCGATCAGTGTCGTACTTACTGAAGTGTAACTTAATTCGAATGCTGACGAAATTTGAATTGTGGTGCATCGGAGTCCTCAGGCACCCACAGCCATTAAAACGAAACGAAACGAACGAATGCTGACGAGCTTTTCATTAATTAGTCGTACAAGGTATATGAGTGCAACCTTTTGACATATAACCTCTATATCTCTAATTCTAAAATAAGTAAATAAATAAATATTAATTAAAAAGTATATTGCATTTACCTGGTCAATTATCAAAGAACACAGTCATAACTCAAAATGATTTAATAAATATTATACAATAACCTACAATTCTTTAATCTAGCTTTTTACTACCATAATTGGTATACTTAATTATTAAATGTTAAATTTGATGAAAAGCTCGTCAGCAGTCGATTACGGTTGAGTATAGCTCAGCAAGTACAACACTAGATCGAACATTATACGGCGATACGGTTGCACAGTTTGAGAGTATATCTTTGGAATTGGGAACTCGGATTGAACCGCAATAATTTGGAGAAATAATTTCTAACCAAGCACAATCAATGAATGTTGGAGTTTGAAAAATTTTTTTTCTCTATCCTTCTCGGCTTCGCCTCGGCCGTCATACCACCTTCGTGCGAAAGTTCCATTTTCCCCCCTTGTAAGAAAATCTACTATTAAATGGCCCTCTCCGAGCCCAGGCCTTTAAAGGAAAATCATCCTTGAATATTCTGATTATTTATAGAAAAATAATTACAAAAAATAAAAAATTTTTAATAGAGAATTCAGATCAAATTATTTTGGAAAAAAACCCGTTTTTTTTTTTATAAAAAAAGAAAAAAAATGAATAAAATTGAAAATAAATGTGAATAATTGTTCTGAAATATAAATACATGTATTAAAATCTATAAACCCTATTTTCATACGTTGTATTAACGTTGTATTAATAAGCAAACTATTGAAATTTGAATAAAATTACAAGTTGAATAAAAAATCATTCACTACGACAGTTTAAACTAAATATACATTAGAAAATCTGTAAATTTTGTTAGCGACTTTCTATATAAGAGCCATCGAACATCGGACGTAGGATGTTAATGAATACTAGGGTAAAAAAACGATCGTTTATCATTATTTTACCAAAGATTAGTACATGATCTGAAAAAACCATGTGCAATATTTATTTTTATTTTACGAATTAATATGAAATAATGAATTCATTTTTACACCTTCGTGCACGTCTGATGTCCGATGTTCAGTGGCTCTTATGTAGAAAGTCCCTTATTCATCAACTTCATGATACAAGACACGTAATAATCAGTAACACATGTTACAATTTTATCATCATCATAATTTACTATAATCAAAAATCCAATTAAGGAACTATAAATATGGCTTTCCACGATTCTTTCACTCATATTACCAATAGAAATGTCATATAACATGAATAATAAATTGTAAAAAGTGAAATGTATTAAAATTAAAACGGTGTCATATATTATTTATTGCATCGTTCAATTCTTGATTTGAGTGATTTTAATGAAGAAAATTTAATGAAAATTAGATAGTAGTTAAAATAATATAGAAAATCAAAATAAATGTAATAGTGAATTCCACATTTTTTATTTACAAAATAGCAACTTTTTGGCTGTATTCAGATATTTACATCTTTGATTCACTTTAAGTTAAAAATTACTATATTACAATTATAATTATCGGAATTTTTTAAATTAGAATTATTCGTAAAATTTCTATTGCGTCTTATCAGACAACACTACGATAAACTTATATCTTCTTTTTCATGGGAAAGGGAGATAAAAAATTTCTAATGAAAAATTGAAAAATATATTGAAGCTAAGTTACTGTTGAAAATATTTTCATATAACTTTTATGGAATATAAACATAAAACAAGATTAGAAATATAAATTTTTTATTTAATGAATTAAAAAAATCACATATATATTTACCATTATGAAAATTATATGTATATATATATACATATATATATATATATATATATATATATATATATATATATACACATATATACATTTTAAAAAATAATTTAGCACACCACCACTTAATATTTAATTTATAAAATTAATTCACAATTTTTTATCCTCTTCATTTATAAGAAAATTGTTAGCTAGAGCATTAAATTCATCTGCATATTTTAAATGCGCGTTATGCCTACCGTCGTTGAATATTTTAAGTCTGAAATTGGAAATTTAGTTTGTTGTGAATATATAATTGAAATCTATTCTTAGCAACAAGAAAGACATACTTAGAATTTTTTATGTTTGCTTTTATATAATGAGGATGTTCTATGGGAATGATTATATCTTTTTTTCCATGTACAATTAAAGTTTGACTCTTTATTTTACTCAAATCTCCTTTACATATGTCACCATTATTATTTTCCACAATAAATCTCCTTGCATCAATCCAACTGCTTAAAGTATCTTGCAAATATTTCTCTCCATAAATTGTTATTAAAGATCTTCTCACTCGTTCTGACCATGTACTAAGATCTTTTGATACTAAAATTATTATTATCAGAACATTTATATATAATTTTCTTTTAGACTAAATTATAGTTTTCATGACAAGTTTCAATTACTTTCATATAGTGCCATTTCTTGAGGTGTAATGTATGTATGTGTTGCTGTAACAATAATTTTTCTAACATTCTCAGGATATGTTGCAGCAAGAATGAGAGATGTAATCCCACCATCACTCCATCCTATCAATGAAAACTTATCAAAACCCAAAGTTTTCATAAAATTACATGCCCATGTAGCATCTCTTCTGTGAAAGTTTTTGGGAAATGTTCTATTTGGTGGCTTAGACTTTCCATATCCAGGTGGATCCCAAGCAATTATTGTCAGCTTTTCTTTGTTAAGATTATCAATTTGAGGTTTGAAATCAGTCCATATGGTGCCTGATTGAGTCAACAAACAAGAATTTGTAGATATTCAATGTATATATCAAGCTATTATACATACAATGTTTATACCCATCATTCCTGGTAGTAAAAGCACTGCATGTTCTCCTGAACCAGTTTTTACATAATTTATATCAACTCCATCTACATTTACTTTGTACTTTCAAAATTGATATCAATGGAATATTTATTACATAAAAATTGAAAACACATTATTTCATAAAAATATAAATGATTGTATATAGTAACTTACTTCAATTGCAGTTGCTTGCGTCGATAAATTATTCTTTATTTCTACACATTCAAATTGTAATTTTTTTATTTTTTTACTTTTTATCAAAATGTTTGAGAGACGCTTCATCACTGTTGACATCATAATTGTGAATATTTTTTGTTTGCTATCACCTTAAGCGTATGCAGATGACAATTTATTATGTAAGCATGAAACAGACTATCTATAAACGTGAAATATCTTATTATCTTTTGAGATTGGTAGTTACAAAAACATGGCTACCAACAAGCTATAAGGAGTTTATTTAATTTTATAGTATTTTCAAGACCATTGAAATGCTTTTAAACAGAAAAATTTGTTTATTTTATTTTTGAAAATTTTTTTTTATTCAATCTAGATATAAAAAATACATCGTCTCCATATGTTAGCAATTATGAATAGCGAATTACTTGCTAATCTTAATATACAAAAACATCGGAGAAAAATGTATATAATTATATTTTTGTCAAATTTACAAAATTTATTTATTAAGATCTCTTTACAGAAAACAGTTTAGAAACTATAAAATATAATATTTTTTAAATTTTATTCCTATGCCTCATGGAAATTCACATTAAAATAATTATTGATTCATCGACTTTCATATAACTCTTACAAAGAGAAAAAGAGTCACAATTGAAGATCAAAGAGATGTGATTTTTGATTTACAAACTATATAATAACAATTTTTAACTCAAGAATAATAGATTCATAATTAGTAACAAACAATAATTACTTGAACTGAAAACTCAATATTCAGGCAATATAAACATATAGTAACTACCTTTTGCCTCAAAACATGACGTGTTGACTGACAAAGGAACGTTTCCAACTTTTCGCCTCCGATTTTGCTGAAATTTGGATATGTTATAGCTAATTAAAAAATAAAAAAAAGATACGTGTATTTTTTTTCGACGGAAAAAACTTTCTAAGAGGTGAAAGCCATCTTCGAAAATCACCTCTCAGAGCAGTTTTCTATAAATACTTTTGGTTTCAATTAATATTTTTTAATGAAACAAAATAGAAGCCAGTTGCTTTTTCCTAAGAAAATTTGTTCCATTTTGTTTCATTGAAAAATATTAGTGGAAACCAAAAATAATAATAGAAAACGGCTCTGAGGGGTGATTTTCGAGGATGGCTTTCACCTTTTAGAAAGCCTTTTCCGACGATAAAAAAAAGAAAAAAAAACAGGTATCTTTTATTTTTTAATTAGCTATAACATATCCAAATTGTAGCAAAATCGGAGGCGGACAGTTGGGACTGTTCCCTTGTGAGCTTACCAACATTATTAGAAATGCTGATGTATAAAATTATTGAAAGTTTACACAACACTACTACTAAATTGTATATACTGACAATTACGAGCTAATTAAAGCAATAGAATTTGATAAAAGTAAAAAAACAAACATAAATAACATTGATAATTTAAATTTGACAACAATAACACTTTAATCTTTCTTAAACTATTCTCAGAACAAACCGTTAACTTTCCGGAAGTAAAGATACATTTTAAAAAATTACTTGCCAGCCTTTAATAAATAAAGAAATTAAAAGTTAACACAAGCTAACAAATCTTTCTACGCGTAAAATGTTAAATGACACAAAATAGTATACAAACGTAATTCATTTCAGTGACGTTATATATGTAAGATCTTCCATATGATTTCAATTACATGGTCTCTTTTTATGTAATTTTAGTACTTTATTAAATCACTAACACCCTTATCAGGGGGATAGAAAATAAATAATAAAGAAAACTATATAATCAACAGAAGAAATAGTCAGTCTCAGTACAGCATAATCTCGTGATAGTTCTGTGTCCGAAATAGAAAAAGAGAATAGAGACGAAAGAGATGTATTTAGGTATAATATTTTTTATATTCAACTCGTGATGGTGGTTTTTTTCATTTGATTTTTTTCATTTGATTTTTTTCATCCAATTTCATCAAATTTTTTTCATTGAATAAGTTTCAGTAATATAGAAGCAAAAAATAAATTCAATATTAATAAAATAAATCTATTGGATACATTAAAGATGATTTTGTTGAATAAAAATATATAATCTATTTGTATAATAATATTATAGTAGGGGCGAACTACTGGTACATTCAATCTTTTCTCTCTTCTTTTTTTCTTTCAAATTAAAGAGTTCAATTGGGGATTTTTTTTAGTAATGTTGTGATAATCTTATGTTTAGATTATCAGCTAATTTTTTTTAAGAGACGAGGCGGGAAACTGACGATTATTGATATTCTAGTGCACTAACATAGTTCGAAAAACCTGATATTTATATTTACTTTGTTTTATAACAAAGTGATCCTGTTCATACGATATACTTATGTACATTATGTAAATAGGTCCAATACGATACAACTTTGTATATTTAGAAGCTACATTAGTTCTAAAGGTCAGATTTATTAAAACGTTTTATGCATAATGTTTACCAACCACTTCTTGTAGTAGAATTAGTGTATTCTCATACACCAGTTTTCGATATAATTTATACTCTATATGTGTATATAATAATTTATACTGTATACATAGTATAAATTATTATATATAAGTATATACTACATTACAATTATTTTTCCTGAATTATTTTTGTAAACATGAACATATTTCAATTACATTTCCTTATAAATTACTAATCTCTGGGAAGTGCTTTGTATGGAAGATAAATATCACTACAAATTATTTTGACATTATCTATACGCATATGATAATCAATTAGATTGATATTCAATAAGATTGAATATACCAATGATAATGACTGAGATAGAATATGCAGAAGACAATTCATAAGATACTTTTGGATTGTTTATTAGATATATAATACTGTACATGCTATACGTTACTATACTCTTACATTTAATTTGAACATTAAAATATTTATAAAAAATATTTTATAAAATATTTATTTGAATATTAAAAAGTTGAATGTAAATGGATTTTTAATTTAAAAATTTTTATCTTTCATTTTTCTTATTCAATCAAAAAATAACTTAAAATTACTATATATATGGTATCCCAATGTACTAATGTATTTAATGTACTACTGTATCCTTTTACAAAGTTTTATTGAATAATATATATGCATGAAATATTTATAAATGATTTTTGTAACCCTTGTTCATAGAAAACTTCCATACTAATTTCTATTTTTATTAAAAGATTAGTGATGTCAAACTATGTTGCAATAGATTTTGTATTTTATACAGCTATTCGTTAGTGGAACAAAATTTTATCTTCACAAGTCTGGTATGGAAAAGGCCATACCTCAATGTGTGTTTTCTCTCATTTTCTACTGTACCTAAATCTTAATATTTAGTACTATAAATACCAATATTGAGAATGAAAGGAGAGAAGTATTCGTATGTAGCATTTTCTGGACTGGATTTTAAAATATCATATTTTTTCTTAATTGAATCAATAAAGACCTAATAAATAGGATGTAAAAATATATTAATTGCAAAGTTTTATTTATTCGTTTTTATAGATTCACTCTGTGTTCACTTAAAAGAAGATTTCACAAAAAATATTTCAAAAATTGCCATTTTATAGTTTACAACTTTACACCTTGTTCAATTAAGACAGAAAATATTGTTATCCCATATTTTATAAAAAATCACATTTTTCATATCACTTAAAGTCTTACATTAAAGAATAAAAGCTTTATGTTTACCGGAATCGTAGCTTTGGATCCTATTAATCAAGAAGGTAGTTATAAGCCATGGTATTGAACTCATCTGAATATTTTAAATGTAAGTTATGGGCTCCAGCTTTAAATATTTCAAGTCTAAAATACAAAAAAATTATAAGTTATAGCATAGAAATCTATCAGTATGATTAAATTTATTTTTCGAGATAAAAAAGAATAATACTTGGAGTTTTTTATGTGTGCTTTCAAGTAGTCAGGATGTTCTCTAAAAACCATTGTATCTTTTTCTCCATGTACGATGAGACTCGGACACTTTATCTTGCACAAGTCTTCTTTACAAATATTACCATTATTATTCTCAAAAATAAATCTCATTGCATCAATCCAATTACTCCAAGTGTCTTGAAAATATTTTTCTCCATATATTGCAATTAAAGGTACTCGCATTCTTTCCGACCATGTTTTAATATCCCTTAGTTCTAACAAAAATAGGTATTAAATAATTTATGTATTGTATTATTTAAATTTAAATTTAATTTAAATTGTAATTAACAATAAAGTTCTAATTACTTTCATATATTTCCATTTCTCCAGGTGTTATGTATGCATTGGTTCCTATAACAATCATCTTTCGAACATTTTCAGGATATGTTGCAGCAAGAATGAGAGATGTTATTCCACCATCACTCCATCCTATCAGTGAAAACTTTTTGAAGCCCAAAATCTTCATTAGATTGCAAGCCCAAGTGGCATCTCTTCTAAAAAAGTCTTTAGGAAATGTTTTCTCGGGTGGTCTAGATTTTCCATAACCAGGAGGATCCCAAGCCACTATTGTTAATCCTTCTTTGTTGAGAAACTCAATTTGAGGTTTAAAATCAGTCCATATTGATCCTAATTGAATAATTAGTTTCAGTCATGAAAGTAATATAAGTTATGGTAAAAACATACACATTTTAAAGATCAAATTGTTCAAATTTATTTGTATTAAAAAACTACCTATTGCCCCTGGCAATAAAAGTACTGCATGCTCCCCTACCCCAGCCTTAGCATAGTTAATACTAACTCCATCTATATTTATTTTTTTTTCCTGTAATTTTTAACAATACAATATATTTAAAAATAATAGATAATCAATTAAGAAATATTCCGTCATTTCTCAATGAAATGGGTGATAAATAATGTCTTACTTCAATTGTGCTTGCCTGTGTTGTCAAATTATTCATTACTTTAATATTTGGTAATTTAAAATTTGTAAGCCCTTTACTTTTTACGAAAATCGTTGAAAAATGCTTAACAGTGGATAACATGATTATAAATGTTTTTAATATGAATGTATCTAAGTGAACATCTTTTCATCTACATTATAATGTGAGTAAACTGATATCTTTTAACTTCAGATACATTCTACCTGCCAAGTTTTACTTTATACTTGGAAGATATTATAAATGTTTAAAATTATTGTAGGAAGGTCCACTTAAAATCAAAGACTGATACTTTTTGCTCTATTTTATTCAGTTGAGCGTTGCAAGTTACATAATTGATGATCAATACAGATTTGATATTGATCAATTTTTACTATTTGAGTCTAAATGGTAAAGATTGCAAAATTTATGGTATGCAAATATACTAGCCTTAGAAAACACTATTTAAAAGTATGCATATGAAAAATTTATAAAAAATGACGCTCTCCTCATTCAATAAACATAAAATCTACAAAAATTAATGATAGTCTTTTGAATTTTAATTCACATGTTTTACAAATTAAAAATGAAATTGTCAAAGTGCTCTTTGTATTGTGATACAGTGATAAACTTATAAAATAATAAATACAAATAAAATTTCCTTTACCTATTATATAGAGAGAATCAACGTATTTGTATAATATTTTTAAATAATTTATACCTCTTTTTAATTAAAAATTGATTCATTATTAGGACTCAGGAAAGTTATTTTATAATTGCTGTTTTATATTGACTAAGTTTTAGCAACACAAAATTGTGGAAAAGTTCTTTGAATTTTAAGACATAGCACAAAACTATGCTCATTTTGAATGTAATGACTCTTACTACCAATCAAAATAAATTTTTCAAAACAGATCTTCTACAAGATTAAATGAAGTGAAATGAATGATTTATGAGTGAGAGTGAATATTGCTTATCATGAACTTTGTTCTGGTTTATTTTGTGCTTTGGAGTATTCATCAGTCAAATGTTTCTTGTATTTTTTCTGGTCTTTCCACAGCTCTGCTGCAGTTGGATTTAAAGGACTATCATTGTTTGGTTCTGAAATCATAAATATACAAAATTTAGAAGTATATTTACAAACTTGAAAAAAATATAATTAAATCTAAAGCTACTAAAGTATAAGAAACACGAGAAAAAATTATTTTTTTAGTACAAGTTCTAAAAGATTTTTAGTAAATATGAACTTGATTTATTTTAAATTTTTAATTTATTTTAATTTAAAATTTAAAATAAATTAAACTTTTAATTTAATAAATTACTTTTAATAAACTTTTAATAAATTAAACTTTTAATTTATTTTAATGTAAAAGTAAAGATCTTAAAAAAACTAATCTTGAAACTAACTAATAATAATAATCTAAATTTTTTATTTAATAGTAATAAACACATACCACCAAGTAGTGACTGAATTGATAACAGGATTGTTCGTACGTCATAAAGAGCACTCCACTTATCCTTTAAAATGTCTAAACATATATTACCAGCATTATCAACATTGGGATGAAAGCAAGGAGTGATGAATCGCACAACAGGTGCACTGTATGGATAGCTATGAGGAAACTCTAATGCTAATTTATAAGTCAAGCCAGCATACACCTGAAAAAATTAACAAAATATTGAATCATTTCAAGGTTAAAGCTTGATTACAAATGATGCGGAACACGTACTGTGTCAATAGGACCATGAATAGTTCCAACCCATTTGAACAGATTTTCTCCGTCTGGAAAAGCAGAAACGCCTTTTTCCGTACTCGTCATCAACACCATAAGTTCCTTTTGCAGTCTGAAAAATCGCGTGAACAAGTTAGTTTACAAAGTTGTAGGTTATGTTTGATTAACCGTCTTTTAGGCGCCAAAATTTCAGCCAAATATTGGGGAAAAATCATTTTCAATGACGAACGTTATAAAATTGGAAATTTTTATTAAACGAAAAGCGCGTGAATATGATAATGAGAAATGCGAATTGATGGGTTTTAAATCATCACCCTTTCGTACCGTTTGCTCACTGCGTGATTGTCTTTGGGCATACTTAATGACTCTTCTTGTGATTTGCCTGATGCCCCGCGCGATGGAAAGTACGGATTGACGTTTTGTGCCATATCTTTCGACAAAACTGATAGTACTATCACCAAAATCGCCTCTAGACGATCCAAAGTTCTCGTGTAAGGTCTTCGCTTCGCGAGATGCACAACAGTCACTGGAAGTTTCAGAAATTTGAATACCTCTGCCCGTACTAGTCACCGTGAAAACATGCAAGTGCACTAACGCATCAACAGCTGTTTATCTTTGACGCCATATTATACGCATGCGCTATTAAAAATGTACGTTTATGTATTTATAAGAAAATTTTGTAATAATTTTTACAATATTCATGATATATTTTGCTCTGAAATATAACTTTTTCGTTGAGGATAATATACTCGATAATGAGAATAAAGATGCAAGGGTGCTTTACTTTTATAAACGAGGATCTTGATTATTACTAACCATTTATTTGTTGAAGTTTGAATTTTATACTAGGTTTGTTTTATTTATCGCGCAATATATATGCGTACTAAAGTAATGCTGCAAATATATCGTAACGTTCATTCGCAAACGTAAGAATTCATTTGAAATGATACTCATGGCTCAATGGATTAAACGCTCAGTTCAATATACTCTTAGCAAGTACAAACCCATCACCAAGTCTGTAACGTCGCACACATTAATTGCAATATTCTCAGTCGGGATGTATATGACGCGTGTCTTGAGCTGATTTCAATTTCAGATTGCGAAAATGATTATTATTAAACGAAAAGTAACTGTTCTACGAAGAAAACTCCAGTAAATTAATTTTAAATGGAACTTATAGATTAACCATCTAAGTCTTTATGTATTAAAAAAATATCGTAAGTACAAAATATAAATTTAAGAGAGAAAAACGAGTCAGTAGTCATAGCTTCCGATGTTTGCCGCTACGACCCTTGCGTGGGAGAAAAAGCCTATAGCCCATACTCTCTCTCAGCACGTGCGAATAAATTCGTACATCGGTTTCCTCTTCCTTTTCCTTCGGTCGCGGGCTATTCTCCGGTTTTCCTTTCTCTCGCACCTGTTGAAATTAAATACGTGCAATCTCAGCGACGAAAACATCCTCATATACCCTTTTCGGGAAAAATCATAATAAAATCGCATTTAGACGACGATTGAGTTTTCTTTTGTCTAAAGCTGTTTATTTTCAAGATGAAAATGAAATTCATATGGGCCGTCAGGTTTTAGAACATGTCGCGATTCAAGTGATCATGATTTTCAAAAACTGTTTTAGCTTCGTGAAAAGTAGATGTACTTTTACAACCGTGAGTATGCACAAACTCTGAAAATAATTTAAAAATATTATAATAGTTTATGTGCTTTACAATATTTGAATATTCGTGCGAGTGCCTTACTATGAGATTTCAGATCACCGTTTTAGTCACAAGCAATTACATCTGTATGTACAACAAAGACATCGACTAAAATTGAACGAAAAAAAGTATGTACAACACTTATAGATTTTACATCCGGTTGGAATTTTACTCACGTGGGATCCCACGTGGGAAACTACGTGGGTATTTTCAACCAGGCACCAATCTGATTTTTTAATGAAGAAATAAAAATATGCGCTGTATGAAAAGCTTAGCAAATTTCTTATATCCCTTACCACAATCATGTAAATTACAAACGACCTAGTCACAGAAAAATATAGACTTAGTTCTAAATTGCAGAATGGGCTATTTTTAAAAGTAAGAAATAATATATATTCACTTTTACTACGCTAATTACAATGTCTGTATACATACATTCTTTAAAATTATTTGTTTCTTGATTTTAGACAATTTTTGTGTAACGTATTTGAATAAATTTATGGTATTTCAGTACAATAAATAAAACTGCTGCTATGGTACTCATTCTCTTTCTTTCTCTTTTTACTTCGGTAAATGAAAGTATTTGTTCACGCGATTTTTTAGACTGCAAAAGGAACTTCTGGCGTTGATGACGAGTACGGAAAAAAGCGTTTCTGCTTTTCCAGACGGAGAAAATCTGTTCAAATGGGTTGGAACTATTCATGGTCCTGTTGACACAGTACGTATTCCGCATCATTTGTAAATTTACATATTTTTTCAATAAATAACGAATTAATAACTATATAATACATAAAATATCGAATTTAAAACGTCATCTAGCTTATCCCTAGATGGTACAAATAACTATATTAATAACAATATATAAAATTAAAGAAACTATACTTAATAACGTTGCCTTTAATCGTAAACTATTAATCAATATATTAGACTATGTTATTTGATATTTTCGTAGGGCCCTAATCACATTTAATTTTTTTAAATAGTCTATCAGTTATATAGTTATCGGAGAGTGTACTACATAGGTGCATGTGTTTATTTGCTAGTGTATAATCGATTTACAGATTCTTCTATAATGTTCTAATGGCTGCTTTTCTAATAAAAAACAGCCTATAAAAAATCATACTACACTTTAAGTGATCCGTAATATAAATTTATATATATGTATATCTATAAACAAGTAAAATTATTTAAAATTAAAAATACATTTTCTTTTATTTTTAACACTTTCTGGAACTGATCTGGATGGTATTTAAAATTGATTGTAAATAAGAGGTGGTGTGTAAACAAGTTTGAGATAGAGGAGGATACAAATTAAAAATTAAGAAGATGAATATTTGCATTTAACTTTTATTTGACTAGATGACGATAGCTCTCCAAAACTGAGACTTGAATTGAAAAAGACCGCCAGATATCCTCTCTAGGAACATGGCGTGTAATTTTAGTTAGATTTGAATGTTTAAAAGGGTAGCGTCATTTAAAATGAATACTGGGTCAGTTAATGAAATTGAGCGTAAAAAACCTAATGACAAGACTTCAGTAGTAAAGGCGAAATACTAATTTATTTTCTTAAAGGTACAAATATCAAGAATCGACTTGTTCTCGTGAACACTCGTCACTATCTGCTAACTCCTGGATTTCTTCTCGGCTTGACTGTTGCATCTTTCCCTACGCCACATGCCTCCCCTTTCCCTTGCCGCCCTCAAAGGGTGCATTCTGGCTCGCCTCACTTTGAGAGAGCGAGAACACAGGAGGGGACTGACTACTTGGATCCGACGTATGATCAAAGAAAAGGAATGTTGTACGTGTTTCGAAAGGGTTATTAAAGATTTATTGTTTTCCTAGGGTTTTTCCGATTGCCGGTGCGGACGAGCACTTCAAAGACTCGTAAAATATTAACGCATTGAACATAGCAATATTTCAGCAGTCTATGAATTGCAAATGTGCAGAACAAGCAATCTTTATTATTAGGACCTGTTGAAATTTTCCCTGTTCCCAAGTGATTTTTTACATTTACGATTTAACGGTACAAATATATATTATCTACAGATTACTTAGCTATGCATATGCATTCTACACTCAACTTGTATTTGTTTGAATCTAGTGCGTGCTGAATATCAAAATCTCATGTAGAGTATTCTACCTTACGATGACACATATGGCGATACATAAAATACGTGACGTATATTTCAGCATGTTACTTTACTTTACTTTACTAGATGGCGGTGGGTCTCTTCAGCATGTTACATAGTACGCATGCGTACGAGAACGTAAACATAATCTTCGGAGCAATTCGGCTGCAGAGCGAACGCCACAAGTCAAATTGAGCCATCGGATATCAATAAAGAGGAGTCTCGGTGAAATCAGGAAAGCAGAAAAGCGTCGCGATGATGGTACCCTAGCCCGCAGGCTTTGATAATAACGCTCGATAATAGGTGCGCGCGCGATAAGGTAGAAAATCGCAACGTGATGTGAGGATGACAATTTTAAATGCAGGCGGCATGCGTTGATGAAGAATTACATCAGGAGGAAGAGATGATGGCTAGTGGGACTCATGGAACACCAGAGTCCGAAGCTTGTAGCTTTGAGTGCTTTCAAAATTACACTGCCCCTGAAGTCTTTATCCAGGGACTCGCTGGCATCGTCGATCAACAGGACGTCGAATCCATGATTCGTGCTCAAAAACAAATGTTAGATTCTAAACAACATTTCATTGTTTTATTCTATCTCGCATTCACTGTTTCATTATTAGTGCTTGATATATTCAAATATACAAGTTTATAAAATAATCTAGTAAATGAAAAAGCCTTTAATTGATATATTTGTTTTCACCATTGCTTTGGTCTACTACTGACTCCAAGTTTTAGATATTCATATTAACCAATAGTACTTATATAGTAAAACTATTTCATTGAACCTTTTTAAAATTGCACTGTAAATTTTTTCCAGGCTTCAGCGATTTGAAAAAACTAATGAAATGCTGACAAACTGTAATCAGCTATCAGTGACTCGACTCAAAGCAGCTGGGACTGAATTCAAAAAACATACTGCTCTTTTAGTTGAGATGAAGAAAGATCTCGATTATATTTTTAAAAAAATCAGACTTTTAAAAACTAAATTGAGTCAACAGTATCCACAAGCATACAATGGTAATGATATTTTTATTTGACACTTAGGTTACTTAATATTTTTTTGACTATTTAGTGAAATTAATTTCATATTTATATTTTGCAGAGGCAGTGAGAAGTAGTTTAGCTGAAGAAGTTGTTGAAGATGGAGAATCACCTTCAAAACCTGCAGTGTTAGAAGAATCATTGGAATCACAAACTAATACTGTTACAAATGAAAATCTTGATTCTAACGGTAACAAATAGCTTACTAATTATCTAGTTAAATTTATAATAATTTAACTTATATTCATTCCTCATTTATATTTCAAAGTATTGTATTTATAATTTACAGCTCCAAAAGAAGAAGTTCAATTTGCAAAAATATGTGACAAGGGTACAAGAAGAAAAGATAGTTCATCAACTGATAGTGAGAATGACCAAGCTAAACAAGATTCATCGCCATACTCTTCTGATACTAATTAAACACAAGCAATTGAAGTTAACAATTTAAATTTCAACAACATCACGTCATTGTATATAATATTAAATTCATTTCATCAAGTCACAATAAAAAACTTAAATTTTATATAATGATTAATTTTGTTAAATTTTAATTTTAATTTTGTTATGTTTTTGTACACTTGTCAATTTATTGCTAGTTTATCAATATAAGATAAACAAAAATATTCTATTTAGCGCTGCTCTCAATACTATGAGTAGACTGTTGAGCAATCAGCAGATTGATAATCATGTTTACACATTGGAATGAATAGGTTGACTAGATTCTTGAGTGAAAATTATTTAAATCAAACATTTCGCACCTGAAGATGTAGCTAATGATTTACCTCTTAAATAGACTTAAGACTAATAATAAGTTCCTTCACTGGATTTTTAATAAACAATATTCAAAGTTATAAACATTAAGAACATCAGCTTTCCTGGTAGTTTAGGAAAAAATGTCCATTTAGAAATATTTATATCCAAATTGACCCAAGTTAACAAACGCGAATCAAACTTGCATCTCTGCAAAACAGTGTACACGGTTGTAATTTATGAAAGTTAATCTGGTTGATGGTATTGAAGTCGTAAATTATACGTTTCACATATACGTATACATCCGATATACTCGACGCAACATTTAATCAAACACAATTACTTTTTTTCCACTTCTGAAAATTCATTTGGCAAATATAGTTTTATAAAAAAAAAAACATTCTTTGCATAATATCCATCTTCAAAATAATGTATTATCCAAGTAATTTGTTGCAATCAACATTGAATTTTTTTATAAGTAAATTAAATGATTTTGAAATAAATTTTAGTAATCTATCTATGTTTTAATATTCAACATGATTATTATCATTTTGAATTTTCTAGAAGCTTATTATTTTAATGCCAGTGAAAGGAAAATTTTACTTTGTATTCTCAACTAATATTTTTATTTAATATGAATTTATGCAGCATAAAAGTATGAAGTATGATACCTCCCTTCAAAAATAAAATAAACAGATTACTAAACTTGATAAATATCATTAACCAGAATATTTTCAAATCAATAATTTTTCAAACACATTGACGCATGATCTCAGATTATTTACATATGTGATAGTGTAACTAATTTGTTGATCATTGTGGTACAAGTCTCGCGACTTATCATACCACAATGATCTTTTCTAAAATCTTAACATCTCAATAACAGTTCTGAGAGATATATGTAATCATTGTGAACTCGAAATATAATTCTATACTTGGATATTTAAAAAAATAATATTTATTGAAGATTAGTAAATTTAGTACTAAATTATGATTAATTTTTTCATCATTTTATTTTTCGAAAGCCATTTAATTTTTTATAATGCTGAATTGAAAAAAGTTTAAGAGATATTAATTTACTATATTTTTTAAAATTATATATGTAGAGGAAAATCAAAAAATTTTTGATTACGATAAATATTTGAACCTCACATACACCGTTTTATATCGAATAAAATAACATTGAATGAGATTATCGTCGGAAACACGAAAATTTCATTATACTAATTATACATTCTTTAAGAACTAATATTATTGTAATCAATTTACGTCAGATGTATGCATTAGACTTCAAGATAATATTTTGCTCTTCAGATATACTCGTATGTTCATAAAACGTTCGAATTTGCACAAGCTTCTAACAATAAATGTCTGTCAGTGTATTTCTTCTCGTAACAATAGAAAATTTGACTGCATCAAAATTTCAACAATCTTTCTGTAGTAAAAGCTGAGCTAGGGTTGTAAGAAGCGAATACTTTGTCGTCAATGGACTAACTGTCGATGCGACATTGAATAAATTTAACGTATTTCTTCGACGGAAAATCAAAACTTCGAAGATGTCAATAAAATAGAAATATAATATAGACCACATATACAAAAGTATTTAGAAAAAATATTAGGAATTTTATCGATTATTTTCGAATTTATGTCATTTTGTAAATTGACGAAATCACAATTTTTGGTTAAATTAAAAAATGACTGCAACTTCGAAAAATTATCAATAACATACCCTAAAAATTGTTCTTCTTACATATATGGCCTACATGTTATATTTTAATTGCAGTAATGTCTTAATAATGTTGAATTTTCACTGAAGAATCTTTAAATTTAAGCAAATACTTATTTGAGATTCCTTTTATCTTTCTGCTATCTTTTAGTTTGTAAATTTAATAACTTAATTTTTTTTTATATCAGAGCTGTTTCGAATATTACAGTAGAAATATTACAAGTTATTTCGTAGAATTAGATGATTTTTTTAGAAATTATTTTTAAAGCTTAACTAACGTAACATTTGCTCACTTCTTAGCGTTATAACTATGGTGTATGAATGCAATTCATATACGTGCATATATAAAATATGCGAACATTAGCATATTTTGGATATAAGACTCAGTGTATTCGCCACAACTAACAGTGGCGTTACATCATGCACTGACAATGTATAAAGTGAACGTTACTAAACTTAATTCTAATTAATAAAGTAACTAAAATCTTTCACCTCCCACTACGATATAACGGCTGTTTAATTAATGAATGGTGGTCAAATACTATAGGTGTAGCAGTAAAACAAATAAAATTAGAACAATACTCTCAATCTCTACTAAAATTATTAACGAGAGCGAAAATTGAATCGAACTTGTCGCACATAAGAAAGGTGAACTTCAATATCATTAAATTCTTGGATATGCAAATTTTGTTCTCTGGGAGAGCTCGTTATTACCTGATAAAGCAATAATTCTGTAGGGTTAGATTTTGAAAGGAAAAACTTAGCAGTCAGCGATACACCACCTTATTCACTATCCTATTAATAAATCACTGTCGAGCATTCGTCTTCTCATCAAAGAAAAACTCAAAGATCAAGGAGTTTTAACAATTAAGATAATTAATCGCAAAACAGTTTCAACTGCCGCAAATGTATCATTATTAAATAACTTCCCGAATCGCGAAATTCTAGTATATCAGTGTAACATCCTTGAAAGAAATGAAGCAAACACTTTCTAGATCTCATTTTACAATGTTTAATTTGGTTTTCGTTTTGTTTTCTCGCTTTTCAAAAAGATTCGGTCAATTCCCCATATTAAAAATCTGCATAACAATAATATCGGTGCGTCAATCGTCTACTGTTTCCAGTAGCTAAATATGAATGAAATGTTCGCGCTCAAAATAAGCATAGATTACTAAAGTACATTATTAAATGAATTGTCTTTACGGAGGATCGTAAGTAACTCTGAAAATTGGCAGTATTCTAGACGCACAAACTGCTAAGTGCACGTGTACATTTCGAAAACAAATGTAAAGAATCGTCAATGGGCATAGCGACCGCAAGTCTCGAATCGCTGCGCGCCCCGAACAGAGCACGCATTCAATGAAGCCATTTATATCGGTGTAAATCAATTGACATTGCGGGCCTAGCCGACGACTGAGCGAACAAGCGAACGAGGAAAGAAGCAAAAACGAAATGATAGTGGGCCGAATGTGCGACAGCCGGCGCAAAAAGAGCCATGAGACGGAGTTATATAGGCGGTTCTCTCTCTCTCTCTCTCTCTCTCTCTCGCAGTTGAGTGTCCGCGGCGGCAGGCCAGTGGCACGTGTGCTCGGCGCGCATTGTACGTAGCACGCGCCAGCTGTGTCTCAGCTGTTCTCCGGCCGGTGATTTCGAGTGTCTTGGCGCCAGAGCTCTCGCCTGCCAGTGTGCGCACCTACCTATACACGCTTTTTTTTCCGTGGATAAAGTGCGCGCGCGATATAGACGGAGCACAGCTTGCGCGGAAGTGGGCAAGCCGCAACGAGCCTTGCCTATCTGCCTTAGCAGGATGTGTACGCGTATACACGTAGATCTGACTAAGCCTGCTTGGGCGATTTTCTAATTTCAATCGGATCGCGACGACCCCTTCAGTTTTCATTGGAAGGCCGCGAGCGCGCCTCATCTTCCTTTTCTAAAGATCTCACGTGATCTCGCGATTGGCTTCTCGTGCTTCTTTTCACGCCGGTGCAGCGAGAATTCAGCCAATTGCCGTTGCGACGCTTTTATTAATAACTGTCAATCAATTACTTCGGTATCGATCAAATCAAAATTACACCGTGTAATCAATATTAGTTAATAGTCCGAAAACATTGACATTTCAATATTATACATAGCCTTTGAAAAATGACTTGAAGTTTGCCTGCTAATAAAGTTGTTTTGAATATTTTATGCAAAATAAAACTAACACCAATAAAATGTTTTATTTTACCTCTAGACAATGCAGCTGCAAAAAGTGCATTTGTTATTGGAATAGAAAGTGACTTATGAAAATTGAAATGCGTTATTTTCTTCATTGCCATTTTCAATGTCAAATCGACGTTTCATGAAAAGATCTTTACTCTAGTGTTGGAAGAGAAGTAAGACCGATATAAAATACAAGACTAATAGAAACAAAGATAATATTGATTCGTATTCAACTGTTCTTATTAGTGTAGTTGCAGTTTACATGACTAAAAATATGCATAACTTTTGTTATATACGATGCGTACATATTATAGTTATTACTATTGTATATTCATCGTTCAGTACTTTCACCGTTATTGCGGATATTATTTTTACCGAAGCGTATCGATGTTTTTTTACCGTTCCTCATTCTTATAATAATAATTTGATTCATCATTTGTTTTGTAATGAACATACGAGGGCATTTTTATGTTAATATATTCGTTAACACACAAATTAAGATCATTCAAATAAAGTTCCGAAAATTTATCCGACGAAATTCGAACACGTAATCAATGCGAATGACATAAGGATCTTGACAAAAAACAAATGCAAGCTTTCTTGCCGAAGAAGCGAAATGTAGGGTAATGAAGTTACGCGCTTTGCATTCTGTTGTCTAAGGTCAAATGTATCTAGGCTCTCAAGACGATTCAAACAAATGAAAGATCCTGACGTCACTTTATGCACTCCGGAGCATAAACTTTTAATTGTTGATAAATGTCCTTGGCAGAATTTCAAATCACGAGTTTTCCGTAGACAATTGAACGGCGCGCGTTCTATGAAAGCTCCAACGTCGCCTTCGCAGGAGACTCCGCATCCGCGCATTTCTTTCGGCGCCGTGACGCATTAAACGGAAAGCTCGGATTGATTGGTCACGTCCGAGCGACGCACGTAATGCAAGAAATTATTGTAGCTCAATCTGCATATTTGAGCGCTGACAAGTGCTTCGCGAAGTGGACACATATTTGGGAGCTAACGATATTTCTTTTTATGTTGTTTTTTTTTTCGTTTTTCTTCACCGCCGCGACGAATGACGGCGTCGACGGCTGAGGGGAGTGGAGACATAGAGAAAAAGCCGAAGGCGCCGCGGCACGGGCAGGGCTCGTGCGAATTCAAGACAAATTGAAATCGGTTCGAGTCGCTGTAACAGCCAGCAGTCGCCTCGCCGACCTCGAAATGGACGCACGGTGCGTATTCGGGCTCTTCCTCGAGAAGGAAAAATGAAAATTGATATGCGTCTTGACGTATATTTGTGCTGATACTGCGTAAGCCTCTCATTGTATCCCCACACATTTTGTAACGAGCTGTCGACGCGTTCACTTGTTCCGCTCCGCGAGGCTCTGTGACGAGCAGCTGCAGCTCCAGTGCGACTGTTTTTTTTTTCACATACTTTTCGCGAGTGTCGTGCCCACCGAGATAGAATGCTTACTGAAATTCAAACTTTGCGTAGAATCAGCATCCCTTGGACTGTCGGAGAGGATATAAGTGAGGATGTTATCTATCTATATGTATCTCGTGATCTCTTTGTTTGAATTTTATCGAGTATAATCTATTCGTTGTTGTTTGGAAACAAGAAAATGATAGGCAGCAGCATCCCGCAGACTACGAAAAAGCGATCGCTGAGACTGGTAAGTTTTCTAGAACATTTCGTTAAAATTACATTAAGTCATTTTTCGTTTACACAGAAGGTTTTATCTGATAAAGGCGAGAAAATATAGTTTGAACACTTCCATTAATCTTATCTAAATTTTACTCAAATCTTACACACATCGAATAATTTCAGTTTTCGTACGAAACACCTTTGCAAACATCAGATAAATCATGCTACATTGCCATTATCAAAATTTCAATACGTTTTCTTATTAGGCCTAACTTTTAACTCATGGACTACTCATGATGGTAATTTTATAAATAAAACGTAATTTTTACATTAAAAAACGTTGCCTGTGAATATCTTCTTTGAGACCTTTCCAATGATAAAAAATTACACTTAATTTAACTTATCAGATGTTTAATTGGCGTCGAGATTATTCGTAATGGAAAAATCATTGCTAATGTTGAAGTGGAAAACTTTCGTATATACAGTTTCTTTTTCATTTATCAAGGTTATGGACTTTTCAACGTTTTAATGCTTTTGGCTGCCGTACCTGTTGCTTGGACATGCGTGTTAGATACAACTGTAACGACTTTTTTCATACAGTCAACCGAGTGCGACTTCGAATTAACGTTATTTCGGAGAGGCATTGCCGTTGGCGTAGTGTACATAGGTTTTCATTTTATTGTATTATAAACATATAAAGTAACAACTTTTAATGAGAGTCAGAATGTTTGAAGATAAATTTTGAAAATATCACAGGAATGGTGATAGCTGGACCATTATGGGACTTTGTTTTTCAAGACGTTATTATAAGCTGCTACGGAAAACGCAATGTGATGATTATGGGCTTGATACTCGATTCCGTTTGTAACATACTTTGGGCACACGCAACTACGTATTACACATTTATTCTATTTAAATTCCTCAACGGAATCTTGTAAGTGTAAATGAATTGTTTACTATAGAGAGTTACTTTGAGCTTTGCGCGTTTTTTTTTACAGAATCGCTGGTCCATTATCTGTGCTAATGCCTTATCTCTCCGAATTTCATGCACCGACGTATCAACCAACTTTCGCCAAATGGGCCGGTGTGCTTTTTTCGATTTCCAATATTCTCCCACCAGGTATTTTCGATAAATTGACATTTATTTTTTTAATGGCATTCGCTATGTGGTGTACTCTAACCTATGGACTTTAAGTGAACAATAACTCCCCTAACAACGGCCGTCTCTTTAAATTAGATCTTAACACTTTAAGTATAGTATGCTCGAAAATAGTGTACACTTTATTTTTCCGGGATCTTTACAACTGTGAACATGAAACTACACAAATACGGTATCGTTATATAAATTAATGTCAATTTCCAGATTAATAACTTTTCGATGCGGTGAAGCCCAAATAGATAATAAACCTCGGTTATAATTTAAATTAATTAGAAAGTATGACTAGAATAAATTAAACTTGTTTACGTAATATTTGTACAAATTACAACCTTACGGACACAAATTATTTGAATTAGAAAGTATGGATCGAAGTGGCTCTATTGGTTGACCTAAAATTATATCTAGAATACACGTGTGAAATGTCCAAGAGCCAAAAATAGATGAAATGACAGGTCACTCAAAAAATAACTTTTTCTATGAATTGATCGCTTAAACAAAATCACTTTTAATGTCATTGACATAATTTTAATAGCTATTTGAACAGATATTGTTTCTTTATTGACAAACGGCATTTGACTAAAAAAAATCTAATTTTTTAGCGATATCTTCTTTACTGATACTGCACACCTCTTGGTTTAATTTGACAATTTTTAACCGCTTCTATGCGACTTGGCGCATTTACATGCTTATATGCACGATACCGCCAGCGGTGGGCATTCTAACCGTATGCTTGATGCCAAAGAGCCCCAAGTTTCTTCTAACGAAAGGAGAGCATCACGAAGCCCTGCGGGTATTCAAAATGATGTACAGCATGAATAAGTTCGAATCGCCGGACTCATTTAAGGTAATTATATGATATGCAGCGGGGCCGTCGTGGCTCGGGCACAGTGTACTTAAACTGAAAAGACGCGCTTTGATGCTTCTTAAAGATTTCAACGCTCGTTCATCAGCAGAAGACTAGCCGCAGCATTAGAAAGCTGTGCACCGACAGAATAGAAAGCAGCATCTCGAATCTGCGAATAGCGCTGTCGAAACCTTATCAGAAATCATTTCTGATCATTTTACTCCTGCAATTTTCAAGTATGGTTGGGTACGGACATGACTTTTACGCGACTATCAATCGTACCTTCTCATTCGCACCTCTATATGTTTTCACATTTCAGATTCAATACGATGAGATTGTGGGTGCCGCAATTTTTCATAACGCTAAATAATTTTCACTCGATAAACCGACCCTCGTATCCTCCCGGCGAAGCTATAACTATGTGCGAAATGCTGTTTCCTCGCATAGAGAACATAGATTATGCATCCTGTGCTTATACCGCGGTAACCAAGTCACATTGTTATTTTGGCCATTGCGTACTAACGCCGGCTTTTCCGTCGCGTACAAATATTTTACTTAGGAGCTTATTCGCGTCGAATAATAAATATTTTGATTGCAGGCTCAAATCGAATCAGCGGTATATTTCAATTCGATGATCATTGCATCAGCGACAATACTTTTTAGCTCTATTTTTACTTTCGCGGCAAACACGCGCTTGCGAAAAGTTTCGGCTATAAGTATGATTTTTCTTTCTCTCTTGGCTTTCCGGTAAATAAATCCACGATTTAATGGAACCTGCTTTATTTCGAAATCAATTCTATTTTCAGTTTTCTCCTTTCTCTTTCCGACGGTTGGAAGCGTGGTAGCTAATTGGGCAATAGAAATACCTTGGATGCTTATATTCCTGTCATCGATCATAGTGACAATGAAGATAGCTGCAAACATCATTGCGACATACGTTGCTGATGTGACACCGACGATGATAAGGTAATACCATATCAATTACCAATGAACTTCTCACTGTGTTATTTTTTTCACAATAATCTGCAGCATTAAATTGTTCTTTTGCACGTAGGCCCACTGTGAACCATAGTTTGAATTTTGTTGGGCACATTGGCGCGGCATTAGGTCCAATACTTTTTTCTGTGGTCCTTGGTGCAAGCTGTCTGACTGCATTTATGGAAATTGGATGTTTATCGTTTGGTAATACACAATTTCACGATTCCTTGCTTTATAGTCACTAAACTTGCATTAACAGAGAAAATTTATACTTTCAGTTTGCTACATTTTAGCTTTCTTTTTAATCAAGAAACCGCCTGAAAATGATAAAGTGAAAATCGAAAGGTTCTAAACGAGTAAATTTTGACGGATTTGCATTACTACACGAAATAATGTCGATTTGGTAAAAAAAAGTAACTTTTTTTTACATAAAATTACGGGAAAAGGTATTTTTGTGACAAAATATTGTGAATCTTGGTATGTAAATAGGGAAAAATAATTTAAGAATTGTCAATAGAGCTAACCTATATTCATTGTCAAGCATCAAAGATAAGGATAGGAAAAGATCGCATCAAACTTGATTGTTATCAAGCTGCGCCTAGGAAACACGAGTGACGGCAGACAAAGATGTTAAGATTTAAATGCTTGCTATTGAAGTAAGAAAGCAAATGATTTATGTCTCTGAATGATCGGATAACATTCCGAAGATATATAACAATTGAAAGTTTGTCGATTTAAAGGGTGAGTTGACAGTGTGACCCCAAAAACAGTCACTATTAACGAAAGATTTTATAAACAACAAAAACCATCTTTCATATAGCCATTTGTGTATATTCACTTGCATCATTGTAATTAATAACCCATTTACACTTGTACAAGTCGTACCATTAAGATTTATTAGCGCTAGAGAAATCTATCATTTTCTAAGATTTCATATGTTTATACATCTATTACCTTATATATATACAAATAATCATATGATATTGTTAGTATCAATGAAATCATTTGTTAAAAACAAGCAGAATACTCGCATAATAATGACAAACAGATGTGAAGCATTAAAGCCTCTTGGTTCTCTGAAACGTGGCAAAATTTAATTTCGCAAACATCCCTCTTTAAAGATCGCTCAGCAAGGCGCTCATATCGTATTTCCGTATGGGCTTCTTGCCTCGTGGGCGCGCGAGGTACCGGAGGAAATCCGCACACGCGGCGGCACACGTGCGTCACACGTGTTGTTATATACGTAACAAACAACCGTCAAATGTCTTCGCCGCGTGGCGAACTCACCGCCTGGAGCTATGAGGTACCGTTTCTGTGATCATCGTCGACACGATTGCGCCGCTTAGGGAAAAATCTAGAAAAACGCCGAGAGAGCGACGCAGCGGGGAGAGGACGAGAGAGAGAGAGCCGCGCGAGAGTGAAATTCTGTGAAACAGCTGTTCCAGCTTATACGCACACTTCACCTGCTCGTTTATTTGATACTTTGGGATGCCGCGTGTGCGCGCGCAATTGCGCTTGTTTAATTTGTCAACGACTGCTGAAAAAGAAAAGAAAAAGACGGTACTTAAGTTGAAAACCTACCAACGCTTAATTTATAAATGTAAATTCTGCTAATGGCAATACGATTTTCGATAAACTTATTTTTAATGTTTTATCTAACGGATCCACATTCAAATAAAGCGTAAAAAAAACATTCCATCGCAGTGATCTCTAAATGTCAAAGCTGAGATAAAAGTCTCTGGCTGTGCAGTTCCGCGTCTTCTAAATCACGTTTTTATTAGTGCGTCAAGATTGTGCGATGATAAAGCCAGACAACAACAAAAATGAATAAATAAATAAAAACGGGATTGCACCGCAAGGAGCATTCGAAATTGATTCGGCAAACAATTATGACGCGCTCAAGCTCGAAAGCTCGCCAAGTGAAGTACCAGGTACGTGCGCACACAATGACAACGCGCGTACAAATCCGATGAGCAAACATTGTGCAATCTGCGGCGCGAGCAGCAGCAACAAAAGCCCAACGACGGTGCCGGGAAATACGAAGTCGCGCGCTCTCTCTCTCTCTCTCTCTCAGTCTCATTATAAATTGCGAGTGACGTGCACTATGCGCTGCTGGTGCCGTGATTGCGCCTGCAGTTGACTTCCCTCCCACCCCCGTGCAATTGACATCCACTCCTCGTGGTATCGACACGTCTACATAGCCCACATCATCCCCCTCCTTCTCCTCCTCATCTCTGTGTTCTCGATGCCCTGCCCGGCACCAGACCTATGCGTCACTTCCGATTTTCTCTCCTTCGTGCATCCTTGTACGTCGCGCGTTCTCGTAAGCGCTATGCGCACTACTCTCGCGCGTTGTCTCTCGGCCGCTTCTGCGTCTTAATTTAAACGCGCCCGTCATACGACGAGCATCATCCTATCGCAGTCGCGAGCGGCAAACGGATCAATCGTTCGGTGAAATGCGACCAATGTGGTAGCTCCGATATCGCCACATCGACAACAAGGCGCGTCACGTTCCAGCGGCAACAAGTAAAATGATTACGGTGACAAAGTTGGAGGTGGAGGAGCGGCCGTGCGCTTCCACGGCCGATTTCGCTCGATCGATCACGAGTCAATTACCGAAGCGAAGGGAGGCGCATCTGCGCGATGCAAGCTGCACAAGTTGCGCTGCCGCTCAACCATTCGTGGATTACGTCCGTGGCTCCGCTTCCGAATTTTTTCGATACATTTTTATTTATTTCGGACGGCACTTTGCACGTGGCTCAGGTGCTTACCCCAACGCTGCCAGCCGCAAGAGTGGGATTCCGCTTTCTCGCGCTCTCTTCTCATTCATTCGTGCCGAATCGATATTTTCTATTTGCCGTTTTAATCGAATGTGACCTCTAGTGACAAATTAAAGAAGAAGGAAAAAACGAATAATCCATTTATTGAATAAATGCAGGATCTTAGTTTTCATAGTGCGACATTTCTTGGCAGAACATTCCAATTTCACAAGCGCACACGGATTTTTGCGATTGAAATTTTCCAGCAAAAAACGTCACGCATCAATCACGCTGGATACATTCATTTCAAGAACGCACGCGTTTTTCCGACGCTTGTACTCGATACAAACGCACGAAAAAACAGACAAGTTAATCGCATTCATCCATCGACACACACATATACCCGCAATATCGTGGGCCCTGAATCAACATAATATCAACTACATAGCATGATAGTCGTCATTGACAATCTAGAACCAACAGCTCCCGCATGAAAACAGAGAGAGAGAGAGAGAGTGAGAGAATTAAAAAGAGGAGTGAAAAAGAAAAAAGGAAGCGCGTAGTGCCACCGATGGCGCACGGTAACTTCCGCGTTTTTTTTTCCTCGGTCTTCTGCCAACAGCCGGCGATCGGTCGTCGCGCACAGATTCCCTCTTCCTCGTTGCTGCCTGCACGTAGCACCTGCTGCACCTGCGCGCACGTGTTTCTAAAACCGCTCTGCCGCTGTGCATCGCAAGCCGCACAGGCCGCTCTTTGCCTAGCATAAGCTGCGATAAGCTGCGTCACTCTGCCGCCCATCCTCTGTCCAATGACTTTACAAGTAATCTCGCTGCTCCTCCTGATTTTTTCCTCTTTGGAACTTGCTAGAATTCGATGAATAATTTATAGCGCTACGATCGTATCGCAAATCGGATGATATCGATATGATAATTTTATACAAATCTTCTGCTCGATCATGAGCTCGCTCAATGATAATCTTTTAAAAATTAGCGGAGAAGCCACTTATCTGATAATAGTTCATTCTCAGCATAATAGACACGTGTTGAATGTTCGTACTTGCGCTTTCGCTATATTTATTCAATATTTTTTCGTATCCAAGTGAAGTATTATTTCAAACGGCCGCTAGAAGACGTTGTCAGAAAATACTTTTTATAAAAGAATCCAAGTTGGAAGAATAATTATCTTTATTACTAATATTATATAAAACTTATTACTCATTGAAAGATAGGTAGTTTCATGAAGTAAAATTAAGTTGCCGATCTTTATTTTTAATGAATGCAGTTATTAAAATTATTATATTTATTGTCGCATAATCACGATTAACTAAATTATAATAGAAAGATTTGGAAAAAATTGTCCGAGGCAATATGCAAGAAGCTTCGAAACGATGAAAAATAATTTACATTTCTATAAAATGCTTCTCGACGGAGCATCGATTTCGAGAATACGTATGCAGCGGCGCGATATTTCAAATTTTATAGCAGAAGCGCCTCTTGAGATAGATCGAGCGAAAAACATTCAAGAACAACTTCTCGATATGCTCAAGATGGCGTGCCGTGTTTTGCATGAATATTGTCGTGCTAACTGTTCAAATGACGAAAACGTATCGCGAGCAGGTGTAGACAATGATTAAGAGCAAACGTCTCGCTTGCACGCGCGATAGGTACAACATTGCCTGCTCCCCTCGTGAGCAGCCGTACAGCTAACGCTATGTCAAACAGGACAATTATATGTTATCTATGCGAAGTAAAAAGAGAAGTCGGTAGCGCGCGAGCGCGCGAGCGCGCGGATATAGTGCTTACAGAGGAAACGAAACGCGCGCGCCGTGGGATTTGCCGCTTAAGCGCGGAGTGTAAATCGAGAGGACGTCAATTACACACACGTAGTCCCGGCGCGAATCGATTGTGCAATTGCTGCTATCGCGTTCGGCGCGCGCTTGTAATTTACGACTTATCTACGGGTCGTGTAATTTTCCTCGGGCGACGTTTACAACACAGGCCAAGCGAACGGCAGCGGCGACGCGCTGGCGAAGAAAAGAAAGAAAAGAAGAGAGAGAGAGAGAGAGAGAGAGAGAGAGAGAGAGAGAGAGGCGGTGCAATCGAGGCGTGGGCTTTTAAATGCATTGTGCGCATCGATGTCGATCGTGAATTAGGATTGGCGAACTGGCCTCTCTGATTCTCGTTTAATGACAGCCGCCGCCGCGAGAGCTTTTCGCACGCATATATATCACACATCCACCGAGGGGGGAGAGGGGAATTGCCGAGCTCGCGCGGATTAATATTTGAACGCGTGGTATTGTTCGAATGGTGTGTACGTGTTTCCAGTTGTGTCCTCGGCGTTTAGCTTTTCAATGGGGCTATTTAGCGGAACCTCGCCACGGCGATTAGGACAGGCGGCGTCTCATTGAATGACGCGCGTCCGTAGTGCCGGGCGTGCACGCGCGGGAAGCGAGTACTTTGCACTCCCGGAAGGGTATATCATCGAAATTTCAGCGCACCGCGCTTGCGTTCCCGATGTAACTTGGGCGCGAGAAGGGTGGCGAAAGCTCGGCCCGAGGGCTGGATGATATTTGAACTCGGATCAATGGAGATTTTACGAAATTTGAATGGCGCCAAGCGATAAGGTTGCGCGCGTTAGGGAGTTCAGCCGTAGAGCTGGTATGCCGTCGGGTGCGGGCAACGAAGCTCTCTGCAGTGTGCTTTTCGCCAAATCCCTGCTGACGCCAGCGCGCGGATGAATTTACGCCAGGCACGCGCGCAAAATATTTGCATTCGCTATGAGATGAGCACCGTGCAAAATGTAATTTTGATCAATTTTCTTTTTAACATTCGCATTTTTCACATACATGACATATTAACAGGAAAAAGTCAGAGTCATTCAGAGGAAAAGATTCAAGACGGTACAAAATCAAATATGACATTTGATTATAGTATTATAATGTTTGATGCTGCTATATATAGTAAATGATTTAGATACGAGTCAATGTTAGCTTGAATTTTTTATAAAAATTAGCGTGACGATTGGAGTGAACGTTCAAATCAAACTAATCAATCGGAACGTGAGTTCGTCACAAGTGAAAACTAAGTCGTTGGTGTTATCGACCAGCTCGAAAAAATGAAACGACGCAGGCTAGACCGAGAAAAAGTAACGCGTTGTTGGTGCATTTCCAACGCGAGATCTGCGCGAACAGCCGCAGGATCCGGCGAGATAGATATATACTTTGGACTGGAAATCAAAGTCATAAACAGACCGATTTTCAATTACGCTTTAATTGATAGGAAGCAGAAGAGATGGCTGGCGCGAAAAGGGGTAGAGATCAGCGGAGGAGGAGAACTGATTGTGCGCGCGCGCGTCGGGAGCTATTCCTCAGCTTCAGGAGCAGAGCTTTTCTTCGCCGCGGAATATATATCGGTGCGTCAGCGGCACACGTCCGCTAGCCGCCCTCGTTTATGCCATATTTGCGACCGAGGCTCTCTTTCATTCCACTTTTGCGATCTGCCCACTTAGCGCTCGGCGCGAATCCAATAGCCGAAACTTCCCGCTCGCTGATATACGCACGCACCTCTACCGAATCGGCATCTTCTCCGTGGCTTCTCGACGATAAATCCCGCGTTCTTCTTATTGTACCGCTGCTGGATCTATTGTTCTTATTGTGGGCACGCCTCCAAAGTTCGTCCGATTCAAGTTGAAGTTATTATGCGCGAGGACGACGCCTCCTCGAATAATAATATTTATGGAAAGTTCCCAGATTTCCGAATCTCCTGGCTGGCTTCTTTCAACGACAACCTCGATTGACAAGTGGTCAAAATGCGGCTTCTCCCAACACCGACGCATGAAACAACAGATTCTGATGCCGCCGGCGAACCTACGTACTAAATAACCAAGTAATTTGTCGGCGCGCCGTTGATCAAATAGAAAAGTAATGGGGCTAACAAAAGGGGGATCAAAAGGCAAAGTTAATCATTAGCGTGAACAAAGAGCGAAAGCAGAATGAGAGAGCCGCGAGCAGAAGGCCGCGCGCGGACGACAATAGCCGCTCTACCCTGAAGTGAGAGAGGCGCGCGTTTTCGGTCCACAGGGTAGGCGCTTGGCTCGCCTCGTGCGAGCCGCTCAGTCGGGCGCCGGCAGCCGGGCGAGCGCGAGCGTCACCTCTTCCCTCACGCCCCGCCGTACCTACGTCGGACCTGTGCGCACAGCGCGCACAACGCAATATCGCCAGGTGTACCTGTCGCCTCGTTTGCGGCTGATCCACGCCCGAATACACCATCCGAATTCCGCTGCCACTTGTGTTTGTTTGTTGTTTTGTTTGTTTGTTCGTTCGTTTATTTATTTCGTTTTTATTTTTTCATTATCGCGCGAGTGTCGTTACGTTGCTCGTTTGGCAGTGTCGCTTATTTTCTTTCGTTGGATTGTCGTCGAATTTATTATCTATTTTTGTCCGTTCGACAATGACAGCTGTAAATACATGGAGCAAATTATCCGATGATTGGTACTGCGGTATTCTTCGGTGAAAAGTATCGCTGATTTGGCCGCTTGCAATTTCGAAACGGTGAGTACTTGTTTTTCAAATAACTCATTTACTTCGGTCAATATCAATACGAGCGACGCGTTCGAAGATACGAACGACATATACATACAATTATACATACACGTTAAGCGAAAGAGCCTCGACTGACGAATCACGACAACCAAGCTAACAGTCTGTCGGGGGTCGCCCGCGGATTCGAAATAAGGGCTGACAAGTCCCAGGAGCGCGCCAACCTTTAAGCTCGCGAAAGCTTGGCTAAGCGAGACAGCCTCCAGGGTATTCCAGCACGCGCTGCACCACGTGCAGCAACGTCAGAAAAGAATCAGGAATTGTCATGGGGACGCACGAGAGTCTCTCTCCGATGCATTACGACATTAAGATTAATGCATGTTAAAGTAAGGTGATGCTTCAATTACGGCGGCAGAGATTAATTCTAATAATGCTAATGCTCGGATATCAATTTACTTGGGTTTGTTAGATCTTACGCAATTATATTTTCGGTAAAATTAATATTCATTAGCAAACTAATGCTCGATTGTAACATTTTGTCACATAAGGTATATTTAACTGGTTCTAAAGTTTTTTAACTGTTTCATTACTAAATTATTAAATAATTGGAGAAGACATAAGCTGATGACTTGTCCTAATGAATTATTGTAAAACCAAGTTTCTAAAGTAAGACAAACAATGTCATTAACAATATATTAGTTCTTTTTTTTGTGTTTAACTAAAACTTACAAATGATCGGTAGAAAGCATAAGATTAATGATTATCTCAGCTACTTTCAAAAGTTCAGAGTGAGAATAAAAAATGGTCCTCAGTGTGTGTTTTGGAATTCAATTTTATAGTTTGAATTTTATGCATAGTTTTATTACGTCGTTTAAGAAATGCCGAGTTGTACTGAAACGTCATACATGAAAATCCTATTGCACGCGCTTTACTTTAATATTTTTAAAATTCAAACTGATTTTGAAGTCGTATATAAAAGTTTATACACTATTGAATGATTTGTAATTTGATGTTTTGGACTTGCTTAGTTCAACCAATTCTTCGTCAATAGAATTATTTTGCAAACCGAACCGCAGTGAAATTTCATCGTAAAGAGAAGGGTTTATTAAATAAAAACAAAAGTTTGAGGACGCACGCTTAGAGCTTGCACTAACACGACACTCGATTAATTATTATTATAAAGCAAAAAAAGAAGTAAAGAAGGTGAAAAAGATGAGGGAAGAGAAGAAAAAACAAAAAAAAACAATTGACGTCGAAATCAGAGCGTAGTAGCGTGGGCGCATAGGTGCGGGCCCGTAGAGCCGTCAGCTGCAATGGCTCACTCCTTCTTCGCGCATCCGAACCCCCATTTATTTGGACAAGGAGCCGGCGGCAGCGCGAGCATCTAGCGCGCGCTTGCGGATTAACGGAGCTTGCACCCGTACGCGGGTGCCGCCAGCAGCAGCACATTCCGCTTTAATTATCGAGCTATTGACGAACCTTTCTTTTTCGGTATTTTCGCGGAATATAATTACCGAGTCTTTGCTTTGGCTAGACTCGTTTTTTCCATACGGGCCTCTCCCTCCCCCCTCTCGCTAGCTCGCTCTCGCTCTTCGTTAATTGAATTTTAATGGAATGAATAATCGGCCTTTGAAAGGTGCTGGTGCACTTGATAGGTTCAAGCTTGAGCTTTTAAACAGTGTGTATGCTTCTGTCAGGCTGTTTTCATTCCATGTCGCTTGACAGACTTTTTCAATTGACGCTTTTATTAAAAGGAAAACAACTTTCATATTACCAAGTGGTCACTACCTGAAGTATACAATCAACGATACATTTATTCGAGTTTTTCTTTAACCGAATGTTTTTCTTTTTGCTATTACCTTAAGAAGTGTTTTATAAGATAACTTCGATAAAAAAAATTAAAATGAAAAGAGAGAAACTTATTGCTGTATTATTTAGCCAAGCATATTATAATTCACATATTATAATCTTATGAATTATAATCTTTTGGCAAATGTTTGCATTTCAAATTATAACTCAATTGGGAATGCATATCGAAGTTCAATGAATATTACTTTTCTTATTTATTTTTACGTTCTAAAGCTATCCACGAACAAAAATTGAAAATAAGTTTCTTTTTAAATTCCGAAAAGTATATTATTATTTGCTATTTCGGAAATTCCGAATTGTGTCATTCAACAAACTAGAAAAGCAAAAACAATCATATATTATTAGCGTACTCTATGCCAATTAATAAAGATAATGGAACGAACTCAAGATAACTAGGTCAAATCATAAAAAAGTAAAGCTGATTTATATCCATAAGGACTGACGCAGCCTTTCTTTTCCATTTCGAAACTGTGGCATTCGCTAGAACTAATCTAACGAAAAAGCCAAAGCCACCGACGATATAATCACATTGTTGACAAGTACTAACGGACTTCAATTCAATTCCGCCTCTATAACTGTCACGCTTCATCGATAAACAACGCAAGAAAGAAAAGGGAAAAAAAGGCCGAGCAGAGAGGGGCAGAGTCAGTGGCAATCGACACATCAGTCGAAGGCTGGTAAGTAAAATATCAAACAGATCGAAAGACATTCGGTTCGACTCGACACACGGCATCCGTTACCGGCGTTACCGGGCGCGGCGAACACGCGAAATGCGACGCAAAACCGGAGCTGGCAAAGCTTTTTGACGAATGAAAGCGATTACGAGAGCCAGTTGCCTTACACAGAGATTCGAGCTCGAGCTGTCTTCCTCGACTGGCAAGCTTTTAGCTGTGCGCGCGTGTTATACCGAAGTATTATATCGATTAGCTGTTGGCAACAGAACAGCGAGAGAGAGAGAGAGAGAGCGAGGTTTGTCGGGGCTGGTTGGTGGGCTTTGGCTTTCCTATATTATTAATCTTTGCCTCTCTCTCTCGAGCCGAGCTTTACGAGCAGCACCCTCGCGAAGCTGCCACATACGCGTCCGTCGACTCTCTCTCTCTCTCTCTCTCCAGTCAGGTGTTACGGGCAGCTTTCGCGGTTCAAAGGAAATCCAGACTCGCGGGCTTCCCTACTCTCTGCTAGTCCCAGACCCGACACACCGACTGCGCGCAGATGTTGCGCACCTCTGGCAGGTGCACGTCAGCCGCCACCACCAGAAGCGCGCGCGCGCACGCCGTTTTTGACTTCCATGCAAAAACAGAGCGGTGCGCTGTATGCGACTACCGAAAATGAAAACTCTCTTTTGCCGCCGAAGGCTCTGCGTATGCGAAGCGTACCCCCTCCCTCCCCCAGGGCAAGATTTGCCATTGCTATGAAAGTGCACGGGCGAGGCGCGCGTTTGTTTTTGAAGTTTCGGAAAAAATAGATTGGATCCGCTGAGGCGCTCTGCGGCGGAGGTTTCGAAACTTGTTTAGAGCTGTTTGCCGCTCGCGCTGTTGTTGCTTTCCTCTGGGCTACGCGCCTCCTCCTGCCTGCCATACAGCGAACGTTCAGGCAAATTACGCTCTGTCGCTAGATCACAGATTGACCCGTGCTATCGATATTCCGGCCGGCGCGAAAGCGATAGCTCGCGATCGTTCGCAAGGACGCCACGCGATTTGCGACTCAGCAACGTTAGTCCAGCTGAGTTCCGACGCCTGCGTAGAGCAATGAGAATCGACAAAGAGCGTCGCGGAGACGAGCAGTGTAGCCGAAAAAAGACAACAAGGTCGTTCTCACACTTCCGGAGGCGGAAGACAGAGAGACAGAGAGAGGGGAGGGGGGAGTCCACAGTCGAAGGGAAAATAGAAAGCTCGAGCACGTGTACGGCTGGCGCTGGCTCTGGAGGCGTATCTGGATTCCGGAGCGGCGTAGCGTGCGATCGCGCGTAGAAGCGAACGTGTCCCCCTCCTCCTTCCTCGAAGCGGATGTGTGTACACGCGGTTTAAGCTCTCGAAGAGCTACAGCTGGCGAGAGCTTGCGCCGCGCGCTGACGGACCATCTGTAGCCTTGGGGTGCACCTGCGAACTTCCTTCGATATTGCCCGACACACATGCGGCTTTTCTTCGCTGCTGGGAACGCCGCCTATGTGTGTGGCTGCTCGAGTGCGGCCGGGCCTTCGACTAAATCTTGTGCGCCAGCCGACTGCCTGCTGCGGCCCCAGTTTTCCCGATGCGACACTCGTTACCCGCTGCTAATATATATATATATATATATATATATATATATATATATATATATATATATATATATATATCTTTTCCTTTTTCTTTCCTTTTCCTTGTATTTTGCGAGTGTCCAGAAAATTTGTAGTAGTTTTACATCAATTATTTATGTCGCGTATTACTTATTTATTCGAAATAAATAAACAGTAAGCTTCTTACAAAATTGCCATTCATTTGACAATTCAAATGAATAATGGTTAGGAAACTAAAGTATGATTAAATGCTTTCTAACTGCCTACAGTATCGCGAGTGTATATATATTCGAATTTGTCATACACAACATTTTCAAAGTGTACGGTCGAAAATTTGGAATTGTGAGTTCATTGTAAAAGTCTCCGCTAAAAGGCATATTAGTGACACCCACACCATTACAAAATATCCATTTAATGAACTTGATTAAAGCTTGCGAGATGTGTGTCAGTTATTCGATATTTTACATTTGACTTGATAATAATAATTCCTGCTGAACCTATATTCTTGACAGCGTCTGGTCAAGAATAGAATAACTTGTTAATAATAGAGAATAGAATTGGGAATAGAATAAGGCTTAGAATCATAATCGTAATCATTTTCATTGAAGTCAAAAAAGCTAAGCTTTAAATCGGTTAAAATATAAGAGTGGGTAGACATTCACGAGGAGACAATGAAAAGGCCACACCTGATAACGACAGAGTACCGCCAGCAGCGGCGAGAGAGTCATCATCAATCGGTGAATGGCTCTGTCTCACTTTCTGGGATTCCGGTGCGGCTTCGCGCTCAAAACCGCAATACAAAGAGCGCGCATGTATATATATATATATATATATATATATATATATAAGTTTTTTTTTTCACGGTACGTCTGGCGTTGAAGCCCGATTGATTGACATCGCAGAGCAGCCGGCAGCAGCAGCGCGAACGTCGATGTCGATGATCTCTCTCGAAAACCACCGACGAATAACACAATTCATCGCGGCCCGTTTAAACAATTTCGCCTCGGCGCTTCGGGCGCTGCTGCTCTGCGTTCATCATGCCGTTGCGAGCTACTACTCGTGGAAATGAAGGAAAAAGGAGCCCTGTCGCTACCAGGTTTCCATGTCAGTTACAACACCGCTAATACCGCCGCTGCTATGTACAACGGGATCAGTTATAGCAGTTTCGAGCTTTGATGTACAACGCCGCGCGAGCTTTTGTTCCTTTTATTCGTTCGACGTGCTTTTTGCCATCGACTCTCTTCTTTTCCACTGACTCGTTGGATAACCGCGGCGAGACACCGTGATCATAGCAACTGTGTCCTTATTCGAATAGTAATGATTAAAAAAATGGAATTTGCATTGACGTCATTGCGAAAATATCAATATTGTGGCTAAGCGTCTTCCGCTATTCCAAAGCTTTCTCGTGTTCTCGAAAAAAAAATAAATAAATAAAACGAACGTGTAACTGCTTTTGCGGTATATGCTCATCGCGCATTTTTCGTCTATGAAATTTGGCTCAATCGACTGAGCACGAACTGTGGGGAATGTGCGTGCGTGTGATGACGGCCCCCAGTTCATTCATAAATACATAATGATACGTTCGTTTGTCTCGAAACCGATGAAAACGTTCCGCAGAACGAAAACATCTGTTTAACGTGTACACAAGTGTTGACCGGAAAAGTTTTACTCGCAAGGCGACATTTGCCCAAGTGTCTTTCGTACAATTAATACATTTTCTTCGATTGGAATGTTACAACGCAACTTGCTACGCCATCGACCACTTTTTTCAAAATTACGTTACAATCGAACGTGAAATTGATATCGCGGCGATAATCGACGAATATCGGATAGGATAGGATACTGACTGGAAACGAGAAAGGTTTGTGCACCACTTGAATAACGTTATTGTGCAAATAATACATTTGAATTTCGACAAATTGAGTTGATAAATATATAAATCGTTCTCGCAAGTACCAGCATGTATCATCTCTCGCCACGATAATTTTGACCGCGAGCGTCATTGAAAGCGCGACATAATTAATGGCAACGACAACGTTCAAACGGTACAAAACTAAAATTTAAAAAAAAAAAAACATGAAGCGCAAATGGGGCATGGATCAATCGAGCCCAATGTGAAATTATCAGCACGGCATATCACCGATGGAAAAACGCGGCAGAGATCGAAAGCTCGACAGCAGCGACAACTGTAAAATGCACCTCGCATAATAGGCAGCGGGTGGGCTGCACCTGCATTAGCCGTCGTCACATGTGGGAGGGCACGTGGATTACGCAATATGAGGGCTGCGACGTCGTCGTAGCCAGGGCTATCGCGTATACAATGCCCGCGCCAAGTCAGATAAAAGCTCGCGCTCGCGCGCGACTGTGCGTGACATTTTTATAATGAAGCTGCAGCGATGGCGAAGAGTCGAGTCCTAGTCAGACATCTGGCCTCTCTCTCTCTCTCTCTCTCTCTTTCACTCGCGCTCGTTCTAATATTGGAAATTTTAGTCAGAGATAGAGAGAGAGAGAGAGAGAGAGAAGCTCCTCGAGCAGCACGCCATGTGCGGAACATATGTATAAACACAAGCCAGGCTGTTGCCGCTGCGAGCGCGCCCGTTTAAAAAGGCTCGTGTGTATATATAAAAGGGGCGGCGATCGATTACCGAAGGGTTCATTCGACGACGTAAAATAAAAGGGGACAGACTATTGTGACCGCGATTTTTTTTTTTTTTTTTCATCGAGTGACTTAATTAGCCGAGTACACTTAAAGGGTTCGTTTTTAGTTTCACCGCTGCTGTGCTGTTGTTACTGCGGTTGTCGTGAATGACGGAACTAGAACGGTCGAGTGGCCTGCGAAGGTTTTAATGCGTTCGACGCACTGTTCTGCCTGTCTCGCTTTTTCTCCGTCTGTCTGATAACAGCTGTTCTGGTTATATTATTTTTAGGATTTAAATGGACGTCACGCGAGAAGTCAGCGACTGGCGTATTTTCATATTAAATCCTGGGCATTAAATCGAATTCCTTTTCCACGAAATTCTGCGCGCAAATTAGGAATCGTCACTGCTATCGAGGCCTTCATTTTTTTGTCTGTCGGCAATTTAGTTACAAGCAATAAAAATTACGAAGTGCTTATCAATAACTACAAAAATTATGAAAATTTATGAACTGGCATGATTTCAGTTGGATAGCAAACATTCGTTCACAATATTTAATGTCAAGGGCAATGAGCATTCGATGCTTGAATTAATCAAACTTTTAAATTAAAAAAATTATCTGGAACAAATTACAATTGTAAATCAACGGAATACGAAATAGATAATCGATCATCGAAAGAAAAGCATTAAGTCCATCCGTTAATGAAATAAATGCCAATATTGCGAAGGTGCTGGAGTAGGGTGAGGAAGGGGGGGGGGCGAAAAATGCTAATAAACGCGCGCGGGGAGGCATCCGCAATCAGCAGCGGTGGGTGGCGGCAGCGCCAGCGAAGCTGGCATGTGCGCGCAAAGAGTGATTGCCTCGAGAGGCGAGGGAGAAGAAAGAGAGAAAAAGAAAACAGGCGCACATGCGGACTGCGATGTTGGCTGGTGGGCGCTCGCGAGACGGGAAATCGCGAGGAGGCGGCGGAGGGTCGAGGATCGATTGGCGCACACCCGGCGTGCGTGTGTATGTCGGTGTGTGTGTGTGTGTGTGTACTTGCCGGCAAGATGTTTTTCATCTGCGGAATCTAGCGGCGGCGGCGACAGCCGGGATTTCGTAAGTCACAGCAGCAGCGCTGCCACATCTGGATCCTGACAGCGTATATAAGTGTATGCACGGCGCACATGGCACGGCGACGCAGAGAATGAGTCACGGGCGATATTGCAATCTGTCTCTTTCTCTCTTGGCCCGTGGCTACGTGACTTTTACATAGGGCCAAGTGTCGCCTCGAACTTTTCTAATTACCGCGCGCTCGCGCGCGCGCGCGAACCGAGAGACTGCAGCTGCGAGAAAACGGCGCCCACCGATCGAAATAGCAAGCAGCCACGACGAACCGGCGCAGCAAAAAAAAAAAAGAAAAATATAGCATCGCAACGCGCCGCCTGCGCGCCACCGGCTGACGCGCGCGCGCGACCGACTCCGCGCCTGCAAAAAGCTCTCGATTGGCCTCGCGCGCACTTTGGTTCTGTATATCGGGCGAATAATTGCCAAAGCTCAGGAAGCTTGTAATGAGTTTGGTGAGACGTGATTTTCTACGGCACAGTTGCCTCGATTATTTGCGCGACAGAGCAAGAGAGGGAAAAAGCCTGGCTCGTGAAAGCTCTGATTAAAGTTTCACCGGGAAATCCACGGATTTTGCGTTGTGGCACGTTTATCACTTTCCCGCTGGCGAGGAGCTGGACGATCAGCTTGTTTGCGTTGGCTAAGCTCTTAACCGACTGTCAAGCCTCGTTTATTTAACTTTTTTTTTCGAATTCGGCAATATTTTGATTGTATTTTTCAAATGTTGAAACGAATAAGTTGTAACATTATTTCACAAGTGGTTTTATATTAATTATTTTGATAAATTTGCTTCAAATATTGGATTAATCAAATGTTTATCGATATTTATACATAGAAAAGTTGAGATTGTGTTTTGGACTGTAAGCTTGTTTCGAATTTCATTATTAGAAGACGTTTTATTGATAATAGCATACTTAGGGTAGAATCTTTATAAAGCGAGAATAAGACACTAATCATTGAATAATTAATTTTTCCTTAAACTTGTTCATTTCACCTTCCTCTTTTATACGCAAAAGATACTTCGACGACAGCATTGTCGAGTTGCTGATTCTTTTCCAGCTCTATTTTTTTGTAGCTAACGAAGATGTCTTATATTATTTTTTCAGATGAATGGTAAACGGTAACATTTTACTCGTATGACTCACATCTCTTAAAAGTACAATAAGTCGCAGTTTCGAAGCGCCGATTGTTATGACTGGCTCTGAGATCGGCATCAACAAAAGTAATTTAAACAAATTTTCAAATTCCAAAGGCAGATAAAGAGCTCACGTCGCAGACGGAAAACTGAAAAAACACAGCCGTCCAGTCAAAATAGTCGTGTGCGGTTCAGATCTTTTGACTTGCGTCAGCAGAAAAGAGAGTGCAACCGCACTCGCGCTCAACTATCGTCAATGAAGCTACAAAAGCTAAAAAAAAGGAAGAAGAAAATGTAATCACTGGATCTTTTTGAAAAGTCGTCTTCATAATTAAAACATCCACGGAGCGTAAGCCTTCGCGCTCCTGCAATAACGAGTGACATTTTTTTCCTTTATCGGGAAAAAGAGTTTCGTCGACTTTTTCACTGTTGCAAATTTCGTTCAAAGAATTTCATAGGTCTCTGTTAACGACGGCCGTTCTATCGTTGTGAGATTCGCGCATTGCCAACGAGAAAGCCTCGTAGTTGCGAAGCACGACGGGGCGCGGAGAACAGTCCGAAAAATCCGCCCGAGACGGGTATAGAGAAAAAGCGAGCGTGATGCGTGCGGACGGAAGCTGCCGAAGTGGGCAGTCGACGGGCAACGAGCAGACTTACGAGGTCGGGACCGGTAACGTCGGTGATGCGGATTATCGGGTGTCGCGAGCATTAGAGTAATATGGCACGCTGACGCCGTTCGACGAGCAGACGTGGAACGAAACGTGGGGTAATTGTTTCAATTTACTTGGTGTTGCGTGTCGATAACTTTATTGTTAAACATAACCCCAACAGTTAGAAAATGAAAAATTCAATAAGATTTCGTGATATGAATCTTTAGAATGTAAACGATTCGCAGGAATTTTTTCAAAGTTTACTACTCAACAATTCTTTCGAATAATCGTGACGTGAAATACTCTTGCAATCAACGGTGAATATGTGAAATTATATCTTAATATTAAAATTTTGTAAAATCAAGCTGTACTATTTATGATCATGAGAAATACTTATGAAAGAAACGTTATTTATTAAACATGACGTTTAAAAAGGCTAATCTTTCAATTCGTTTGAACACTCCAAAATAAAAGATCTAGCGTTTGCATCTGCAAGTCGTTTCTGCACGCAACTCTTTTCAACTACCTCGTTTATAGCAGAACCAGTATTTTCACGAATCTTAGAGAGATTATGATTTGTTCATCTGTTTTTACTTGAACCCTAGCATGTATGGCACCATTGAACAATAGAAAATGATACCATGTTAGTCGCGAGTATAATATAAAGAGTTAAGAAATGATTTAGTCTTTAGAATGTTTCTATGTTTTTACCAAATATTGTTTTCCCAATTGAAGGATCCTTGCGTCATTTATTACTCATCACTAAATTGATTAATAAACATTCGTGAGATGGAGCTATGAAAATATGCTAAATAAATCATTTTAATTCAGATCTTCGATGTTTTGCATTAATAAATCGGCGCTGCAAGCCGAGTAAGATATAAATTTGGACATCTGTTCATCAACGATTCACTTGACTAAGGTTCCTTTTCACCAGCAGATCGTTCAGTCGAATTTGATTAGCAGTGCTTCGCAATGTCATTATCGTCTTTCCACTTTCTCTTTTCGTCAGTGCTTCAGACATTCTGTGATACTATGGTTTAAACATTCACGGTAAAAAAATAAGAATCTCAATGCATTACATTACTTGCAAAATTAAATGATTATAGTGACAATTAGTTGTACGTATTTTGATTTACAGTTGATACAAATGTAAGAAATAATTATTAACTTTGATCCATTTTGAATATATGTTTGTTAAACCCTAAATTATTTTCGAAACAATTGAAAATTGATCGGCATATCTTCAAATGAAACTTACCACGAAGCTTCGAATTGGTGCTCTTTACGCAATTTCGCACCCGACCGCGCCTGTTCCAATTTCGCCTGCGGGACCATCCTCTTCTGCTCTCTATCACGACGAGCTTGTCCACAAGGGGATATAAAGCAGTTCCATGACTGGATCGTGTAAATGTCGATGAGCAAGCGAGACAGAGAGAGAGAGAGAGAGAGAGAGGAAGAAAGGAAGCGTGTGACTTTTAGCGTGCATTTCTCGTTTTTATCGTTTGTTTACGCGGATACGTTTTGAGAAAGTTTCTATAGTATTACATAGCATAAATGATCTTTGATTATTTATAGCGCACCGACTCTTTAATCGACACTCGAGTCATGCCTATTCGTGACTTGAGTAGTTCATTTTTGCAACATGCATAAGCTGACGCTTCGGTGTTTACCTCACGAGGCTAACCAATGCAGTTGATTCACGGATAGACGTACGGAAAGTGCCGATTTGAGTTCAAATTAGTTGTAATATGTTGTACGACACATTTTAAGTGGCCCATTATTCGACGTCATGATTATCTCACCGTGCAATATAATAGACTATCTCAATTAAGTCCCATCTATATTATTAATTGAAGATTCTTTCAATTACTGAACTACCGTTTTTCTCAATGATGAGTATAAAGCAACATGATACTTCAAAGCGTAGGCTCCATTTACGACAACCCATTTCTCTCACATGTTCAGCATCTTTCTTGGATTGCACAATGCCCTTAGAACGACATGTTCTTTTATTGGTAACATTAATTGATAGAAACTAAAAAATATATTTTTACCTGCTTCATTATCGACGGAAAGATGAACGACTTTATAAGGCCGTGGCAACGAAGGCATCGACTAACAATGGAACAAAGAATCACCAGGAGTTTTTGAAAAACATTGACGAAGCGCATCGGGGCAAGAAGTTGTCACTTGCAGAACGCGCGCAACGCAAAGCAGTGATTAAGCGGGCGGCGCATCGCAGCCTGGCAAAACTAATGGGAAAACGCGCGACGCCGGCGGACTGGTTAAAAGGGCAATCGGTATGCAGGACGCGGGGGCTCAAAGGACAAATCCGCCGGAGCACGTATATGACGCTCCGGCGCTCTGGAATCAATCAAATTCGAATCGCGCAACGGGTGCCTCACGCGTCTCTCGCCTAATGCCGCGGGCGGCGCGTCACGATTTTTCTTTGCGCGATCCCGAGGGCCCAGCTCCCTCCCTCCCTCTCTCTCTCTCTCTCGCGCGCGCGCGCTCTCATCTTTCGCTCGTTCGGACTCTTCTCGCGATGCTTTATTCCGTCGTTTGAGCCGCCTTCTTCACGCTCGCCTCTCATTCGGAATCGTTGGTTCGTCCGGTACAATGCGCGATCGCTCCCAAAGAGAGAGAGAGAGAGAGAGAGAGAGCAGCAGCCGGCCATTGCGCATCGACACGTTACGAATAAAAAAAAAGTAATGGAAACGACGATAATCGAAGGCGCACATGTGCGCTTGTTTCAGTCTGACACGAGCCAGCGATCGCAACATGAAAGTAGAGAGCGGCGGAGTGGCTACGAGCAGCGGCGCGACCACGGTGCTGCACAAGATCAAGGTCAAGGAAGAGGCCAAGGACTGCTGTCCGACTCTCATCCAGCAAGGCTCGTCGGCGCCCGTCACGGTCACGTCCTCGTCGTCGCCGCCGCCGAGGATAGGCGCCATCGCCACCATTACCATCAGCAACTGCGGCAGCGAACTCGCCGCGGTCGCCAAGCACACTGCCGGCGACGCTTTCCCCGTCGATCTCGATCTCAAGAGCCGAGCCAAAGGTATATACTTTCTCTCCTTGTGGCGTCGAGGCGCCCCAACCGAGTAGCGCAAGGTCAGCTCGCCGCTCCGGGAGAGCCGATCGCGAGCCGCGACGTCGAGGCGTATAACGTGGCCGACGAAATCTATATACGTCCTCGAGCCGCGCGGCTACAGTTAGCCGCCCGCGAGTGATTTTCGGCGACTGCTCTCTCCCCGCCATGGGGGCACCCGCACGGCACTTATCTGCCCGCAGGCGTCGCCACCGACGCGCGCGCACTCTCGGATTAGTAAAACGCCCGCGCCGATGCGACTTCCAAAGACAAGTGTACGCGCGCACTGTTCGCTCGGAAAGTGCCTCTCGAGGGGGATATCGGCCGGCGGATTTTAGGGTTGACGCTACCCCAATGAGGATGTGCTTTCGAGTACTCGTTTCCCAATGAATGCGCGCGCGCGCGTACCAAAAGCCTCCTCTATTTGTATACGCGACCACGTGCCTGGATTATTAGAATGCTCCGTTGGCTTAGCTGTTCGCGTCTCGTTGCTTCGACAGATCACGTAGTGTCCGTGCGTACGGGGTCATTTCTTTCGAATGGCACGGACTGTGACTGACTGATTTCTGTGATTCATAATATAAAAGCATACTTGCACCGCGTGCTCCTCGTTTCGCTCTATCGCGCTTGTTTTTATTTTGCGCAAGACGCTGAAAATACAGCAAATCGTATAGAACTGAAAAATTCTATGTGAAACGAAATGCAGCTTCATTGGCAAGATAAACGCTATCGTACTCGTTCTCCTCCGCAAAAAATAGGCCTCGCAACGGACGGTCCCGGAAAAGCGCCCGGTGAAAGGGGAGCTTTTTTTCGATCCATGATTTCGGGGGAAAAAAAGTAATTAAACGAAAAGCTCGCGCGCAGGACCAAAATAAACCTGCAACATAAAACGTGCGAGCGGTTGGCAGCGGCACGTGGTGCACAGTATCAGAGGCGTTCAGGCTCTGGCGATACTTTTCTCCTCCTCTGCCTCCTCTTTGCGCAGCGTGTACACACACGCGCGCGCGAGCGCACACACAGCGCGCTCTCGAGGCTGATGTCGTCGCCGTAGAGTGGGTAGAGAGAGGGAGAGAGAGAGAGAGAGAGAGAGCAGAGCAGTGCCTGGCGCCGACGCGATAAGACACGTCCGACACTTTCCTGCGCCCCGCTGATAGCGCGCGTACGCGCGCTCGCGCCATGCCAGAAACTGACTGACAGAGCTTGCAGCGGCGGCGGCAGCGTGGAAGCCCAAAATTCGCCGCCGCGGGGAGACTGCCGTCGCCGCCGCCGCTGCTCAAGCGCAGATTATCCGCTGTGGTTTTGCCCTCGCGCATACTTTGCGCGCGAGAGCGACGGGCCGTTTCGTCCGTCGGACCGCGCCATTCGGGTCAGCCCGCGCGGCCCGCGTCGCTCGTTATCGCGAGCGGGCCAACGGAGTCGCGCTGCCGGCGAGCCGTCCTCTTGCCAAATCTCGCGTCCAAGGAAATACGGCAGCGTCAGCCCGCGGCCGCATTATTCGCGCGCGCGAGCTCCCAACTTTTCAATTTAAACTTTTCGTTTATTAAAATCAGCCGACGTCTCCGCGCCCGCAGCTGTCTCTGGCGCGCCCGCGCGTCTTTCGGAATTCTTTATCCCTTGATTCCTTCCGGGTCGGGAGATTGACTCGAACTTGCCGGATGGAGAGTGCGACTGGGAGGGAGACAGGCTAAGAAGGAAACTGCGTTGAGCGAGCGAGATAGACGAGGTGAGGAAACGATGGAGAGAACGCGAGCAGGAGGGGGAGGGGGCTCGCGATCAAAGCCATCTGTTGCATTGTCCCGGCAATTAGGAGGCGACAGCTGAGTCCCGCCGTACTTACTTCCTTCGGAGATCCTCAGCCTTGTGCGCGCGCTTTCCCGCTCGGTCTTGTATGTACAGCTTGCGAGCGAAGCGAGCTTCGGTCAAAGGTACGCTGTGCAGGCTCTCTTTTCCCGCATCAATTGCCTCATCTCGTTTTCTCGCTTCTTCTCTCAATATTCTTATATACTTGTAGTTTTGCGATCGAGTTACCGTAGCCGATTGACTAGTCCAATTTTGCTATGATTTGAAAATTTTTAAGTTGCAAATTCAAATTCATGAAAAAAAAATGCATGAGCTGTAATCAAATGCACCTGTGTTCTTAGCGATTAAAAACGCCGTACGTTTTTGCATGAAGTGGCTCTCCGAAAAAAAAAATTAACGACGAATAAAAAACGAAACGAAACAACGTCAGCCACGTATAAGCAAAGGCAAACAGCACTTCCGTGAGAAAATCCCCGAGAGAGCTTAAGGGCGTCTTATCGCGGTGGGCGAGCAGCAGCAGCAGCGGCGACGGCGGCAGCAGCCAGCACACGGCAACGCATAAAAGTGGGATAAAAGCGCGCAGAGAGCTGAGCGTCGCTGCGGGAAGTAACAGCTGGCCGAAGGGACATAGAGAGTGGCGCCAGCTACGCAAGCTCGCTGCAGCCAAAGCTAGCATTTCCGTAACCGTGTCCTCCCCACCCCCCTCTCGCCGCTTGTCCCTAGGACATACGTACACCTACGTACTATTTTACGCGGATTTTGCGAATCTCTTCCAAAAATTGCGAAAAGCACTTGGTCGAAATGACTTTTACATACGGCTCTTTAAAATTCTTCGTTGTCCGGATTGGTCGGGAAAATTGTTCGTTCGATACACCATCGGCAGATGTCGGCTTTTGAAAATTAATATAATACGAAATCCAGAGGCGCCTTTACTAATGGAAAGCTAACCGCTAATTGTTGATATTATAAGGTTTTAAGGCTGAAAACATGACGTGAAGTGTAACGGTATGATTAGTTGAACGGAGAAGAAGCAGTCCTCGCTGAGCAATTCACAACGTCATTATCGAAACGAAGTCATCCAGCAATTTTCATCTCGTGAACTACGTTAATTGCGAAGTGTCTTTAAAACTGGAATAAATGCGATAGATTTGGAGCTGAACCGACCACTTAATGATAATTTCAGTAATAACTATAGACTCGCGGCATCGCCCGACTTCAAAAGCTACTCTCACTCGCACGACTAATCACATCATAGCTGGCAATCATTATACGAAAATGAGTTATTTCCGCAGAGCAGCGTATAAAAAATATCCCGCAAGGTGTGTCGCAACCTACTCAGCGGCGCGTAGCACGGCTGTCGCGGGCGCGGGTTCGAAACGCGAAAGGCGCGCGCAAGTCAGCTGCAGCGCACATACGCGCGCCAGCGTAAAACGAGCCGAGGGAGATGATTGAGCGGTGCGCGCCGGGGCGAGAGACAAAAAGCGCGGGATGGCTTACGGCTAGGCGAAGTTGCGCGCTTGGCTACAGGTAATTACCTGCTCGCACCAGGTGCCGTCGCCGCCGCCGCCGCCTCCGCGATGTCGCGTCTTTTCTATACGAGCACAGGCTCGCTCTATCCCGTTTCAACTTCTAGGCTATTTTCTCTCTCTCTCTCTCTCTCTCTCTCTCTCTCTCTCTCTCTCTCTCTCTCTCTCTCTCTCTCTCTCTCTCCGTGCCAGCTCCCGATCTGCTTTCTCGTGCGCTTTCCGCCCAGCTCCCGGCGACGTTTCGACCGCGCGGCTGAAAGACGTTATTGCGCTCACCGCCGACGTCGTCATTCGACTAACGCGATCTTTTGATCTTCGTTGCTCCTCCGAAGCGACATATTTATCGTTCGGCCGCGCATCCGCGGGGGCATCCCGATTGAATTATTGCGAGCGCGCGTAATTGCCCTCGCGACGCGAATATAGGCTTGGCTTTATTTGCGCCGCGTGCCAAAACGATCGCGAGAGACGGCGTTCGTCCGTGGACGCGGCAATGAAACCCAAATGAGCGCGCGCGCGGGCTTTTAATGGGACGTCGCGCGAACGGTCTTCTCGCGCCGGGACCTCGCGCGGCAAGCGTGCAACCGTGCACGATCGATCGAGGATCGATGCGCATGCGGACGAGAAGGGAAAAAAAATGAAATAAAACGAGAGAGCCGACTTGCCCGAAGAGAAAGGATGGCCGCGGCTGCGCACGAGGGAATCGGATTATCCTTCGTCAGCAGGACTTTTACGCGATATCGTCATTGGGCTTATTGCGCGTTGTTTACAGCAGCATAGCGCATTATTATCATTATATTCCGCGGGGCCGCGTATAATAAGCTCTCTCTCTCTCTCGCCGAGAGCAAGTCGCCTCCGTTATCAGCGTGTCTACTCCAGCCCTTCATTGTTTGCCGCGAGCAGATACATCCCCCCCTTCACCCGGCAGGCAGTGCGCGTGATAACGTACATAATAGCAGTGTGCGCGTCGGGGCTGCCCGGGAAAAAGACCGCGCGCGCGCGCGCGCGCAAAAACGGAAAAAGAAACGAAAAAAAATAGGAGAGATCGAGCGCGTATTCTTTAATCCTGACGGCGTTTTGCTGCTTTTTTTCAGATGCCAGATTACATTGTCGTGCGATTGTTTGACGCAGTCCTCTCTCTCTCCACGTTGGTTTGGTTTTTCTTTTTATTTATTTAAGCGAATTAAACCCCTTATCGGGTTGCTTTGCTGTCACATGGTCTAATCTTCATTTTCAATTTGAGAAAATGCTGTTGTACTCGATAGGAAGCGTTTAGTCGAGAAAATAGTTCATTATCGTTTGATAAATTAATTTGATAATTTTTGAACAATAAACAAAAAGAAATGAATTGGCAGTACACGGCATTAATACTATGCACCTTGTGTTATTTTGCCCACGTAACCGTATCCCGCTACGGTGCGGTGTCCAGACTACAACGAAAGTACACCTGCTGCGCGAGCCTTTAACGGAATTGAAATAAATTAGCAAATTCCCTTACATAAGAATCATCGGGAAGTACTTTCGCTGCGAAAGAACCTTCAAAAACTGTATGTTACAGCGCAAACATGCGACAAAATTCCACCACGAGAGGATGCGAACGGTACGGAAAGTCGTGGATCCTCGTCACCTTCGCCATCGTCATCGCCAAGCTCGCAGTACGCCCAACCGACGAAGTCGCAAACCGCGCGCGCCAACTCGTCCTCTTCGGCCCGCTCGCCGGAAAGTGACGACCAAGGCGCAACTTTGCAAATCCACAAAAGTGAATCTCAGACGAGCGAGGACGTCACGGGGGCGGCGACCAACGATCATCGACTGGACGAGCCGAAAAGCGAAACTAACGGCACCTCCGGCGCTCGATGTATTTCGGCTATTTTCACGGCGCACAGTAAGCTCAGAAGGTTACTCGGCACCCTTGTACAGTTTGCCACAGATATATCGCCGGACACGGGTGGCAGTGTGAAAGCTTTGGTGCTTAATCTGTTGGTGAGTTTACGGAACGAGCGACTGCAATATATCGAACACCACAATTCGCGATAATCTCTCGAAAGAAAAAACCGTACGCGTGAACAAATTCTTGTCCATCTCGCAGAGTGGATCTCTGTCGGCCGAAGAATTCCACTCGGCGCTACAGGAGGCGACGAATTTCCCTCTGCGCGGATTTGTGCTGCCGTACCTGAAGCACAATCTGCCCTCGTTGCAGCGGGATCTCAGCACAGCTGCCAGAACGGATAACCAAGTGAGTAGAAAAAAAAAGAGGGGAGAGAGTAAAGAGGGGGGCTCTAATTAAATCCTTTGGAGTGCCTGCGAAAACCCTTTTACTGTTTACATTTCGCTCGCTAATGGAAAAGAAATCCGTGCACTTTGCAATTCGAAATTAATTCAAACAATGAGCTGGTGCGCACAGGCGCGCCGGGACAAAGCGTCGCGAATGATTTGTTTCGGCGTCGTTTAGCAGTGGGAGAAAGACATCTGACGCAGAAATTCGGGAACAATAACGTCGGCCTTCATTTCGATGAACGAGATTCGTCGACAATAAAATCAATTGACCCGGCGTCTCGCGCTTCCGCTGAGATTTCTTTTGGCCGGAGCGTGAGCATAAGCCTTCGATCGCAGTGAAACGACGGTTTTCTTTCCGTGTCACTCCGAGTATAAAAGCCGCGAGTGACTGACCTCACGAGGGTTGGATGCTTTATGATGTTACTAGCCCAGAGTGCCGTAAATCAGCGCGCAAAGAGCCTCGCCGCACTGCCGCCACCAGATGTATCTCACGCCCGCCAAGGCAACTTGCTTAATTTCAGATTCTTCGTTTGGGATGATTTCGCGCGGAGTTAGCAGTCTTGCAGTTAATCAATTGTCGCTACGTACGAAATGTCTCGTATACTTGTTCTTTTATAAAAATCCACCACGACTACTCGACGGTACTTCCTTTGTCGCGTCGCTCACTTTTTGGACTTGTGCGCCGTGTAAAAAGTAGCATTCCTCGCTTTCGTATAAAACAACGGCGAAGCTCTTCTCGGAATGACGTTGAAACAGCCACTGGCAATTCGTCTAACGTGAATTCGCAACTATAGTACATTTTTATGAAGCAATTGCAAATCGACGTAAACCTACGCATAGTTCAGGAGGCATAAATTTACTTGAGAACGGGCATTTTTATCGGTAGCGGTAAATCGCCCGAGCTTTCAAAGTATGAAGTACAAGCCGCCGAATACGCGTGCGGCTGAACGCTTCGTAAACAGAGCGTAGGCGCTCGACGAAGAAGGACGCACCTGAGCTCTCGGCGCGGGCAAATATTTCTCGCAGCGCGCGCTCGCTGGATCCCCTCGGAGCCAGAAGCGCTGCAGCCGAGCGCACTCGCGATGCTTGGCAAATCCAACGATCGGCCCGGGCGTGATTAGCGAGCGGGGCAATAAGCGAGTTGCCGTGGCGATTAACTCAAAAGAACAATAAAAAGGGGCGGGGGTCTGGGAGGGGGGGGGGGGGCGTGCGGAGAGCGAGTGCGTCACCTGAGCGCGACGCATTCGAGAGAGGCAAAAATAATATCGGAGAAGGAGATCGCCGCGGCGCTAGAGGCAGCGCAGCGAAATGACTGCGAAAGCTGGCGCGCTTGGCGGCCGCTTTTCTACTTAAATTGTACGTATATATCAGAAGGGGCCTTCGCCGCTCGTAGGGTGGCCAGCTGTTGCAGAGCGTCTCAAGACCTCTCGCTCTCTCTCTCTCTCTCTCTCTCTTTCTCTCTCTTCGCAGAGCATCAGCTTGGACGGCGACGGCGACGCCGGATAACGAATTGCAAATTAATAGCGCAACATTTACATTTGCCTGGCTGCCTTGCCGTCGCGATATCGCAACGACGTATTCTTTTGTCGCTCCTCCGCACCTGTGCGCGCGCGCGCGCACCCTTGGCGTGTCATTCGCCAATGATACGTATTTCACCAAAAAGAAGATTAATGCGGTGCGCGTCGCGTCGGGCTCGCGAACGCTCGCGTGAAAGTGGGTTACGCGCGAATTCGTTAAGCTCGCCGGCGCGAGTGCGCCCGGAACGTTCGGCCGTGGATTATTACTTGATCGTCGATTAAAGCATACGCTCGCACCTGAGACCTAGCCGCCGCGCGTGAAATACGGGCCGCTCGCCCTTCTTTCCCCTCCCAAGATAAAACGCGCGCGAGTCGCGCGAAATGGCAAATAAAAATTAGCCCGAGAGTCGTAAAAAGCTCGACCTCGTCGAGCGCTCGGGGCTCGGCTAATAAGAAAATGACGGGTGAAAAGCCGCGAAAGTATCGATTGGCCGCGCGTTCATCGCGCGAGACCTCGGAGGGCAGAGGGAGACGCTGGCGACGCCGACTGCGCGCTCTCTCTCTCTCTCTCTCTCTCTCTCTCTCGATATTGAATTAGAAGCGATAAATCGCGCGAGCGAGTATTAAGAAAGCTCGGAGCGGCGCGCGGACAAAGTAGCGCCCGGCGCGAATATTAAAAACGAAACTGATTGGCCTTCCGCGGACGTTTATGAAAAGCCCGTTGCGCCGCGTTTCCATCTCTCGCTCGCTGCAGCTGCGGCTCGGCGTCCGATCGCGTGCCGTTGTTTGCCGAGCGACCGTAGTCCGCGCGCTGACGCGATGTCGTAGATTGATTACGGTGTATCAACGTTCCTCTCGCAACTCTGCGTTTGCGCGCGCGCGGCGAAAGCTCGACTCGTCGAAAGAGAGAGAGAGAGGGAGAGAGAAAGAGAGAAAGGCACCGGCAAGTGACGCGGAAAACCACCGCGGAGCGGTGCCTGGCGCACCGGGCCACAAGTTCTCTGACGTGTACACTTGCGAGGGCTCGCGTTCGCGATACACGTGCGCATGTAGCCACCTGTGGCAACATGCGCGCAAGTGTTGCTCCATATTCGAGCGAGCTCCCATCTCCTAAGCAAACGCAGGCGGCGCTCCGACAGTGGAGTCGAGCTAGGCGCAAATCATCGGTTTTGATTGGCAGACGTGCACGCAGTACCTGCGTGCCAACGAGAGCGCGATCCTCGAAGCTGTGGGTCTCACCGAGTCAGCGGTCGAGCTTTTCGCGCCGCCACCGCCGCCCACGGTGGTCTCCAGTGCCAGTCTGCACCACCATCACTACGCCAGCGCGATGAGACCGCTGGTACCCAGTGCCGCCTCCACCCCGGCGCCGAGTGTCGCCGCGCACCTCGGCTTCGCCGCTGCGCACGGCCTCAAGAGGAGGGCCTCCGACGCGCTGTGAGTATCGACTTTACACCGAATCTCGTGTCGTTGGTCAGAGGCTGTCGCGTCGAAGCGCGCGCGAAACCCCAAAGTAGGCGAACTGCAGCCTCGATGCGCTTGACAAACCGAACGCACGGTGAGAAGGGCAATCGATTGCCAAAGCGCGCTCGTGCCATTCGTCAAAAAGACTCGTCGTTGGCATCGCGCGGGTCGTGCGCACCAGCCAGCACTGCCGGTCAATGTTCGGGATCTTATTTAGCCAGCTGATTAATGCACCAAATGACATTCAATTTATTATGGCCCCTGACAATTATCTAACTCATAATTGTCCTCCTGATAAGTTCGTTTATTGCGATTTCTAGCTTCTTTCGCGTTGTTTTGAGACGATACGCCACTTTGGCTGCCCTAGCCAGTGGAATGCCAGTAGTACGCCTCGACCGCGATCGGACGACAATCGGAACAAACGCAACTCGACGGAATCTACAAACATACGAGAAGAAAGAACTCGCGCTCAGACGGCTTCACGGCCTGGCTCTGTTCGAAAGATCTTCCAATCAGCGAGTACCAAACGTCGCCGCTCGATCGACCTATTGCTGCCGGCGGCACACGCAGCTCGCCGCCAATCCCGTTAAAACGAGCCGGCGCGTCTAGCTCGGGCGGCGTCTGTGACGAGACACGCGCAGCCTTCCCCGAGTCAACAGTGATCAGTCGATCAGGTAGCGGGTCGTTCCGCGCTGAGAAGCGCGCTAAACAGGCGGTCGTCTCGGAGCAATCGAACGACGCACCCGAAAGAGAGAGAGAGAGAGAGAGAGAGAGAGAGAGAGAGAGGCGTAGCTGCGTGGGCGGCCCGCGATCGTAAATTAGAGGCGCGCGGGCAACGAGCGCGGGAGTGGAGACAGTGTCTTCGGGCCCGATCAATCGGGAAAAAGTGAGCGAGCTCTTGCCAAGCCGCAGGGCGGCGAAAAATCTTGGCCGGCGTCCACTCGGGCGCCGCAGGTGCGCGCTCGAGCGTCGTAATAGCCATCGCTTTGGCGGCCGGCGTTGTCGCGGTTTTTGTTGCCCGGTGCGCGGGATGGCCTTGCCCGCGCGCCCTCGCCCCCACTCGTTTTTAATGCGCACTTCACTGCCCCATCCATAAATTGCATTATATGCATTTATATATATCTATATATCAGTTTCGCGTCACGATCCTTTTTCGCGCGTCGTGCCATCTATCGTTGCGTATCCACTGCTTCCGGTCCAGCGATCGGTGCGCATTGATCACTGAAACAGCCCGTCGAGACTCTTGGACGTGTATGCGCGTTCCATTGGAAATGTTCGTCATTCCCATTGGAAGCTCGTGCTTCGAATGCAAAATCGCATTTCTCTAATGAGTAGAGCTGCTACGTCGCGAGAAAAAAAAGGAAGCCTTGGAGGGCAGGTTGTGCGCGCATATAATAGCACACCCTCGCGGAGCTCAAAGGCGGCGAGGCGAAGGCGACAAAACGCTCGCTCCAGATATGCCGAAAGAGAGAGAGAGAGAGAGAGAGAGAGAGAGAGAGCCGTTGGATGGCAGCTTCTCTCTCTCTCTCTCGCTCGCTCGCTCTTCGCGTCCTCTCGATACGTCTGCCGCTGACGTTTCCATATATCACGCGCCGCCCCCGTACCTTAACCTCTCTCTCTCTCTCTCTCTCTCACCCTTTCACTCTCTTTCCAAGTTGCGCGCGAGCGCTGTTTTCGAGTGCCTATCGGCACCCTGCTAATATGCCAGCCGCACGCCAGCTCTCTCCGAAATTGAATTGGGTCTGTGGGTGCTGCCACCACTTCACGCCAGTCACACGGCCGGGTTCGCTTGCGCGACGCCACCAAGCCTTTTCTTCCAGCTCTACCGACGCGCACCTGCGCTCACGTCCGCACCTGCACCTACTGATCCCTGCAGCCAACGCTCTCTCTTCCGCGAGCTTCTCTCGCTTGCCATGACAAAGCTGTACTTGCAGCTCTTTGCAACACTGTGCGCTTTGTCTCTCTCTCTCTCTCTCTCTCCTTTCTCTCTCTCTCTCTCTCTGTTTCTCTGACGGATAGAGGGTTACGAGAAAATACTTATTCCTATCCGCATTCCTTTAATCACGGGTCTTGTGAAAACATTTCTAAGGTCAGGTGCGCATAGAGCTGAGTAACTTTCTTTTCCGTTTTTTTATCTTTCAACGGCGATCGAAAGTTTTTAATAAGATTCAAAAAGAGACTGAAGTTAAGGAGAATATTAATTAAAAGTTTTACTTCAACATTCGCGTGAGAGAATTGCAAAACTACATGCTTCTCGACGTACGAATCCGAACAATAACACTAATAGGAAAAAGAAAGACGACGCCTAAAGTTAAATTTATTTTCAAAGAAGATGGGGCAACATTCGACAATACTATTATGAATGCATCGATAAACTGACACCTAGTAGTGACTCAGTAAACGTAATATTCGTAATCTATTGAAAAAAAAGCTCATCTTTCGTCGTTTTATTGCAATCGCCAGCTCGCAAAATACCTCTCCGCAATGAAGAACGAGCAAACCCCCATCACAACACGCAATTGTCCAAATCAATCCAAATTTGTAAGCAGCTACTACGAGAACGGTGCAGCATTCGACGAGGGCCCGCCATACGCAAAGCGCTCTGCCAATCCATGGACATCGCACTCTCACCATCACAATCAACAACCACAGCAGCATCACCATCTGGCACATCTGTCGCATCATCAGCAGCAGCAGCAGCAGCAGCAATCAGCTCATCCAGATACAGCTCCGTACTGCTGGTACACTCAGCCCCTGCACTCGTCGGTCGCGGCAGCGGCGGTAGGTCATCCGCTTGTCCCCAACCTCGTGCAAGCTGGCGCCAGTTACGGCCCGCTGACCCAGTCGCAGTCTCACCTGCCACCCTCCCATCAGCCGACTATCGCTCACGGAAGTACGCCCGGTGAGCTGATTTGATTTGATCCTCATAGCCATATATACGCGTGCACAATTGAAAGCTTGTAAAATAAAAACAAAAAGAGGATCGTCGCTTGGTCCATGTTGAAAAAACGCGATTGCTTATTTGATTGGCACGAGCAGCATCGAGCTCAGCGTCGGCGCACAGCGGCTCGGACGACGAGTGGAAGAACATCCACGTGATGTTGAACTGCATCCTGGGCATGGTGGAGAAGACGAAGCGCGCATTGGCGATACTGCAGAAGCGCGGATGCACGAGTCCGGCAGCGCCGGCGACCGGAGCGTCGAGCGCCACGAGCAGCCTGCAAGCGCCAACCCCGGCGCAGACGAACGGGGCCCAGTCGAACGGCGAGAACGCCACGGCGGCGGACAGAGACGGCACGTTCAAGCGACTCTCGGGGGAGATCGTCGCGCAAACCATCCGAGCTACGGAAGACCGCGTGGCCGAAGTGAAGAGACGCGCCGGTAAGGGGCGACGATTGACTCGCCAGGCTCGTTTGTCGGCCGCGCTTCAAATCGCGCTTCGAATCGCGCGCTCGCCTTTGCAGAGGAAGCCGTGCAGGAGGTGAAACGGGCCGCGATGGCCGAGGTGCAGCGAGCGGTCGCTGCGGCGATGGCGGAGTCGCGCGCGACCGAGCGCTTGCGAAGTCAGCGCTACCTCGACAACCTGCCGCTCAGCCAGCAGCAGCAGCAGCGTACGGCTCAGCAGGTCATCCGACCGAATTCGTTCCTGCGCCTGGCCGAGACAACTGCCTCGTCGGCGAGGACTGCCGGGGCGACGTCCGCCGCCGCGGCTGTCACCGCTACCTCGTCGAGCAGCGACGACGTGGACAAGGAGCCCCACCTCGGCAACGCGATAGGATCGGTGAGTGTCCCATTGCCAGCTTTGCTTGCGCGCCGCTGGAACTTGGAATGATCGGTCACGTGCGAAACGACAGAGCTGCTGGAATTGCGGCCGAGCAGCCTTGGAAACCTGCGGCGGCTGCGGGATCGCGCGCTACTGCGGTTCCTTCTGCCAGCACCGAGACTGGGAAGCCGGCGGTCATCACGCCACCTGCCGATCGACGTCGTCGTCCACCGAGCAGCACCAGCAGGCACACCAAGAGCGTGGCGGATCGACGACGCCGAGCCCACCGAGGACTGGCAGTGCTGCGAGCGACTCCGATGTCACTAAAACTGCGACTTCGTCAACCTCGTCCGCGAGCTCGGTCCGCTCTGTCAAGTGATGATCGGAGCTCGTGTAAATAAACTTTTTGTATAAAATGCCGCTTGTCGTTCGCTTGGCGATTGTGCATTTAAGTTTTCCTTTTTTTATACTTTACTGCGTGATATTCAAATGTATCAATGGATTGTCTTCGCAATGAAACCTATTTCTATAAGCGCTGCGTAGCGTTTATGCAGTTAATATAAGTGTAGAGATGATTCGCGTACGTTCAAGATGAAATGCCAAAATAAAATACTGTAGAGTCGTTAAGAACTTTGAAGATGGTAGATCTTTGAAAGCTATGTCAAAATAATTGTCGTAAAAATCTTAAATAATCGTTCGAGTTAATCTATCGATCGCTATAACTCGGTGCTATTTGGTGAACTGTATACATTTTCTAAATTAACGTCAAACCCCCGTGAGCTCGTACATTTTTGACACTCGATATCTCAGCAAGAATAATAAACATTTCAATTAAGATTATCAGTCAAACCAGTGTAAGAAAAATGTTCCTATCTAGATTCTTAGCTATTATTGATTAAATTTTCATTATTCATCGAGGCTCGACAGCTTCGATTGCTTTTCCTTATGAGAAAACAAAATCAGTTTAATATTGCGCAAATTTCGTATACTACTAGAAGTAATATAAGTTCTTATCAAATACCTCTCACGTGAGATCAGCAAAATTCTAATATAATTACTAATTTCTGCTATTATTTATTTATACATAAGCTAGTCGAATATGTTACTATGAATATTCTATTACGTGTTTTTCTCGTCAATAACGAAAAAAATTTAATAGACTTGCTCGTGCACTTTTTGTATATGAATTATAGATATATATGTATAAACTATTAATATATATAACGGTAACTTTTATGTAATAAATTCTTGCACCCACCACATAATATAAACAAATACAAGTTCAACCAAATCGTAATATAATAATTAGAAGTAAAAGTGGACCGCAATTTAAAAAAAAAAATAGTTGTAAGTCTAGTCACCCAAAATAATAAATAAATAAACACACTACGTTTGTTAAACCAAGCTTTGTTAAAAAATTCTGACGTGAATATAAATATTCACCATATTAGTTACATGATTCTCCTGATATGCAGATGAAGAATAAAAGTAAATCAACTGACAAATGTTACAAAGTAAAATTACTATATATTTCTCTGATATAAATCAAAAGTAATGATTATTTATACAATTTTATCCATGATTATGTTTCGTCAGAAATATACTTCAATAACATAAAATTGATTTATTAAAAAATGTCGAAACTAACAAACTCATACATCTTGTAAAACAATGTATTATCTTACGAAGAATTTTGTTGAATCAATAAAAAAGTATTATGAATTATTCTTCTTTGGATTATCAACAATATCAGCGAAAAGAGCTTTCATTTTTTGTTCTTTGCCTTGAAATTCAGCCCACTCTTTCTTATTCCTTATATATAGAGGAACATTCAGTTTTGCAGATATTATTTTACCAGCATTTGTAGAATGCAGCAACTGGCCTACTTCGGCCAAATCTTCCATAATAATATTCCTTTGATTTGATTTAGCCCATGTCCATATTTTATCTAAACTTCTTGAACCATGAGTACTAGTAGCAAGCTTTGCCCAAGTACCACGAAGATTTCTGGCAAGTTTTTCCCTACTCTTTTCACCAATATACTCACTGTCCATGAAAGCATCCATAATCCAACTACCTTTAGGATCTTCAAATAATTCTAGCAAATCTTCAGTACTCATGCTGAGCAATGAATTGACTATTTTTATAGGTTTATTGAATTTCAACATTGCTTGTACGGTTACACTGCCATATATTTCTATTTTAGGCTTTGACTCATTACTATTTTTCAAACTTTGATAATTTTCATAAGTTTGAAGTGATGAAAGTAAAGGTACAAATAAAACTTGCCTTTCGTTTGGTTCATCGCAGTGTAAAATCTTCATCATAAGATTTACAAATGGTCCTTGCTTTGCATGTAATCTAACACAAGCATTGGCTACACTAGCAAAAATGCCTTTGTGACCTTTTGATAAATTATGTTCCAAGTACTCTGCGATTTCATCAAACATACTTTCTAAACATTCTTTTTTGTGACAGTAGTCAAATACCTTTGGTACACAAAAGTTAGCACTGATCATCGATACTAATTTGCCAAATTGATTTTTGAAATATCTTCCATAAATATCGTCAAAATCTTGAAAAGTTGATACTGCAAGGCAAACTTCTAATAATCTGATTGAACATTCTGTATTAAAAATATTTGATACACTGTTATCTGTACTTGGATTAAAGCAATCTGTACTTATTTTTTTTATTATTAAACTATTAAGCTTTGAGTCAACATCTTTGAGGGAGTACAAAACTGATTGCATCAGGCCAGAAGTGAGCTCATCATGATTAAACTCTTGGAACTGTGGGAATTGGTAAAGCCGATTGCATGTTTCTACCAATAGTTCTATGTACTCTTCTTTTACTTTACTTCTTTTACTTAAATCAGGAGATCCTCTCTTTTTGTTGTTAGATTGGACAGTAATTAATCCCCCAAGACATTCTATGGCAGTTCTTAGAATATGATTGGCATAGGTATCCCATATGAATTCTTCAATGTTATTAATAGCATATTTACAAAATTTCAAAGCGATTTCATTGTACTTTTTTACTTCTGAATCTTTAACTTCAACCTTTTTATCTGATTCTGTTTTAGATAAATTACCTCTGTATGCACAAACTCGTATTAGTTTTTCTATTACATGAGATGCAAATCTATCACTACAAATAGGTCTCAGCGCACTATCAAAGGCACCTGCGAATCTCACAATAGTTTCAAAACTAGTGTACTCTAACAAAGTGTCAAGAACTCTGGAACCAACCTGAATAATAAAAATTAAAGTAATTTATGGAGTCTTAATGTTTATTCAATCAAACCTGCAATTTCATCAGAACATTTATTCAGAAACATAAAATGAATACCTGATTTCTGGCAAAATCAATTTCTTTTCCAACTGCTTGTTCATAAACATTGTTTGCAAAAATGTCTTTATCTTGTATTTTAGGAAATTCTGTAGTAATTGCTTCTAAAATACTACTTATGTACTGATAAGTTTCAGCATTAAGTTCTCCATAACTGCGACTTCTAGCAACCTTTTTAGCCATTTGATGAGAAGATCGCTTTTTCTTTTTACGTTTATTGTCTCGCCTTGGCTCTTCTTGATTTTCCATTATTGACTATTAATTATATTATTTATATGTTCAACGATATAATATTGATGAATATCGGCGTGTGCTAAGAATTCTAAACACTCATATACCATAACCTTAAAACGATAAAAACAGCACGTGTTTGACAATCATGAGACTATACTTAACGAAGGCTGGACTAGGCAACTATACTTCAGCAATGTTCACAATATATATGACGATCAGCTTTTCAGGGGTAAGTTTCGGATTTTTTTGAAACTTGGTCTACATATTGCTTATATGGCAGTGTAATTTTTTTTTTTTTTTTTTTTTTTAATTTATTAAACGGGCATAAACCCATATCAAGATACATATAAATATAATAATAAAATATATAATATAAACAAAAAGAAGTATAAATAATTAATAAAACGACAATAGTGAGAAGAAAAAAATAAACGGAATAGCTATAAACTATATCCAAAAGTCGACAAAACAATATAATAGAAAAACAGTAAAATAAAAAATAAAAAAGTAACACAATAAAAGAAAAGAAAAAGAGAAAAACGAAATATAAAAAAGAATAATAACTAATAACTAATAACTAATAAATAATAACTAATATAAAAAATAATAAAAGAATAATAAAAAAGAATAATAAAACAAAATAATAATAACAAAAATTAACAAGTAGATAGGGAGAAGCAGCCAAGATAGGTGGGTAAAAGGGAAGAAATAGGTGAGGTGTCACGTGACAGAAGAAAAGACAAAAAAAAAAAAAAAAAAAATAAGACACTAGCGAAACACCGCAGTATTCGCACGAACGTATTTAAGTATGGATTATTAGATCATTATAATAATTATATCAAAAGTTATAAACAATTAAAAATATTGACGAAAAATTTTCAAAAATTTATATCTCCGCAACTATTGAAGTTATCGAAACGAATTTTTTTTATATTACGTATAAAAGGATGTACTTTAAAGATATTAAGCGAACAATACTTTAATATCAATTTTTCCAAAATTTATTAAGATTTTTATTAAACAATTGCCCATATTTCAAAAAGTGTTATTTTTATTTAAAAAATTCTTTTTTTATTGAATTCCTTGACATTTTATCTTTAAGAATCCGTTTTTAAATTCATCGAGCATTTATTAGATGCGACACAGAGCGATATTAGTGGACGCTCACAGGCCCTACGACGCCGATAAGTCAGTAAATTTGGTAGCAGCGCCGACGCGCGACCGAGCGAGTGTCGTAAGAGCCTGTGAGTAAGTGTCCACTATTTTCGCTCACTGTGTCGTATCTAATAAATGCTCGATGAATTTAAAAACGGATTCTTAAAGATAAAATGTCAAGGAATTCAATAAAAAAAGAATTTTTCAAATAAAAATAACACTTTTTGAGATATGGGCAATTGTTTAAAAAAAATCTTAATAACTTTTGGAAAAATTGATATTAAAGTATTGTTCGCTTAATATCTTTAAAGTACATCCTTTTATATGTAATATACAAAAAAATTCGCTTCGATAACTTCAATGGTTGTGGAGATATAAATTGTTGAAAATTTTTCGTCAAAAATTTTCAATTGTTTATAACTTTTGATATAATTATTATAATGATCTAATAATCCATACTTAAATACACTACCATGTAGACAACATATAAACCAAGTTTCAAGAAAATCCGAAACCTACCCCTGAAAAGTTAATCGTCATAGTCTGGAATGTGCCTACACTCGAAACAGTCACCTCATGAAAATTATACTTAGTGGCAGTTTTCATCCTCCACCCCCTGATCATAGCCTACAAAATTTACGTATATAAAGAAAAATGCTTATCGATGTATTTGTAATTAAACCTTACGAAAATACTATTTTTTTTGAATTGAACCCCTCTAGTTTGTTTGAAAATAATTAGAAAACAAATATGCTGTATGTGCAATATAGAAATCGCTATTTCTCGGTGAATTTTATATTTAGCGAAATTCCGTTCGCCTTGAACAATTTCGATTGTTGATTGAACTATACATAAATATTGAAAAATGACATTTTTGTTTGAATAACAGCCTAAATATCACCGAGATGGACATGCGCAAATTACTCCAAGCGCTAATATATTACGTACATAAACAAAATTCTAAACGATATATTTGTAATTGAACCTCAGGAAAATATTTTTTTTTTACATTGAACCTTTCTGATTTGTTTTTAAAAAATTAGATAACAAATACGACATGCACCACATAAATCGTTGTTTTGATGAATTATACATTTAACAAAATTCCGTTGGACTTGAACAATTGCACCATCGCTATTTTTAATTGAACTATTCACAAATAATGAAAAATGGTATTTTTGTTTGAATAACAGCTGACAAATATAGTTAATACACAATACTGTGGCATCTTCTTCAATCACTTATCTGCTATTAGATGTCGCACTATATTGCATATCGACTTAGGGATGGACAGAATCAAATATCTCGGGCTGGAATGAAGATAGGGAAATGAGCCGGGTGACATTTTAAAGCTGGAGCAATGCTGGTTACGGGAAAATTATCCAATTTTACGAAAAATAAAAATTTATCCTTGAATTTGGAAGTCAAAGTTGTAAGTGTAAAAAGACGATTTTCTTCGTTCTTTAAACTGATAACGATTTATAAATAACCTTATAACCTTAGAACGAGCGATAGGAATATGACCTTGAAAATTTTTTTTTCCTAAGTCGATATGCAACATAGTCTGTCATTGGCAACTTAACGAGCATCAGGAAACGACTCATAAAACATATATGTGTCAGCACCTGCTCTTCGAGCACAATTTTTATCGTAAGATATAACGATTCTTTTCCAAAGCGGTTATCAGTGCGTGATATCCGTTATATTTACATAATACAATAGAGGGAATAAAATTGTTGAACGCGAAGGGACATTTATTCGAATAAACAATGAGCTACATTTCCACGCTTCACTCATTCACACTTAACGATAAGTTCGTCTTTCACCGTACACTCTTGAATTCTCTAAGAATGTGATGCTTACGGTAATTGTTCGTCGTGTCAGTGTGATAGTTAATCTCGCTCGGCCCTGTAGCGTAAGTACCAGCGTCAAGATGCGCCTCCGGTGCCTCGGAAAAACGTGGTCCTTAAATTTCTAGTTGTATAGCGAAAACATGCGACTCCCGATCAATAACGTTCTGGAGAACGGGCTTGATGCTTTCACCCGGGCATCGTCTTCCTCGAAGATGGAGCGTCAGAGCGCATGGCGCAATTTATTTGATGTGGCTTGTGACTAGCAAACGTCGAGTGAAAGAGAGCGAGCCCATCGCAGATTCGAGCAGCAGGACAAATCTACGGCATCCACCGATGGTGGCGCGTTCGAGCGTAGCAAAGGGCGTAGGCTTTGTGCCATCACAATCTCGAATATTCACATCTGCTCCCATGTCAGTGAGATGACATACGACGCTATGGTTATCCTGATGGACAGCAAAGTGCAGTAAAGTTCAGCCAATATTATCAGTCATTTTAAACAGGTTATCGCGTTTGACGATTTGGTCTCAACCATATGCAACGATCGTTCACTGTCTCCCAGTGATACTGGTAGGACTGTCAATCCCTTCCGCCTTATACACCATCCCCTAAATCCCGAGCATATGACTCGTATCGGTTTGCTCCATGTCTTATATTTACATGGTACAATTCGTGTTCTTTTCGATGGCCACGAGGCAAAGATTATGGAAAATAATTTCTCGATGGAACAATTTTTTTGTCAGCGAAAACCATTTGTAGATCGGTTCCTCTACTCCGCCGCCGCCCAAAAGTTGCTGGAATTTCGGTTGCTTGGTGGAGCTTCAACAATTATTTAAACTCACTTGGTTTTTTCCCGTAAATTAGATATTTTACGGCTATGATAATATCTCTGTCTTTCGCTTATGATCATATTTTAATTTTTTTGCTACTCATCCGAAATGTCAAGCAATACACTGTCAACTTTGGCGGCCTATAGTTCCTTCGTTTAATACCGAATCTTGATGATTTTTTATTTAATTAAAGATATTTTCAAACGCTATGTCACAACGATACTTTGAATGGATAGAAAAACTGCGCATGATTTTTGCTAACGATTGAGCAGGTTTATATACGTAAAAACAGTATTTAAACGCCATGCAGATACAATTATCGACAATCTGTAGATCAATAACTTTGGCAATTTTTTTATTAATTAAAACAAAATTACGCGGGATTAATAATCGGTTTTCCTAACCTTAATAACGACGCATAGTTCTTCTATAACTTTTTCGGAACAATTACTATCACTTTTCCGCTGAGTTCCTTCATCCGATTCATATGATTGGTGCTATTAACGTTCGTAGTGTGGCATATAAGCTATCTTTAATGTAATAAACTATATGGTATCAAAATAATACAGAATGGATTAAAAATTTTACGTAAGTCAAAGAATCTCCCTCTTGTACTGTCCATCAAGGTTGAAATTAGATATTTCGGTTAAAAAAATCCACTTCTAACAAATAGTTAAAGATTAACGCTTGAGATTCGCTCTTGACATAAGAAGATATATATTGTTTCACAAAAGTGTAGACCTATCTTACCGACTGATGTTTCGGGTACATGTATCGCTGTAATGAGAAAAATAATATTTATTCTTTAATGGATGAAATACGTTGATTAGCTAGAAAAATTGCGCGTGATTTTAGCTACCGATGCAATACCTTCATTTCTATACAAGACCGTATTAAAACGCTACGCAGATTCAATTTCTATTGATTTGGAAGTGTTCAGCGGTTGGAAATTTTTTTTATTAAGAAAAACTGAATTGCGTGGAATTATTACAATCCTTGCCTATCTCGCGTAGTTTTTCGATCATTTTTCCGGGACTACATTCGTCGATTTCCCACTGAGTTCCTTCATTCTCCTTCATCCTTTCAAAATGAGCTCAAAATATCATGATGAACTTCGTAATACTTAACCCAAGTTAATTCTATTATATATGTAAATGAAAATGTGATTTAGAGGATGATGGAATCTCACGAAGATATGAAATATATATAAGAATACCTAATTACCGACATCCAAACAGCATTACTTATTTTCATTCTATTTCGATTTTTTTACAAAAACTGAATAATTTATCCTTTTTCAAATGAACTCGAGGAATGAATAATTTAATAAAAGTATAAAATTTTTAATTTTATAAGAGTATTCGGTTCTCCAATGTAGCTTCTTGCAATGTGTTTTAACATCCGTTTAATTTTGTTTCATATTTAATCATACAGGGTACAATGTTATTCAACAACTTTTTTCTTGATGTATAGTATTTTATTTGTTGCGGTTCTTTAAAGAACTTTATATATACCATGTTTTTTTACAATAATCATTCAATCTGGCCAGTTTGATTGAATTTATTAAAAAAATTGCTTTTAATATTATTCAGTTCTTGGATAAACGATGCCAAATTCATTTGTTTTGCTTTTAGCGCATCTTAACTTGTAGGAAACATTTTTTGAGCGTACTTTTCTTATGATACAGCTCAATCGTGATAGGATATACCGAAGAAATATTTTTTTAAAGGACATTTCCCCTAAAACGATCACTGATGAAATCGACCGGTTAGTGTAATAAAATGACATATACAAGTGAACAAGTTGAGCATACAATCGACACGATTATTTTATTACGCGTAAAAAGTAGATATTAGTTTATTTTGTCAGTTTTGATTGTTTGAAAAAATGAGACACCTTACACTTTAATGTGAAAAATAAAAAATGCGTCGGTTTTTTTATTCGATTTGTGGAAAATGCCATTTTATTTCATTTACTCGGTAAAGCGGATTTCAATAAATAACTTACGGTCGTTGCTTTTTTTCAATTCGCTGATCTATTGTCCTTCAAATAAAATTTCAGATAATATTTCAATGTATATAGACTATAAAGAATTTTAAGAAAGCACTCCTTTGGAATTCACTAGCCATTACAACGAAATTCGGCACTATCGAGGACATATAGAAGACTAATCTTCGAACCATATGCACTAACTGTTATTTTAAAAGCTTAGCTCGAAAAGCAAGATAGCAAGCGAGAACTTTCATCGCTGTGTCGCACGCATTATTTTTCATTAATTACAGTATCGATGACATTTTACAAACTACGAGGAGTACAATGTGGAAAGGTTTTACAATGTATAAACGCGATCTTTGAAAAAAGGAATTCTTGTTGTAACAATTCATATCAACTTTACTAGAACGAAAAAAAAAGAAAAAGACGAGCTGCTCAAATATTTGAGTAGCATTTCTCGAATTATGCAAATGTCAGCGATTCGCGGAACGGTGAGAGAATTATAATTGAATTCCAGCGCTGCAGCATTCCGCGACGTTCATCGCTTCTTTGAACGCAAGAGAATCTATTAGATTGCTATTATTACCGATCGCTCATCTAACGTACAGCTAAGCAATTCACTAAATGCGAGCGTCCGTCGTTATCACGTACATTAAAAAAAATAGAAATCTGCTTGTATGTGGCGTTCGACTCTAACTAACAGCACTATTGAAACGAGAGCACTCGCAGTATGTATGACGAGACTGTCCAATCGCCGGGGGAGTGCATCGCCGGACGATTAGATGACCGTTTCTCATACGGCGCCGTATTCCTCGCTGGACGGCGACTCGTCGCTGGGCGGCAGTTTCGAGCTTCTGGCGAGGCGATGATGGTGGCGATGATGAGCCGGCGGTCGCCTCGGTGGCGGCGGCGGTTGTCCGCTGTAAGATGTGTCGTCGCCTTCCTCGCTGCTCGGCGACGGCGACGGCACGCGGTCCTCTTGCTCTTGCAGCAGCTGGCGGAACTCCTGGATCGATTCGTTTAGCGACCACAGTTGCGACAGCAGCGATAGATCCAGTTGTCGCAGTCCGAACTGAAGTTTAAACGGTCAGCATAAGTTAATTGTCGAATAGTTGCAAGGATATTATCGAAAGGCATCATAACTTGATTCGCTGCATCGTAAAGAAAAATAAAAACTGTAATGACATTTAAACACTTCGCGGAAAAGCGCTTTTGAAAGATTATTCGTCTACTTGGGGAGTCGTTGAAAGTCCGCGATCAATAAACAAGAGCAACGTTACTTTTGCTGAAACAAAGAAGTAGCGAAAGATTTGAAAGTTCGGATAAACGAAGAATTTGTATTTTTCTAATATAGCCGAGGAAGCATCAATAACAGGCTCTCTATCAACAAAAAGCCGCGCGCGAACACGCAGGTCGCCTTTGATTTTTCATCCGAAGCAGCCTGCCGTAGCATTAAGCTTCATCTAAATGCAGATCGTAAAACCTAATCAGATTTCGTTTTTACATCTAGGGAAAAGCCGTAAAATTGCCCGCGGGCTCGCGTTGCGTTGCGCGCGCCGCGCTCTCCGGGTAGAGAGTCTGACGCGCGCCGACGCGTTTTCCCCGTACACGCGTGGCTCGTGGACGAAAAGCACCAGATAAAAAATACGCACGCGCGGCGCGGAATGCCCTGCGAAAGGAAAGGGAAAAATTGCCGAGGAGCAGTGCCAGCGAGTCGTGGGAAAGGATGTGGAAGTGCAGGCGTAAAATGAAAATTAGAACGCGACCGGCGAGAGAGCGAGCGAGCAACGACCGGCCACGAAGGGAATGCCAAGCCGGCAGAGGAAGAAACCAGAAAATCATAATCAGCCAACGGAAAAAAAAAGCGCAAGGGGAAACAAAGCGAGAAGAAGAAGAAGAAGACGATGACAACGACGACGAGATACCTTGAGAAGGTTGCGAGGCCGAGGGACGGAAGCGAAACGTACGATTGCGCTCGCGTTTACGGGCAACGAGTTGCATGCGCGCGCTCGCGTCGAAAAGGAAGGTAAAAAAAAGTAGCGCGCGCGCGCGCGCGCGCGCAAGTCATTACTGAAACGCATCCTCCAATCGAGCTAATGATCGAGGTGGCGTGTCCCTGCGAAATACTCGATTGATTTTAAACTGCCCCCGGGAAGAGTGTGTTTCCTCCCACATCTCGGGACGTTCGCTCATCGGTATGCTAATATGTCGCGCGCGAGATTACGGTGAGCCCAAGTCGTCCGCGTGGAAAATTGGCTACCAAGAGCGCCGCAGCTTCGCGTAACGATTTTCCTAATGCCGATTCGCGCGCCAGCGAGGAAAATCATAACTTTCCAATGGGCAAACTGGACTGGCAGCGTGCTTTTTTTACTGCTCTCTCCCACCTGCGTTGCGCCGGCACTTCCTCGCTCGCTTGTCGCGCTGCTGCGGATTTCGAAAACCGTCGCGGACGTCGCTCGTCGACAGCCTTGCCCTATCGATTTCCACAGCGGCCGTTATCACGGCGAGAGCACGAGCGGATTCGTCGCGTTTGTTCTTGGTGCAGGAAGGAAAGCAGCGCGTCGCGACGGGAAGCGAAGCGGGGCAGCGGGCAGAGATGAACGGCGCGGAGACCTCTCTCTCTGTCTCTCTCTCGAGGAACAAGTCAGCAGGACGCGCGAGCTCCGCGCTCGTCTTCTCGGTTTTGGCCGTATTGTGTCTCTTGGATAACTCTTTTCGACGGGATATTGCGATGCGGGCTTACGTAAAGTATCTATCTAATTTTCGCGCCAGCCGCTCTCTATTTCCTCCGGCTGTTAATTTTGCGTTAAAGGCCAATTTTTTTTTCTTCATCCGAAGAAGGATATTACGAGTGTCGGCGATAACGGCGTTTCCTCGATCCCGGCGAATGATCGGCCGGTGGAGCCAAAGTCAAATTGCGCACTTTCTTACGATCTATTTAGATAAGCATCTCGCGACAGTGGCAGGCTAGATCGGCAATGGACGGGAAACGGGCGAACGGGAGAGGTCTGGATTTCATTAATCGAAAGAAAAGCGGCCGGCTCATCGCAGCCACGGAGTTTTCGGGCGAAGCGGAGTGTGTGCGAGAGAGATGCTCCTTGGCGCGATGGAAAAGTCAAGATATGCAGCGGGGAGAAAGTAAAAGAGACAAAGAGAGCGAGCTCGCGAGCTCTTAGTTCGAGCAAAAGCCAAGATGGAAAGAGCGAAGGGTCACGCCTGAGAGAATGTAGCGTGGGAGCGGCTAATCTTTCAGACACTCGCGTCTTATATATATATACACGGTGCAGCTTTTGCTCGTGCGGCCGAGAGTCGAAGCCGGGAGCAGAGCGTGCCGACTTTGTCTCGTCTTTGTCGTCCGCGCTGATCGATCGATTCGGATCTCGTGCTCCCGGAGCAGCCCTCTTGCCTTTTTTTTTCAATTAGAACATTTTCGCGCGCGCCGGCGTAACTTGCGTCGCTGATTCATTGGCAAGAAGCGGCACCGAGGCAGTCTCGCTCGGAAGATACACGTATACACGTACACGCGGACGTTCGAGAAACTGCGGAGATAAAACTGCTCGGATAGAGAGCGCGGAGGAGGATCGAGAGGCGGCCGTTCGTATCGAGAGTAGGGAAAAGCAAGTAGCTGCGCGCTCGAACAAGCTCGTCCTCGAGTGCTGCGATAAGGGCGATGACGCAGCTTCGAATTTCTCTTCTCTTTTCTTCGCTCCGTGAGACGTTCTATGCAATTATCCGTCCCTCCCACCGAGGTGAAAATCCAGCTCGTAAAGAGCGTCGCTCTCGTATTCCTCGCTCGGAGCGCGAGCCGAAGCGAAGCGTTGACAATTGAGGCGCAAAGCGAGGCCCCGTTGCCATTCGGGATGGGTCCCCGATGGGGCAGGGGGGGGGGGGCTCGTCGACGCGACTTCGCAACCGCGGAAGCTCGCGGGATCAAAGTACAAAGAGACGTCGCGTCGTCCGCCAAACTGTCGCCGACGATCGCTTCGAGATCCAGTTGCAAGAGAGCCATCGAGCCGCGGCTAATTAACGGCCAGTCAGCTTAGCGGTGACGTCAGCCAAGCAGCTACGAAAAGAGAGTGAGAGAGCTGCCGAACGCGCGGGAGAAGGAGGAGCGAACGAGTTAATCTGTTGCAGCGCGTATACCTACGTCGATTGAATATTCAGGCCTTCGCTCGTCTCTCTTTCTCTCTCTCTCTCTCTCTCTCACTCGAGCGCGCGAGGCGAGCACAATATCGGCGAACCGGTGCCCACGCGGCGGCAACCCATTTCCTCGTATAACGGGCTCTCGCGAGAGAGGCGCGCGCCTTCGCAGGAAAACTGCATCGGCGCCAATTAGAAATCTCTCTTTGCCTCTCGCGGATGAGAGTGAAAGAGACTCGGTCTTTCCTTTTTTTTTCTTCTCCTTTTTTTTCTGGCGCTGCGTCGCTGTGGGCGATTTATTGGGTATTGAAATACGCGACTCTCTCCCTATACGCGCCTCTTAATTTCGCTCTCGAGTCTGGTCAACTTATGATTTACAAAGCCGCTCGCAAAATATCGCGCCGTCGATTCACCACAGTCTCGCTATCTTTTCAATTAACCGCGAGCGGTTAATTTATCGATCGGTCGCGAGAAACGCGGCTGGCGATCGACAGGACATAACCCTCGACAACCGCTAATCAGAAATCCATAGCCCGACAGATACTAACGCTTTCCGCTCCATTGTGTGCTGGGCGCGTGCGTGTTTTCAAACGAGATTTCGACGACCTCCGCGCGAACAGTATAGTCACTGTCGGAAATAGCCGATAAACTCAAAACGCCATATACTTATATCATCGGATCGTTATATTTCGAAGGTTATTAGATTGGTGTGCGAAATGTACGGATTTGCTAAGGCTCGCATATGCGATGAATCACTGCTCGAGATAGAGAATGAAAAAAGAATATCGCGATACTGAGTCAACAGCGTGGTTCTTCGACGTCCGCAACAATTGTACGCGCACGCCTGGAGAATGCGGGTGCAAATTGGTTACCCATCGTGCGCGCACAGCGTGCGTCGTTACTTTCGTACCGACCAAAAAAAAAAAATACGCGCGATGTAATTGTTTGGCGGAAAGTCGTGCCGGGTAAAATGGCAGCTTCGGCGGCGCGCTAAAAGCCAAATAGCAGACTTGCCGAATGGAAACGTCGCATTCGCGGACTTGGGAGCGGGGGAGAGGGGGCGGGGGGAGACGCAAGACTCTCGCCGTCGAGCTGCAACGAGTCGCGCCGGTTCTCCGCGCTGCTCGCCCGCGAATTTCGCCAGCGATCTATCGGCTTTCTTTCCGTTGTTGTTTTTCTTTCTCGCGCGCGCGCGCGCGCCGCGCATATCTGTGGGAAGTCGCTGTATGCACTCGCGCGCTGCTCTTCCAGCTTGCAGTTTCGACACGCTTCTTTTGCGACCGCGAGAGATTCCGAGCTCGCGGCAGGTGCCCCGCGTGTTGTGCTCTGTCCTCCTTGCACATTTTTGCGCGCGGGCGCCCAAACGTCACGGTGGCCGTTCGCTCGCCAACGACAACGCGGCACGTTGTCCGATTATTTTCGACGTTCGACCAACGCTCCTCCGCAGCTTTAATTAAAAGCTTTAGCTCGAAGGAACTGAATGAATCATCGGCGCGCTCTCGAAATTGAATATGCGAGAGCGTGGCAAAATTAAATTTCGCTGTAAAATTGAATTTAAAAGCACTTTCTCCAAACACACATCATCGAAGATTGAAAAAAAAGCCACGATTAAAAATCAATTACTCGCGCACGCGAAGAAAGAGAAAAAAAAATCGTAACCGTCTGGTGGGAAATCAATCAAAATCCATCCGTCTTTAATCAGGCATAAACCAATCAAGCGGATAGCGGGCTCACCATTTCTCTCCTGAGTATAGCCAGCTGCGTATCGAGAGTAGTCAGCTGCCTACCCTGAGGCGAAGGCCTGGAGCCTTGGCTGGACAACGAGGTGGTCGAACTCGGCGTCTTCACGCTCCTCTGCGACGCCTTGCTCGTCGATCTTGCGGGCGGCGGAGGCGGCGGCTCCAAGCCAGCCCCGTTCAAGTTGAAGCCGCTCAAGCTGCGCGGCAGCGGTGGCAGTCCTTGCAGCGACGACATCGCTATCCTCTCGATTATGCTGCAATCATACGAACGCAGATACTTTTGACTGTCGGCGTTATATTTATAGCTATTTTTATCAGCGCGCGCGGTCCAACCGGCCGTCGTGAGTCACGCGACTTTTGCCGAAATAAAAGTATAATAAAATGACTCATCCGCCACGACACCGCGGTGCTCAATTTCGACACCGAGACACGGGCTTTATTTGTCGAGTGTGTGTGTGTGTGTGCGCGCGTGTGTGTGTGTGTGAACGAGAGAGAAAGAGAGAGGCAGAGATAGTTCATAGAGAGGATATTCAAAAAGCGCTGTACTTAATTTGTCCGTACGCTTTGTCGTGGCCGCGGTCGAGAGAGCAAGAGAGAAGAAAATGTACGCGAACAAGGGGAACAATTACCACCTATGTAGCTGCACTCGCAAATGGTTCACTCGAGGAGAGATAACGCGCCTTGAACCCACTGATTGAACTTTGATTGACTTCTACTTTCCGAACAATCGACCCGCACGGTAAATGCCAATTGACCATGGTGAAGTGAGAAAAAAATGTCGTTCAATGTCAAAATGCCGAGGAAGCTGTACCCAGACGAATAAATCACTTTTCAACTCGACGATGATTAAAATCCATCACCATCCGCGCGTTTTCATAAGTTACGGATTATGTCAGAAGGTATGAATACACCAGCCACTAGAGAGACAGAGAAATTGTTACTGTCGAGTTTCTAGTTTTTGTTCGTTCAAAAAAGAAAAAAAAAATAATTTCGTGAAAGTGAATTTAATCACGTTGTTCTCCGCAACGAGGAATATTACCACTGACCGCCACCAAATTGTCACTTCCGCACCGCCGTTCGTCAGAAAGACCGCAGGTCCTTATACTGTACTCTTTAGTGTTTACCTATGCAATCACATACACGTATAGAAAGGTCCAAAAACCACGCGACTGTTATTTTCTCCCAGACGCGTTCGGGTAGCGAGCGAAAATAAAATAAAAAAATTTCCTCTCCTTTCGTTTTCGCCGATAATTAACGCCTAGTTTCACATTATCGCCGCAGCGCTTTTCTTTTGCACTCGATTGCCGCGCGCGGCTGCGATACATCGTCGCGAAACTCGCGCGAGACAGTTTTTGCAAGAGAGGAGAGACAGAGAACCTTCGTACCCATATACGCCAATTACCAGTCATTACATATTTTCTTGGCCCTCTCACTGCTCTTTTTCTGGTCGCAGTGCGGTTTGCGAATTCTTGCGACACGCCGCTTTTTTTTTTCTCTTGTACTTTTTAAAATTACACTCGTGCAATTGCCCTCGAAGAGTTTGTCTCCGTTTTTATTAATCAACCGTGTGGTTCTTCGGAAGCGTAGCATGTGTTCGTCTCCGACGGCATGCTTTTTATGCACAAAAAAAAATTATGTGCATCGAGCGCAATTGTTTAAGTGATCTAATTCTGGTTTTGATCGTTGAATCACTACAGATTATGTTCGTGATTTGGACTTGTATCGTCCAAATAACGCTCGATCTGTAAACGCGATACTCCAACAGCAACGTTCATTTTCAGATTTCTGCGATTGTAAGTTATTCAACCGGCGAAATCTTGATGAATTAATTGGATGACTTGCGCCAGGCGTGTTTTTTTTTTTTTTTTCGGTCAAGATGCCTGGCGGCTACAATTAGCAATGAAAATGAAACGGCACGCGCGAAACGTACAAACGATCATATGAGAAATGAATAAGGCATCATGCCTGGTATTCCCAGAATCGGAACGTCTAATAAGCAAACTCTCACAGCGGAGCGCAGATGTGCGTAGACGTAGGAAAGGCTGTTCCGCAACCCCTTGAAAAAAAGCATTACACAAAGATACACAGCGGCGAGCTTTCCCACGAGACATAAACGAAGCGAGCAAGTGGCTGTCATTTTCGCAGCTCACACGGACGCACACACGTGCGGCGCCTGCCTTTAATCGCGCGGGCGAAAGCCCTATAGCAAAGCCAAGCCAAGGCGCCTTGTGTGTACCTGGAAAAGTCGAGGTCAGCGAACTCGGCGTTGCTCCCCTCCCTCCCTTCGCCAACTTCTTCTTCCTCCTCCTCTTCTTCTTCGTCCAGCATCTCTTGTTGCTTGCTGCTAGTAGCAGCGCAAGCACTGGCGCTTTCTTCGGCCGGCAGGGTGATCTTGGTCGCGGAATAACGCACGCCAGCTTCCAGCCAATCCAGCCTTTGTATGTTGTCCGGCGACTCGTCTTTGGCCACGCGCGAGCCCTCCAATTCGTCGATCACCACGACCGTAGCGCAATTCTCTTTGTTCGCCGTTGCCTTGCTGTCTTCTGCGCTCGATCGCGTTGTCGTTGTTCTGGTCTCGACGAAAGTCACATTTTTCTTACGACCACTTCGCTCCGCGTTTCCTTTCTCCAGCTGCACCTCGTCGTCTTCCTCGTCGTTGTTATTTATATTGCTGCTGCTGCTGCTGCTGCTACTGCTGCTGCTGCTGTTGTTGTTGTTATTGTTGTTGTTGTTGTTGTTGTTGTGATTCGTGGGCGACGCTGGTGCTTCGTGTTTTCTCCTAGATGTATCCTCGATCCTCGGTGCTTTGCCGTTCGCCAGTCCAACGACCTTACCGTTCGCCGGAAGCTGCTGCCTTCTCTCGACACTTGGCGCCAACTTGCCGTTGCTCCTGGCCTGCAGATGCGCCGAGTCGTACACGATCGTCCTGCCGCCATCCTGTGTCGTCTGGCATTGCGGCTGCTCGTCGGACCTCCAAGGCCGTTGGTTGGGCGGCGGCGGCGCTTGGCGCGTTGGGCACGGCGGTCGCGGCGACTTTTTCAGTGCCTCGGCGACGACCTGGCGACTGGGCCGCGGCGGCACCGGTGGCGGGTGGGCCCGCTGCACTGACGCCGCCAGCTGCATGCTGCCCCGTTGCTTCGTCAGCTTGCCTCGCTTTTACCTTCTCGCCTGATCACCTGATCGCCGTCATTCTGCGCTCGACGTTATTAGCGCTCGCGCGCGCGCGCGTGTTTCGCGTGTAAACGAGGTCACCTCCTGCACCCACTTTTTCGCGAGAGAGAAATCGGGCCCGCGCACGTTTTTCGGCTATTATTTTCGCATTCGAGTCGCGAAAGCCCAGAGCTGTGCTCTCTCGGTGTACGCGTTTATATGTGTGTCGAGCGTGACTTTTTCAAGATGCAGCGGCGGCGGCGGCGGCGGCGGCTCCTGTGCGCAGATCTCTCTTCTCTTGCAGCACACATACACGGCAACACTCCCGATTCTCAACTGTACGGTGCAGCCAACTTTTTGCGGTCCAAGATTTCCCGCCGCTTCGTGAACGGGCGGCCGACAGGGAGACGACGACGCCGCACAATTGATAGCATCGACGGGATAATGGACTGCGGCAGCGGAGGAACCGGTTGTCAGCTCTTTCGGCTGGATTACGCAAAAGCCTTGAGTCCGTGCGACGGTCCGTGGCGGCGCTCGGCAGTCGGCGATTCGCCCGCGCGAGCTTTTATTCCCTCGCCTCCTTGGCTCTCAACTCTCTCGCGGCAGCGCTATCGAGTCGCCGCCGCGCCGGAATGCGCGTCGCTCTGCGAAACGCTGCTCAGGGAGTCGCATGTCGTCGTCGTCGCGATGGTCGTCGCTGGTGCCCGGCCGCCTTGATGCACGTGTCGCGCATCGCGGCCCTCGGCGCGCGCGAGCCTCGCCGGAGCGACGTCGACCGCGAGGTGCGCGCTCGCGAATAGCTCGGCAGCGGCAAAGGGCGACTGGTCGTGTTCCCGAGAGAGTGCGCGCGCGCGCGCACCGGTCGGCCGCTACCGGAGAACAATGCTGCGCCGGCGGCGTCGCTTCTTTGTGGGCGCGCGAGCGTAAGAGCCGCGGTAAAAGCACTCGCGGACGCGAACTCGGACTCACTGAACTCCGCGCTACGGTCGCGGAGATCCTTGGGCGGCGCGGAGAGCGGCGGCGGTGGTGGCGGCGGCGACCACGTGATCCGCACCACCGGTCTCGCGGCGCGCACAGGTACACGGCTACGGCTCTTGGCTTCGCAGCGAGGGGGGAAAACGCTCGCTCGCTCGACCGCGCGAGAGTCGCTCGACGGGTCGCGGGGAACCTGTCTCTACGCGCGTCTGTGTGCGCGAGAGAGATACGTTTGTGGGGGAGCGCGAGAGCCGACCGAGCGCAACGATGGATGGATCGTCGGCGAACACACACACACACACATATACGACGAGCAATTGTAAGATATATCCCGAGAGCGCGCTCTGTGTCTTACGCGATCTAACGATTTCAAAGTGTTGTAATTGCCCCGTTTTAGCAGCGAATTTATCGGTCGATTAGCGAACGGACCTTTTTCTTTCCTTCTTTCTTTTCTTGTTTTCTTTTTCAATTTGAATTTTTCGACGAGATTCAAATATACCGAATTAACGATGTTCATCGACGATAAAGTCTGCTGACAAATGCGAAAAGAAATATCGCGGAGGCGGTCAGTAGTAAACCACAAAGATATTAGACAAAGGCAGAGAAAATGAGTGCACACTTGAAGGGTAATAGGAGAAAATAAAAAGCGGAAATCGAAATGAAGACAGAGGGAACAATAAAGGATTGTGTCATCGGCGATGCGTGAAAAATTAAATGTGGAGTAACACGATGGATGGACGCAATGCAAACACGCGGTTTAATAATACCATTTTGCCGTAATAACGATGCTTTTAGACCTCGCGCGTCTATCATTACGACGTGTACGACTGTGCTATTACAATGCTAATACATAAAGAGACGATGACGTTGTATTCAATCGATTTCTCTTACTATTGATAACACGATTGTATCTCAGACGCCAGACTGGCAGTTTAATTTTCACGCGCCCATGGTCGACGTATCCCGGTGTGTGTTTTCGTACGCAGAAGAGATTAGGCCAAGTTAAAAGAAAAGAGCCCCGCGAATGGCAAATGCCCGGTATTTATAAGTATGTAGGTATGCATGTGCCGTATAAAATCGATCGACATACCCTTTGTGATCGACTGAACGGAAAAAATCAACTGCGGAGCCTATTGTGTGCTAAGAGAAGGCAGTTGATAAAATTGCAATACCAGCCAATAAAAACAACTCGACGGGTGCGCGCGCCTTGATTTTTCATCACTTTAATAGCCGAGAAAAAAGAAGACAATCGTTAATGAGAACTTCGTAATCGGCGCGGATGAAAGGTGAGACGAGTCGCGGAGCGACATAAGGAAAAAAGCACGGCGATCAGATCGCGCGGAGATAGCCGAGCCCGGTGCCGTGAAACGAACGTCTTCGTAGCGTCGCAACGCCCGCAAAATTGGAGTAAACAATCCGCGCGGGCACCTCGTGCGGGACGAGAGGTCGTGCGTCGCTAAACCCGCGTTACGAGAGACAATGACGCTACACGGCGCAGCCGAGCGCGAGACAAAAGGGCAGAAATTGGCAGGCTCCGTCGGAGCTACCCGCCCGTTATTGCACGCTCGAAGCGCACCGGGCGTTCGTGTAACGCGCCCGACGCCGACGAGCCTCGGCTTTGCGCCGTCGAACGACAATATCCGCGGGAAATTTCCCTTGGCGCACACGGGGTTAACGATGGTCGGTCGGCGGCGCGGCGATGCGCTTGGAAAGTCGCACACGCTGAACTCAGATGCCGCGCTGTCGAATCCCGAAGAACAATGAGCGCGCGCGCGACAATGAAAGCCGCTCGGGTAATTAATTTGTTCCGATTAAAACGACGCGACGTACCTACGCGCGGAAAACGAGCGCGCACGGCGGCTTCACAATGGCCAGCGCTTAACGACCCTGTGCGATCTAATTTATTTGGGAATCGCGCGGCTCGCCATGGCATGTATACAGACAAAGACGAGCCTCTTTCCGATCCCGGTTGCGAAGCTGCAAACTATCTATGGGCAAAATGTACGAGGGATCACTATCATAAATGGGCAACGATCACACGACGACAATCGCCAATTGGCTCGCGATCGTTGTGTGCCGCTTATCACAATGGCGAGGGCCGGTATCTGTGTCAACGTCGTGCAGCTGCTTATTTTTTTTTGTCGCGCGCGCGCGTGTGTCTACGAAAAAAGAAAACCGTCGATGCATTTTCGTGCAATTGCTATGTAGCAAGAAATCGGATTTTTTTTCTTTCTCCGATTGCTCAATGCGCGCGCTATTGTGCACCCACAAACTAGCGTGTTCGCGAGATTTCGATCGCGCGTGCTTTGGAGTGTTATATTCGAAACGGACTAAGAGCGAGGGAGAGCTTGCGGATTGCCGATTTATTTGGGATCGCTAAACGATTAGTTACATAAATGGCCTTTTTATTGCTACTGCAATATAATCACTGATAAGCGGCAGGGAAGTGTGGGTGGGAATGTTCTGTGCGAAAGTGCGAAGCGAACCATTTCTCGTGGTTAGGCTGTAGATCAAATGAAACGTATTTCTAGAGATAGGTATAATTAAATCTCATATGAATGTTTTCTTAAATCACGTTGAATCGCGTTCGACATTTTTAATGATCGGAGTAATCGCCCGCAACCATAAATCCTCGCAACGCACAGACAGACGACGCTCGTGCGTTCGCAAAAATTGTTGTTAAACGGCGTGCGAGTGCCTTCGATACGAAGCACGAGGCGGCAAAAGCCTTCCCCGCGGAGAAACCACGAACCGTACGATTTTCAGCTCATAACGGCGGCGCAGCTCGAGGGACAGCGCGAGGGAAAGCGTCGCGATTCGCGACGTATCGCTCACTTCCGAAATCCGCGCGGCGCAACGGGCGCTCGCCGTCGAGAGAATTTCAACAGCCCTACCGTGCGATCGCGCCCGCGAGAGCGATAGCTGAATTCACGGAGAACGAGTCGAGCCACACAATGAGAGCGCCCGCGAGAGAGATCGGATTTTAACGGCTGCCCATTAGCTTTCGTTATGCGAGCGAGCGCGAGTTACACTCCCGCTGTGTAATGTCATTCATGGTCAAAAGTCAAGCCGGCTCGCTTGCGACACGGCGTACATGCATAGGCAACGATCGCGCAAGAGATCCAAGAGGGCCTCGATACTTTAACGATCGCGAGAGCAAGAGCTCGCAGACAGTGAATGGCGAATAAAACGCATGTATATGACTTTTGCAAAAGTTTTGTGTGCTCGCGAGCACCGCCTGCGATTGCGACTAGGCTCTGTTTGATTTTAGAGGCTCGTTAACAGCTCTCCGTTGATTCATCGCTAATGAGTCTTACCACCACCAACAATTCAAACATTTTAACGCGAAATCATCGACGACGATGGAAGCTATTTCAGAATACGAGAATATCTTTGTGATGCAATATGTACACGTTAATGCTGATTGTTGGAAGAAAGTTGCGGGGTGATGTTTCAGTCGGACAAGCTGGATGGGAAGTAGTTTGTTGAATTGTTTTGGCTTTAGGAAATTGGTTGACGTGTGGATCACGAATCAGTAAGTTTAATACTGATAATTTATGTATACGTCTGTTACGAAATGACAAATGTTCAGTTGTTCAGCTAATGGCCTAATTAACTATATATCTACGGTGTCTCCAACTGTCATACATGAAAACGCTATTACCGTTGCGAATCGCTTTCTCAACCAAGCAGAGCACTAGATTGCCACACAAGTACAAGAACTCACCCAGACAGAAAGGCATTCAAAACCAAACAATAACAATTGGCGAGAATTCAAAATAATTATCCTCACGAGGATAGAGAAAAAAGTGTCAATTCGAAAGGATAACGGCGCTTACGTTTTCCTCGCACGTATAGCCTTTCCAAAGCGAGAGTCTGCATGCGCATTGTAAAACACTGCCAATGTAACGATGATTGAGTCGCGTACACATTGCCTCTGACGACTGCTTGCCCCCCCCCCCTTTCTCTCTGTGGCACGCGCGAATCATTGTCCGCCAGAGCCTTTGTTTGCCCGCTAGACAATAAATTTCGAAGGCTTGCGCTTCCGCGCCGCATGAATTGCGAGAGAGACAGAGAGACGATGGGCTAAACGTGTTCCTAATTATGAGATAATAGTGCCCGCTCGCTCTCTTACCCAACTATATTTACCCAAGACTAGATTTCGCACGGATCTTATAATGGTGATCTCGATGATGAAGACGTTCGGTTGATCGTTGACGGCTTGTTATTTATTTGGGGCTCGTAATGATAGTCGGAATTTTAACTAAACTGATGTATATTTCGTCCTTTCATTAAATTTTTTAAATTTACATTATAGTTCGATAAAAACACGGACAATAACAATATGGGATATTGGCACGCACATATACACGTATCGAGTGGTCGCTCAATTTACAATTGCAAACCTTGACTAATGTTTTTTCCACATAGCAAGACATTATTTATAGAAATCTGTTTTAAGTGTTGTGCAATTTTTCTCGTTAATTATGGCCGTACATAGCAGCAATAATTCTATAAACCAGTACCTTGTTCTCATTCTGCAAAAAATAAAAGAAAAATAATTATTTACTGCTTCTCGTATCAAATACGTTATCCGTGATTATCAGATTTAGAATAAAAGCCTGTCTTTACATTGACACGTATATAAAATTTAAGCTTTGTCGTGACAAGTACACGTGCACCCTCCTCCCGCATAATGAAATTTCAGTGAAGAATAAATGTACACAGAAATCGTACAATGCAGCCGTATTGCCATGATATATATAAGGTTTCGAAGTATTGCAACAGCTATCAAAATTCAAAACACATGTTGAACGCGTGACTATTTTGCTGCCGAAAGTTTAGCCCTAAATGCATTTTACAAGCAAACGTGAGAAAAGTAAAATAAAAAAAAATAAAACAAGGATAAAATCGTTATGTAACAGCTTATATTGCTCCCCTTGTGGTTGTACATATATATACATAACCTATCCGATGTCCATTAATAACTCACATTCGAAAGTGGTCATACCTCTTTCACGTGCGCTCGCGTGCAATTGAAATTGTTTGTTACACTCCACTTCGTAATAGCTTGTATTACAAAGTTGCCCCAAAAAGTGATTTGGATTGAACAAGAGAACATAAGTTTCACAGTTGTACCTGCTGTTATTTTTTCTCATTCTAATCGACGCAAATAAATTAAACTTGCGAGCTCATTGTCATAAAAAAGTGTTGTTTATTTTATTTTAAAAGCTGCGCTTGTGGGACTTACGTAAGCTGAATAAAAGGTGTAGAGCGATCAAAACTTTTTTACCGATGTTTTGTATACTTATGTAAAGTGACTCGGCTCAATAACATTCCGAGTCAATTGTCTATTCTAACACTGTATTTTATGTAATAACAGATTGCGAACTGCTGCCAAGAAATTGTACCTCCTCATTTTTTTTTTAATGCATGAGAATATTTCTGGACAATAAATCAAGAATGATACCTGGAAATTATTGTATCATGACAACAATACTATCACGTCATAATATGTTTATTAAAAGTACGAATAGCGAATTAAAATTGATCCTTTTTCTATCGTTTATATCGCTACTGATTCAAATGGCCAACGTCTTGCCGCACGGAATTTCGAGCCAATCAAAACAATACTATTCTTGAAAATCTGGCAAGATATCTCGATCATCACAATAGCCTACATCTGAAACGAAACTTATTTTGAGAAAAACCAGACATTACGGTCGATGTTCTGGCCACTGATTCCACGCGCACTTGACCTAAAAAACACAACGCCTCATTATAAACTTATTAGCAATCAAAGCATTGCACGTACACGCACTGCCGAAGACAAAAGCAAATTATATCTCGGTGGAATCTCAGTGCCGGCGGTGCAAAGGCAGAGGCAAACCGAGGTGAGGCACGTGATAAAGGAGGTAATAAAAAAATTAAAAAAAGGGAAGAAGACTTACCGGCAAGTCGGACTGCTGCGTGCTGACACCTGGAGGGGACAACGGGCTTTGACGGGCGACAACTTTACTCCTTGAATTTCCACTCTTGTCGACACATGGGGCACAACAAGCTCGTCTGCTGCGAGTTCAGCCACTTCATGATACAGTGGATGTGGAAGCAATGCGAGCACTGGCCCCACACTGCGCAAACAGAAAGACAAAAAAAAAAATAAATGCGTGTCACGCAATGCAACGGCGAGACCGGCGCTCTCGAAACTGCGTCGGGCGCCGCGACGCGAGGGGTAGGGGTGAGGCCAAAACAATCCCGCAGCCCCGATCGATATCGCGCTGCTCGCATGCGCGCGCGCCGCGCGCAGATGGGCGCGATGCGAATTGTGTCCCGCGTGCGCGCTGCGTTTGCTGACAGCTGCCCACGGAGTCGTGGATCGCTTTGAATTCTCTCAGGCAGGGGGGAGGGGCGCCTCACCGAGACCTTCCCTTCCGATTCGACGCTTTCGCACGATCAACATTAACGTTATTCCACGCACCGTCGGGCCCGGGCTATTTGCAGAACCGCGCGATGTTAACCTTGAGCAACGGCAAAAAATACATCGCGTTTTCCGGGCATTACGAAACGACCGTTTCTCGTGATCAACTGACTGAAGATAATGAAGTTACACCGTGCTTATCAGCGGATTATAAGGCTATACGTCCAGTAGTCGATTTCTACCTAGATATCTTTCAATTTATTTATTACCACTTTCATTCTCTGCCATTAGCATAACGATTTTCGAGGAAAAAAAAACTATTAGCCGTGTTCTTTTTTATAACTAGGTAACAATAGCAAATTAACGACTGTAGATCGTATCTTCGCTTTCTAATCGCAAAGATTGAAACGCATATAAAGACACGTTATAAACATATCTATCGGCGCAGGCGATCTCATCCGCTTGGAAAACTGCATGTGCGATGATTTAAGTGCTGTTACATAAAAAATGAAAACACGCAGTGGAGCGCCTTTATCTGCAAATTGTACAAGGCACGCGGAGAGAGAAGGAGAGAGAGACAGAGACAGAGACAGAGACAGAGAGAGACAGAAAGAGAGAGAGAGAGAGACAGAAAGAGAGAGAGGGATAGGGAGAGAGAGCAGCAATGTGCATGCAATATCGAGGAAACAAGCGGCGAAAACAACCTTCCAGAGAATTAGATAAACGTTTGTCGTACTATTACCTAAGGGGCAATCGTCGCCGGGCATTTTGCAGTCGGGGCAGCTTGCATCGAACGGCATCCGGCAAATACCGCAGTTGTCGTCATTGGCGATCCAACGCCAGGTGGCGACGCCTCTCCAGCCTGTTCGTCAAGTTTGTCGTTAGGACTTTACTTTACCAACGTGCAGTTCATTCAGATGTTATCATCGACCAAATTTTTACTTATGTTCCTATTAATGTTTAGCTTATTTCTTTGAATATGTTCAATTGAAACTTATGACCGGAGCATTAAAAATTAAAGATTTTGATTTGATAGGCGACAATGTTCAGCCGATGTTATTCTATTTCATAGGTGGAAATTTTTAGAAATTAAGTAGTGCATAAATTACTATTCTATGTTGAGTTATTTGTTATGAAACGTAATATATCAATACAAAAACAACAGAATATATTAATAGGGCAAATATATTTTTATCGGTTAACTTATCAAAACATAACCAATAAATTACTTGCGTACGATACTTTGTTCATGCCGATTAAAATATTATTAGATAATAATAGTATCGTAGAAATGATTTTTCACGAAAAAATTATTATGACGGATATAAAAAAACTTTAATTTTCGTCGATTAATAGTGACAACTTTCTCTTTATATACAATTCAACATAAGAAAAGTACTTACTGGTTATAGTAACTTTCATTTTACTTGCTATACTAATACGTTCCTATGATCTTATTTTATCCTGCTTTATAACAATTATGAAGCTGAGTTCAGAGATATATAAAAGTTGATTTTGTTTTATTTGGAAAAAGAACAGAATAATATATTGTTTTTATTGAATAGCGCCATATTAAAACTATCTGCGCACTGGACTTCCACGCAGAAGTGCGCGCGCACTGTTCACCCGCTATAATTCAAAGCTTCGACTTGATACAAATGATAATATGTTATTTTCGAATATAGTTTCCCTCTGCTACATTATAAGGTGAGAACGTCACAAAAGTGTCGAGCATTTAAGTAAGTTGTTAAATTTAGAATTGAAGAAAAAAACACGAAGTAAATGCTTGCATATCATCAAAAACTTGTTGGAAGTTAAATTCATTACGACAAGGGCAGTCAGTTTCAGTATCCAAAAAGCCTCTGCATAATACATGTACGTCGTATATGTCCAAGAAAAATAATTTTTTTATCAAACTTTTACTTTTATTTATTCGTCACTAACTCAAATAAACAATGCATAAAATTCCATGAAAAAAATTGGAGCATTAGCAAATACACTACCAAGTTATTCTAATTTATAATATTTATAAGGAAAACGTAGTATCGTGCATAAAATATGAATCAAATAAGAGAGAGAGAGAGAAAGATCTAAACAGTTAACTTGGATTGTTTTTTGTTTTTCAAATTCGCATAACAACTCCAATCGAAAAGTGAAGCTATTTGTACAATCTAACATAATTGCAAATAAGTAAATAACTGATTTATTTTTCGACTAACTTTGATAGGCATGTCAAAAAAGAGTCGCCGAGAAAGATTTCACTTTTTGCGCAATAGCCTAAAGGCTTTATCGGATTATATAATGAATAACTCGCGAAACTCCATTAAATAAGTCGTTGAAAGGCAGGAAAAGCAAAAAAGTCATATTATATGTTATTTGGCAGAACATAACAAAGAAGCCGCTCCAATTTAACGGTTTGAGCGAACACAAAGCGATTGGGCTTTTCCACCCCAAACACATCAGCAAGCGCGCTTGGAAGGGTGGGAGGGAGAGAGAGAGAGAGAGACGGGTAATTCCGTAACAAAGCAAGGAGCTAACCATTTGATCGCCCCTACGCAAAAGCTCTCCACGTGTCTCTTTAGCGGGATTTCCTCGAGCCGCGCGATAAAAACCCGTGGGAAAGGGAGGGGGTTTGACACAGCTCTTTCTTTCCGTCCGCGGCAGGAAAACAATATAATCCGTTTCTTTCTCCTTTTTCGGGCGGAGCGCGCATAACGACATCGACGACGCGTAAATACGCATGTATATACAGCATGATAGACTTGGCCGTATGCGGTGGCAGTTGTCCTCGCTCAGGGCGAGTAGTCGTCGTTGTCGTCGCCGAGTGGTATAAATCAATAATCCGCTCTGTCTCTCTCTCTCTCTCTTTCGCGCGCGCGCGCGAATGCAAAGCAACAAAACAAAAAAGCGAAACGGCTGCGGCAGCCGGCTGCACCCCCACCGCCGGCACTGGCATGGCGAAAAAGCGGCCAATTGCAATGCTACGTGCGCATTCCGATTATTCTAGAAGTGTCGGGGCCGCGCGCAAGCGAGACGCCTTCATATCCTGCATTCGCTGCGCTCTCGTTGTAAAAGGGCGCGCGAGCGAGAGAGAGAGAGAGAGAGAGACAGAAAGAAAAGGACAACTGCTCTGCGCACGAGAGTGCGCGAGTACTCGCCGACTGTTGCTGGCTCCCGCGCATACACGCGCGCGCGCGCACGTGCACATACACACGCACACACACACACACACACACGTGCACGCCGAGGCGAAAAATCTGCGCGTCGCGCCGTGAAAAACAAGCCTTACCAAGCCAGAGAGAGAGAGAGAGAGAGAGAGAGAGACCTTTTTACGCTCATTGCTCGTTTAATACTCATACCGCCGCCGTCCGCCTATAACATCGCGCCGCCTGACTTTACTTGCTTGCTTGCTCGCTCACTTACCTGATCACTGCGCCGCCGACTTACGAGTGTATGTATATATATACACTCTACATTGCGTTTTCTGAATAAACATTTCCATTCGCTATGTTTATCTATGCTTCTGCTCTCTCTCTCTCTATCTCTCTCTCTCTCTGTCTCTCTCAAATCTTTATGATTATCATGTTTTGATAGCAACTACCATTAAACATTATTAGACGATTGAGTGGTTGGGGTTAATTGTTTTAATTTGTTCGGATAAATTTTTGACTAATCAGCCGGCTTTAGGTTGACTGCTCCAAATTACGTTTTGAAATGCTTTTGTCAAATTCTAAAAATAGAGCGTTCGAAATCGCATTAACATGAATTTTTGTTAATTGTCTTGTTATAAATCACTAATTGTAGATGAAAGTTATTGTTGTTGTCAATGAACTATTGCAATCCATAAATCACTCTACCAGTGGCTCGATCAAAAATGATTAATGATAAATGATTAGCAGTCAATTGTTCAATCGAATAGACTCTAATAATGAATTAATTATCACATGCATGATTAAGAAGCGCACCAATTTGCAGAATAAATATGTCAGTCGCATTGCACTAAATATTGCAATGTTTTTGTTTTTCCCATTTTTTTGGGAATTCAAGCAGGATAGTGCGCAGTAATAGCACTAAAAACAAGGACGATGATTTAGACAACGACGCAAATGTAATATTGGGGAAAAACGCGGATCGCGCGAATGAGTCATGCATATAATATGATGGGATCGGAAGCCAAAACGAAAAGAAAGGAAAGGAAACGCGAAGCTAAAAACACCTGGCGCTGGCTTAATGTCTCATTGCAAATCCAATAAAGCTACACATGTCCAACGCCCCATCAAGTGGGAGAGTGAGAGACGCAGAGAGTGTGCAAGGGGCCATGATCGTCGGCTTTCTGCGCAACCCACACACATCCTTAGCTCGTCCGTAGCACTGATACTTATAGCTGTTGGCCGCTCGGCTCAGCCACACCAACACAGGTGAATACCGTTGGTTGAACGTTCGGCACGCGCGCTCTCGCGCGCAAGCTTGAACTCTCGCGCGGCTCTCGCGCAGCGGCAGCTGCTGCTGCGTAGTAGTGCGTAAATACACGGGACACGTGTAAAAAGTGCGCAGCGCTCTATCGATGTGTTAGTGTATTCTCTCTCGCTCGCTCTTCCACGAGCAGTTAAAAAAAGAGAGCGGCAGTGGCGCGCCGCCAGCCGCCGAGGCAAGTCAACTATCTCTCTTGTCGAGCGAGTAACAGAGACAGAGGAAAAACACACGGGATCGCTAGTGTTGTACAGTGCGTAGCACGGCTTACAGTCGTACGTGAGTATCGTACATCGCGCGCGCCGGACGAGCTACATTACGCGCAGCAGCAGCATTCGTTCTCTCGCTCTCATCCAACGAGAAAGACAAAGAGACGATCCTGCGCGTGGATGTCAGCAGCTGCTCAGATGCAACGACTCCGGGCCGTTGACCAACTAGGCCAACGCAACACATCTCGCTAAAGTGAGTATCTGCAACTTTTACCAGCGGGCCCCGTCTAGTTTTGCCCTACGACCGTGCTTCCCGGCTGCCTTTTGCCGTTCGCGGTCTGTCTGTCCTACCCTCAAAGGGAGCCGGTATTTTTCGGCGAACTCGCGGCCTTCGGGCAGCTGCAGTCGCCGCGGCGCGCGAAAATAAGAACAGCGGGAGAGGGACAGAAAAGAGCGCGAGGCCAAGGTAACCTTTCGTCGTAGCCGCCGTCCGTTTTATGCCGAAAAAATATCGTATCTTCGAGGTCTTTCTCGCTCACTCTCCGTCTGCCTCTCGCAGTTGTCTTTCTCCCGCGCTCGCAGTAGGCTCTAGTACTCGACTGTTCATCCGCTTCTGCATACATACGTCTGTCTGGCTGTCGCACGGCGGCCCTTATTCGCGCGCGCATATCTTACCTGTCGTCTACTCTGGCGCTAGTCTTCGAAAGCTCGAGAATGGACCGAACTATTTTCACTCCCGTTTCCTAGATTTCTGAAAATTTTTTAGATTCGCAGTGCGAGTTCCAATTTCACAATTTGAATGCCAACTGCTTCAAATTATAAATAAAAAATATTGACAATCAAAATAGGCCTGTGTGAGTTATTTGTTGTGTATAAGATATTATTTTAATAGTTTTTAGATAAAAAGTTAACTTTTTTCAGATTACAAGCAGATGCTAATTAGTTCTTGCTTACTTAATGTAATCCATCATCATGGTTGGGTTTCTCGAAGAGGACAAGGGACTCTTCCCTTTGCAAACTATATCTTCCGTTGTGCAAATCTTCCAGAATCAACTGGAGAATAGTGCAGAGCCAGATCTTGCTCTGCTCTCAATCATTGTCGGAGCAATAGAAAATCCTCTCACCTGCAATAGAAATATCGAACCTGATGAAGCTACTGGTTATGATGAATCCAAACTCCCACCTGTGGATTTTGAGAAAGCTGAATCAATGTACACAAAGTTTACGTCATTGATAAAAAATGCAGTGGATCTATCAGTTTATAATACTAAGTATGCCACAAGAGAACTGGTAAAAAAGGTATCAGATAGTATTTGGAATTATTTATCAAGAAACTATAACAAAGACCATGCACATTTGCAAAGTATATACAGTTACTTGACATTATACAAATTGGACTGTTTTGGAGCTGCATTTGCTGTAGTCGCTGGTTGTCAAGTTTTGGGTTTTAACGATGTGCATCTTGCCCTTTCAGAAGACCATGCTTGGGTTGTTTTTGGAGAAAATGGTCAAGAAACAGCAGAAGTGACATGGCATGGTACAACTTTAGTTTGATAATGTGCTTCTTACGGAATCTTTTTGGTAAAATTCATGATATTAATGTTTCATTTTTAAATTATTTTATAGGGAAAGGAAATGAAGACAAGCGAGGACAACCAGTTGATGCTGGTGTAGCTTCAAAATCATGGGTGTACTTGAATGGCCAAGCAGTTGTTTGTGATCGGGCAATGGAAGTAGCCACAATAGTGTCCGCGATAAATCCCAGTTTTAGTGCAACTGCAGATGCTGTTGAAGTAGCATTGTTACAACAAGAGCTACTTTGGTTATTGTACGACTTGGGGCATCTAAAAAAGTACCCAATGGCTCTGGGTAATCTTGGGGAATTGGAGGAGGCAGCACCAACACCAGGACGACCAGCACCAATCAGCCTCTTTCAGGTATAATCAATATACTTTTACATATATATTTTTATTTAAAATTTATTTTTAATTATAAATAATTTGGTCACAGGAAGCTGTTCAATCAGCAAGAAAGTATTACGACAATGCACATGTTTACCCGTATACTTATCAAGGTGGATATCTATATCGGCATGGTATGCATGTGAATGCTCTTGCTTTATGGGCAGATGCTGCAGATGTTCTTAGGAAGTAAGTAATGTGCAAATAATTAGTTTTTCAATTAAATTAGTACAAGTGTTGAACTAAATCTTGAAATTTACAAAAATGCATCAAATCTATAGGTATAATTACTGTCGAGACGATGGAGAAATATACAAGGAATTGTTAGAGATTGCCAATGAACTTATACCACACGTAGTGAGAGCAGATGATCATTTACTTCGACAACCACGTTGTTTTGCCTATTTACTAAGGTTTTATGATGGCATTTGCCATTGGGAAGAAGGTGCCAATACACCAGTTCTACATATTGGTTGGGCTAGACCACTTGTTAACACCATCTCCAAATTTGATGCAAGTATTCGTGCTCAAGTAATGATAGACTGCTATACTGAACAAAAATTGGATGGCAGTTCTGATGAAAATCTCAATAACAACAATAACAACTACTACAAAACGAAGGTTTCTTTATTATAAATTTTATAATTCTTTAAAATTTTATTAACTCAATCTAATTTAAAAAGAAATGTAAAAAATTGATTAAACTAACGATTAAATTTTTCTTATTAGGAGAGATGCAGTGCTACACGTGATCTTATAAAAAGCCTCGAATCCAAAGTACCTGAGAATCTAGAACCCATGCATCCTGGAATCCAAGCTCTAGCCGCAGCATGTGGTGAGAAAATTTTGAATCGAGATTATTTACTTCAAGGTGATGGTGAACCGTTCGTCGCTCCTGCGGATACAATGCTCGACTTGCCAATGTCAACATCTTCAGTCTGCGGAATTTCAACTCCCTCAACTTCGCAAGATAGCCTCGACGATGGTTTAAGCGAAATTGATTTGGAAATCGAGTCGGACGAGAATGAAAGTCCAAGGATAATGTTGTACAGTCAAAAAATGAAGGGCCTAAAGGATTTGTTACTCGCAGAAAAGCTCAACACACATGCAGTTTCGCTACAGTTAACGGCACAAAGTCAAGTGCAGGTAGGTAAGAAAACGAGAGGAGGCGATGAAGTCGTCACTGGAGCTGGTCATAGGCCGAAAAGGACGAGGAGAGAATAATTAGGGTGTTGAAACAGCAAATATGCTTTTATGATGTCTTTCGATTAACAATTTTTAAAATCGTGTTGAGTCACGATGATAAACCTTGAAGGACTTGCTTCTATTCTGATGCGAATATTTCTAAGCTTTTTGCAATAAGATGTTTTATTTGACCAGTATTTGTCTTCAATGCACAGAAGGAAGAATTTATAAAAAAAATTATTACTTCACACTTTATACATTAATTTTCATAGCCAAAAGACGCAAGATTATTGTATCCGTTTTTTCTTATTAAAGGCTTGTCCTTCAAGCATATTCTATGCAATTTTTTGTAATAGAAGTTGGATAACGTTAAAAAGAAAATATTTATTGGATGGCGATAAATGGTGATTGTTGAAGCAATCATGTAACGTCTCATGAAAAAGATATCCAGTGAATGTAATTATTCAATGGAGTCACCGTAAGACAAAATTTATAGAAGAGTACAAAACAAAAAGTTTATATTTACACTTTAGTCAACCGCTGCGGGCATTCGTGCTTATGTCTTTTTCTCATTACTTTCAAAATACTTTATGAGAAAAGATTTCAGTAAAATATTGCCTAAAATTTTATTTTACCAAATTTTATGTTATGATATTATTATGCTATGTACCTACTCGACAGGTATCAAATTTTTAAATTAATCATTTTGTTTAACAATATAATAATTTGATTTTATAATATAATATATTTTTAGTTTGTGTACAGAAATAAAAAATATTTCTATTTTCAATATTGAGAAAAAAAATGTTTTACTTGAATCTTTACTCAGCATTAACATGACTGAGACTGGCGTGTTCGCACGATTTTTATTTGCATAACAAGCAAATGAATATTTTTTATTGCATATTATATTCTTGTGTCTACTATCTCGTTGCACTTTCGCTTATTTATTGAGGAGGGTTTTTCTTCTCCACTTATAAATATGTATCCCTTGCACTTTCACGATTGAAAAGTTGCCGTTAACGTTTTTTTACAGTTAAAGTATAACAATGCATAGTTTAAAAAAATTTCTATTAGAGAAACGCTTTATTATAGTTAGTAAACCACAACATTCCGATCCCTTTTGAAGTGGTGCAAATTTTTAATTTTAATTACTAGAACTTTATTCAAGCATGAAATGTTTATGTATTTTTATATTATTATTTATTTTCAAGTAAAGTTAAGTATTTGAAAGTAGTGTGACGTTTAGTCAACAGACTTTATTCGCAAAATTTATGTTTACCTTAATAAATTCAGTCTTAATGTTTTTATATATGTACTTGCTCGCAATTTCTATCTCAAAAATTATTTGATTTAGATTTTTTTTATTTCCTCCTCCTGAAAACTGTAATTTAAAATATTTACAGAGAATTAATTAACAAATTGATCATATTTGATGCAAAATTTATTTTGTGACATACTAAAATCCTCGCATCTCTCAAAATAAACTGAGTTCATTTTTGATAACTAATTATAATTTGTAAAAAATGATTAGTTGGCCGCTTTTACAGATTCATGCTTAACTTTCTATTTCGCAATCCTTGCCATTTTTAATATATTAATGTATCAACTCCTTTTTTTTTTAGAATATGTTACTTTTAATCTTTTACGGTACCTCAAACAATCTCGATAAATACGTAAATTCACCTCAGTGACAGAAATAGTCGAGGAAAATAATTGGACGTAGATTCCATCAATGTTTTATTGGATTGTTATCGTAGTATAAGTTTGTTAAAAAATAAGAAATGAATGCAACAAGCAACAAAAAACAAAGAAAGAATTAAAATAGTAAAAGAATATTGGCTTATGTTGAATTAAAAAAAACGAATGAATATTTTTAATATGAAAACGAGCAAAAAATTGATTCAAAAACAAAAATTATTAATGGTATGTTTATAACAAATCTAGGTTACTGGCCCTGAAAAAAATTTTATTCCAATTGTCAATGATGGGTTCACATGGAAAATATTCATAAAATTCGCATTCAGTTTTTTTTTCAAGTCATATTTTGTTTTGACCTCCGTAGAATGCAACATGTGAAGTATGTCATCTGCGATCAATTAAAAAAAAAATATTAAAGGGCGCTATCATACTGTGATGCTGAATATACTATATATTATTAAATTGATATGGTAAACTACATTTTAGTGATAAAAGTAGATAAATGACAGAATGAGACATTGAAAATCGAAATGCATACATACTTTTTTGTATAGAGATGATTTGTAAGATCTTGTAACATCTTTAAAACATCATGCAAAACATGAATTTAAAAAGTGATAAACGAAACTTAACAGTTTAGAACGCCAAAGCATATAAATCTAATATTTGTTTTGTATTGTATCGATTAGTAGCAATAATACAGTATTACTTTGATAAATAACATTGCATTAATATCGAAACATTTGTTTTATGTCTCATCTTTTCTTGCTTTCAAAGCTACGACAGAAAGGTTTTCATTAATAAGGGTAATTTCCTTTTCCCCTAGATCATTATTTTGATGACTTTTAAAAAACAAATATAGACTTGTATGTTTTGAAAAGACAATTGATCTTGATCACATGTACGTATTTCACGTGTCTTTGCAAGTATGTTAGTGTTTGAGCGTGACGGATAATTGACGATATGTAACGTAGAGATTATTGGCTCTATTAGGAGAAATTTTTTTTTCTCCTTGTTTGTCTTGCCATAAGCATTGTCATCATTAAAGTAGAGAACATTAGTTTATGTGTTATCAAATTGAAGTGCTATTACAAGTTTTTTGTATACTATACAAAGCTCGTCTCGGTGATTAGTTTCTTTAAAAATCTGAATAAGCATCACTTAAAATTTTTATTTCTAATAATTGTACGTAGTTTTTAGTTTGTTTGAAGAATCGATGCTGAATGTTTTTGAGTGATTTTCTTCGTGTAAGTTTCTTGTATTTTGCGTGGACTCCTATATTGTATGGCTGGAATGCCTTTGGTAGAATTGTATCTCGTCATTTAATTTAGAATGTCGATAAATACAAGAAAATAAATTATAGATTAGTCACTAAATTTTTAATATTTGTATTTATGATTGTAAAAAAAGGATTTGTATAGTTCAAAATTAGTAGTACGCAGATTTGAAATTAATATATTGAAATAATTGTTTTAAGTATTTACAAAAGTACTTTAGTTATAAATGTTCAATTTGATAAAAAATTCTAATTAATATCACTCCGCTTGATTTATTGAGAAATTTTATTTGAAAATGGAAAATGTTATTTGTCAAAATTATCTCCTTTTATACAAGAGAAATGTAAACATATATTTTTACAATGTATTCGATCGAAGATGTAGCGCAGAAAACATTTTTAAAAAGATATGTTTCTAAATTTTTCAAAGTGTTGTATTCAGCGTCGTTATTAGATTCAAGGGCTTTAGTGTAGTGCGTAGAATGAAAGCGATTATTGTAGGAAAATCAGTATTTTTGTATTGTCGTTCTCGTTTAAAAAATCTAGTGGCCGTCACGTAGATTTTAGCTTTTGATTCTCTATTGAGAGAACACGTTTATAAATATTGAAATAAAAACATGTTAAAACGTAAGATAATGAAAGAACCAAGTAGGATAAAATATTGGCCGTTTAAATAAATTATCGTTAAATGATTCCTTTTTTCATTTGAAAACACAAATACATTGACAAATAAAAATTGCCCATTCAAAAAAAACCTAATTGTTCCTATTGTTGATTAAAGGAGAGCATATTTCACATTTTACTTGGTTCTGCGTTTGAAAAATATGTCACGAACTATGAAGTATATTTGTAAAGCCAAATCCGTTGAAAGAAAGAAAAATATAATGATGAACTACAACATGTGAAATTTTTCTCTGTCTTGCTCTCATTCTCCTGTGGACTGTTCTTCTCATTCGCTTGTTAGATCACATTCAATGATTCTAATTGTAAGTGAAATATAAATAATGTTGAAAAATAGAAACAGAAAGTAAATGTATCGTAAATATTATGCTTGCATAAACAATGACTAATTTTATCAGATATAAATGTTTAACCCGGTGTATTTTCTTAACCAAATAGTTGAAAGAAAATAAATAGTACTAATTTTAATGTAAATTCAACTGGAATTCTGTAAAAGTGCGCGTAAAATATTCGTGCCGTTGGATTATTTGGGAATTTGCACGAAAAGCAAAAGCAATGAGATTGTTTGATGTTGGATACTTCCTTCATTGTATTGCTCTGATCGAATCAATGCGTTTGTTTTTGACGCACAAAGTTTATCTGGTTGTGTAGTACGTAGAAAGCTCGCCGAACGAGCTCCTAGTGATCGCATACTAATGTAAATGTGCCGAGCTTGAAGACGAAATTGCGGCTTATTAGTGACGAATTTCTATGATTGAAAGGATCGAGTAAGCATTTCGATACGTATATTACGTAGAATGAGCATATTAGCAAATTGGCACATTTCTTTTATTAGTTAGAAATAGTTGAAACAAGCGGTCTTCAAGTTTTTGTCAGATTCACGTTAGACAATTAATCAAAATGAACATTTAGAAAATACAATCTACTTCCACGGGGGCATACTACACTAAACATTAACAGTTAGCAAGATGTAATCATAATAATTAATCTACTTAAGCAAGATGTAACAGCTATAAAACTTTAAAATGAAAATCAATTCATCACAGTATACGAGTATCGTTTACGTGTACTTAAACAAAATGTTAAGACTAGACGAATAATTATATTCAAGTTATGCAATATTTATTTTTACTCAACAGAATTTTTAAGTAATGTATAATTTATTGTATGAAATATTCATGCAAACACTTAGTGATTGCAAACTTTAACAAGATATCGTTTTATAGCGACTTTAACCGTCCTTGCCAAGTTTATAAATCTCGAAAATTTTGCAGTTGTTTTATTTACAATGCTTTTTACTGTACTAAACTATCCACTGTGAACAATTATGGCTTCTTTGACATTTTATTGGCAGTAAAGATCAATCAGATCCTCGCATATTTCTCAATTTGTAAATATGCAGATACTGATTTATTAGGTGAAAGAATCGAAGAACTAACAGGCGCGATCGAGAGATTTCTAGAGGTATTTGAAGAAAAAACATATATTACAAGTAAATCCCGAAAGTTGCTTCCCAATCCGAAATAAAGGATTCATAAGATTATTACTCATTGGACTTATTTCAAGACAATGCTGAATATTGAATGAGCTCCAGTTATATTGTTGACTGAATGAAACAGTGATTGTAAAGGCATCATGGAAATGTCTTGATTTTTTGTGGATTATAATAAACTATTTTATTCTATGAATTGTGAGTTTTATTTATACTTCACCTCGTCGATTTTTCTCCAATAAATAATACAAAGTTTGGAATTTCATAATAAGAAGTTTGTCTTATACGCCGATGGAATATTGAAAGGTGACTGCTATAGTCAATCTGGTTTCCAAGGTCAACTCGAGAACTTGCTTTACTTTCGTTTTAAACCTTTAACTGGTAGACCTCTAACAAGTATGATACGCATGTCGAACGTGCCTCATTACGGCACGAATGATTCGTTGTCATTTCGTGTTCGTAGTGCATTATTTTAAAAGAGAAATTTGCAAGCAGACGCATTTTTCTATTTAACAAGGCTTATTGCATAAAATCTCATGATCGAATCTAATAAAGCATATAAACTTTCCATGGACAATTAGCGATTTAATGATGAATTCACTGAATTGGAGCCGCCCCATTGTACATGCAAATATACAGGATGTTCGTCTTAGGTCGCTCGTTTGCGCGAAGGGCGTTGCTTTTGGTCATCTGGTACTTGTCGAAGTAATCCTCGCTAGAGGTTCCCAGTCGACGGAAGGCACTTGAGGTTTTGTCCTTTTTTTCTTCTTCATCTACTTCGACTTCGCAGACGCTTATTATCGCCTTGATACCCGTTTGCAGGCCAGCTCGTAAAGTAGAAATCTTGATTCTAGGTTGCAAAAACGACCGAGTCAAGTGCATCGATAAATCTTGCAGGCAATAGTATGAGCTCCAATGGGATCGTGCTTCTTCTCGCGTTTACCGCATTTAAGCACAATGCGGGCATTGACGGCAGCAAAAACCGCACTGGCCGATAATTCGTTCGCGTCGCTTCTGTGTGCCGCACTTGCCGCGTTTATTGTTTCCTCGTAATGTCAAATAATATAGAGCCTTCCGTTGATAACTTCCGTTGATTGCGAATGGGACGAAGCGACAAGTACAGTCTAGTTTTTAATCGGTGCGTGCGAAAACTAACGCCTCGTTAGCCGAAAAGCAATGGTTGGCGTATGCAACTCGCTGCGACGCTAATTTCAATTCTTTTGGAACTTCAAATTTGCCCTCGCGAATCGCTCTGATTGGTAGTAAACCTGCATGGACCTTTGATAAAGCGATCTATATTCAACGTCAATAGAGCAAGAATGTAACTTGAAGAAATAGACGCTCTGCAAAAACAAAGTGTTCAAATTCAAGTTACTTACTCGAAAGAAGTGAAAGCTTATTACAAGTTGCCGATGAATGACTAGCCGCTTTTTTGGAGTATTGCAACGTTATACGCGCGCAAATAGTCTTTTCCATCTATGCGGAAGGAAAGAGTCAGGCCAATGATTTTTCCGAGATGTCTAGATTTTTATTGCTTTCAATTCTTCCATCAGATGCAGCCGTTTACAAGCGACGCGCATTCAATTCGCCAGTAGTCGACACGACACACAGCCGCACTCCAGAGTTCAGATCTTAAGTTATAATTAGCGTTTTATACATAATGTTATATGTAGTATCTCATTTAACTAAAGATATTCAAGTTCATTTTCGCGTACTGCGTTACGTGCTGCTTTTATTTTTTATTATTTGCCTTCGGTTTGTATTGTTAATAAAGTTTATCTAATAATACATCAATACATCATTGTTATTAAGAAATAACAAGCTTTGCTATTAAAAATATTTTATGTTTAATTTTAATACCAAATAGTCGATCAACAAAGATGATTTGTTTTTGAGAAAAAAACGAGCTACTAAAAAAGCGTAGCACGGATGCATTGTTAAATCAGACAGTGGATGTATTGAAAAAAGATTACTTTCATACCCTAATGAATTAAATCTTAAAATCCTGTAGCCATCCGACTCGCGAAACTGTACATATACCTTTCCTGTATACGGCATAATTCTATGTCTCGTTTTCGCAGGGTTTTGTTTTTTCTGTGAAGACTGAAGGAATAGGGGCGCACATGTGCACTTAACGACCTTTGAGACTTAGTGGACTTTGTACTGTTCCATTTGTAACCATTTTTCTTTTTCGCATCCATCTTTGCTGTAATTATTCTCCAAGTCACGATGTAATCTGTCTAATTCATCTTTGTAGCACTTTCCGATGAATTATCAGCAGAAACGTTATGTTCTTCCGAACTTTTAACCGAACGTGATTGCCACATCGATTTCTCCGCACTGCACACCAAGATCCTTCAGCAACGAGCACATCTTTCGTGAAACGCGCAGCATCTAGCAATCCGTCACAATAAAAATCTTGACAAACGCTTTCACACCGTAAAAGTAATCGCAGTTGACAACACAATACTTACGGGTAGAATTTGTATCGCAGGAAAATGGGAAAAACAATATAGCGAAAAACAATATACACATGGACGACGACACAAAGACTCGTTATTTTGTATTCTCTACTGTTGTGGTAAAAGCTCTAATTTCAAATGACCACTACATATAGTAGTAACAGTATTATCAAAAAGGTTATAAAATTAAAGTTTTTGTTTGAAAAATGCATTATTTGTTGAATACTTGACGAAATAAAAACAAAAAAAAAAGAGTAATTGAAATATGTCTGACATCAATGAAAATTAAAAAATAAATCTAAAAATAATTCTATAGTAATAGTTCATGTAAACTTTTAACTGAATCAATAAATCAACGAAATAAATAAAAAGTACAAATAAATATAACTTTTTTTATTGCAACGTTTTACAAGTTTTTTTTCGTTATGTCGTACTTATAATATAAAACGTATAATAAATTATAGAACGACTATATTCTAAATAAAATACCTAATAATTTTTTAATAGTATAGGTAATATTTGGTCATCTTTTGTTTTGCGTAATAATTACATAACTATGCAGAATTGAATATAGCTAACCATTTGCTTTTATCTCGTTTTTGATCTCTAACTACTGTATCGCTGTGGCTTTATTAAAAAAAATCATTTTACGACTTCACTTATGGTAACGTTTTATAATAAAAACTAAAAAATAACGATTTTTAATAATATTTTACAGTGCATTATATAGATTACAATGATCAACGAGAGTACATATTAATACTGTATTTCACATAAGATCGAAATAAATACAAACAAATGAGACCTAGTTTTCATACGACATTGTGTGAGAACATAAAAACTAATTTCATATAAAAAATTGTGAAAATGAAATAAGGTAAAAACAGCAGCCGTCATAACAGTCAGCCAAGTTATCGTAAAATCTACTTTAAAATGTTAACACGATGAAAGCAATTTAAAGAAACAAGCGAACTTAACCATACTCAGGGCTAAGCTTCGTTAAAAATTCGAATCGTCATCTGAAATAAATGTTTGGTCACCGGAACCAATTAAAAAATACGAGTTTTTTTTTCAACTTAAAAATTAAAAATCAACATAATTTTACAGAGTATTCAATGATAATAAATCATAAACCATTCGGTGAAACGCTTAATATGTTGTGTCGCCGCATGGTTTTCGTCTTGCAGACGGCGATTTTCATCTCTCAACCGACGAACTTCTTCTTCCAAGGAAACTCTGCGGCGTGTTTCGCGTGCCACGCGTATCTCCAGGCTTGACAGATGACTCTGCAAGTCTGTCACTGAATTTCTGTGATAGTACGAAAATATTTTAATATTATGTTCATTTATTACCGATAGAAAAATAAGAATAAAATTAAAAAAATATTGAAAACTTACGCAATGGTATTTGATCCATCTACAATTCTTTCTTCGGACCATTCTTGATTATGTTTCGGAGCTTTGTTATTAGACTCATCTTGGTGATTAGTGCTTCGAAAATCGGAATCGATTTCATGAGAACTCCTAATTTCTTTATTAACGTAATTACTTGTAGATTTAGACATTTGTTGGGGTGTTTTGGTTACTCTTGGAGAAAGCCTGTAACATTTTTTCATTAATTAACTTTTGAATTATATAAGACTTTGAAAATTTTGTTAATTTTTTTTTAAGTCTTATAGTAGATTTTAGATTGAATTTTGGAAATTATTCTGCGATACAATTTTAATTTGTTATGGAAATTGTACTTTGAACGGACATAAATGAGTTCATTGGTTACTTATTTTGAATTGTCAATTGTAAGGTAGACAAAATAAAAAGGACGGCCAGTTGAATTATTTTTGAAAATTTTTATTTAAAAGTACAGAGTAATATTAAATTCTACAATCCTTAAAAAAAAAAAACAATTATTCCAAATTTGTCTATCAAAATTTAATTTTTTGACAAATTCTTTGAATACTTAACCGATTTATTAAGAATTAAAATATATAAACATTTCTTTTAATTAAAATTCATTTCTATCAAAACGTGAATTATAATTATTATTAAGCAATATTCTTTTCTCTAAATTTCACAATTCCATATGATTGTATTAAAAATGTTTCCACAGATAGTATATTTTTTAAATAAAAAAACAATTATTATATTCAATTTGTGATGGGAAAAATCTTAGTAATTATTAATCAAGTTTTATAAAAATTAAAGCATAAGGCAATATTTGATTCACGTATTAAAAAAATCTTTTAGATTAGTCAGTGCAATGAGTCACGTCTAGATATGATGTCCCTATTTGGGTCGGGGTTATCACATGGTACCATAGATTAACTTTGTATTAATTACCTCTCCTCTTTTGTCAATTTGTTCTCACTAGGTGCTGGACTCGATGCTGTACTGGCATTCGATATAACAGTTGCTGGACGTGCCATTGTTAAAATAACTTCAGAACCAGGATTCCCATTTTCTTGCGATCCATTAGGCAATACGCTCAAAGTCGATGTACTATTTCCACACAAGTTTTCGCGTGATCTACATCTGTTCTGAATCTCTAACATATTATTGTTAACTTTATTTGAATTTTGATTGTTCTTTGTATTGTGATTATTCACTAAATGACCATCATCTGCTATGTAATCTGGATTTATAAGTTTCATGAGGTCTTCCTGAAGAGTACTAGATGTCAAATTTGCCGAATTCCTGTGAGAACTTCTAGCAGCTGATTTTGGTCTTGGACTTTGATTACGCGATCCAGTACTTGACGGAGTCAAATTGCCAGGACGATGTTTGTTAGCTCTTCGAAGTCTGTAATAATTGTGAAAAATTTATCAGTATAATAATGAAACATGCAATCTACTAAAAATATGATTAGTCAACGTCGTCTAAATACTTAACGTCATCAAATAATTTAAAATTCAATAATTTAAATATTCATTAGTATGCAATTATTAGTTACATTCCAGCACAATGTAGGGTAAAGTTTAATTAACTTGTTAGTTGGAAGTTTATAAATAAATATCGTCAAATAACGATTTTTGGATAAAACTTATGCGTACCTAGGTGAGATGCTGCCTGATCCATTGGACAGTTCATCTTCACTAGGCAAAGTAGAAATATCGGTAGCATTGCTATCAGCCATTCGAACTTCGGGCGGCAAACTTGAGGCAAAATCCTTAGGTCTATATTCGATGCTCACCTTGTGTGGCACAGGCCTTTCGGACATGGTTGTTTTAAGGCACGTTACTTTTTCACCGACTTTGAAATCCTGAGGATGTTGAATTTCATGTTCATCTTTCCGTTCGCTGCTTAATTCAATTTGTTGTAATATTTCTGATTCATATTTGCTTCGCCGTCTTTCGTACTTTTCCTCGCAGCTAATTCTATTTTCTTCGTAGACATCGTAAGATTTAGAACTTCGATCAGCTTTAGTTTCATGACTCAACGAAGCTTGATCATGCTCAGTATATCGAACAAGATTGTTATTGCTGGTTGACTTTGGTAAACCATAAGGCGTATTTTGTATTGGAAGGGAATTTGAAACAGCTAATTTTTGGTGTCCTACAAAAAATATTTCATAACATTAATTCAATACGTTATTATACAATTGAAATTTTACGAAGGAAACTAATTTGTGACAAGCCTACAGGTCAAGATAGAAAAAGATAGTGTACCTTCATTTTTATGCAATTCGCGCTGGGAAGTATAGATATTTTCTTGCTTTGTCTCATACTTTTCTTTCTGCAACTTTACATAACTGGTACTTATGTGATCCTGATTGCGATGAACATTCTCGAGTCTCTGATAATTATCATGTCGAATGCTCTCATGAATGGATCTCGGTGAAACATAATTACTCTCTTTAAGTTCATGATTATGCAGATGATTGTGATGCCTTATGTTGTCATAATTTTTTCCAGTAGCGTAATGAGACTCCTTTTCTTTTTTTGGCGTGAATGTGTTATGTTTATTCGAGGTGCCGCTTTGAAAATTTTGCCTAGCAGGTAAAGGGGGAGGTGTACCATCTGTTCGGTGCGATGGATCTTGATCTTGATTTTCCAATAGTTCGTACCTAAAATACGTCAAAAACATACTTTTATATCGAAACACACATTTAATTGGACAATTAGTATGCAGTCGGAGGAAAGGGAACAAGCGTCGTCGTTCAACGATAAGCGGTTTCATGGTTAAAAACCAATGGTAAGAGAGGCATCAGGATGATTTTAGACAGACTCACCATCGATCGTCAGCGCTACTGTGTCCGCTGCTGCTGCTGGTCATAGTACCTTCAATGGGAAACCGCGGATCGTTGAACGACCTGGAGCTCGAGCCCGTCCCATAGCCCGAGCTGTTACTGGATCGCGGAGGACTAAATGACCTTTCGTACCTCCTTTGATGGGACATAGCCGTCTGCTGGCTCGGCGTGTTATCCGGGTTCGTTATATTCTCGTAATCCCCCTCGTAATTCGCCGACAAATACTGGCAGTTTGAGAGCGAGCAGCCTCTGCAACATTAATAACAAATTAATTGAATGAAACTATCGTTTCTTAAATTAAATTAAATTTCTCAGAACATACCGTCTGGGAGTTCCGTCGTTTGTGGGTGGTATGACAGTAACAGTGACTTGAGCGCTCGTTTTAAGTAGGTCGACCATTTGATCATGGCTCAGCGTTGACACGGCAACTTTGCAGATCTCGACCAGTCTGGATCCTTGTCGAAGGCCAGCTTGCCAAGATGAGCCCATGCTTTCCACTTGCGTTACGATTCCATCGGGCTGTACATGAAATCCCAACTGACCTAGCGCGTTCCTTTTGAGGGACAGTTCTGATGCTGGAGCACCTTGGGTTACTGCACGCAGACGAGCTACGATTTCCATCAGTTCATCTCGATCGCTACAGTCGCCTCGTACGTGTATCGTTATGCACTCGCCCTGATGGTGGTAGAGTCGTAGACTACAACAGAATACACATTAATTTCAACATTTAATGATCAATGATTCATACTAGATTCATCGATTAAATACAAATTCCCAGAACAGCTGGTAATTAAGTTTGAAACGTAAAAGAAAAAGAATAAGTAATAAGAAAAAATATCATTCAATCAGCCGTTGAGTAGAAAACTAATCTATACATGCGAGCCGCAGCTTCAATTGGTTATTGAAGATTAGCTTACCTGTTCGTCTGAGCATGCCATCCTAAAACACTGATGCAAGGTGTGACGAAGACGATTTGCCTGGAGTGCTCCTCTATCAAGACTATCGTGTCGATGCTAATGCCAAGATAGCAGTCTGTATTTTGACTGCTATCTTCGAGTATAACTTGCCAGCAAATTGCCCCGCGTTGAGAGGCGTCGCATGACAAACGTGGTCGTGGCGTTGACTTTTTTTTGCTGCTGAACGACAGCATCGCTATAAAAAAAACACACACACATACATTAAGGACGTTAGTCATCATTAGAGATATCGAATCTTAACGAACGAAAGGAGTCGATGCGATAATCTTTACATCTAAACTTTACGATGCAATTGTAATTAGCGGAAAAGTCGAAATATCGATGAAAAAAATACTTACAAAACTTCTGGCCAGATTCAACAATAGTCGTCAATGAGTAATTATTAGCTAGGTCCTTCAGATACTCTTGTCGCGTGCGAGTAGCCATCGTGGCGAATTTCTCGGATCGATGAGCCGCGTTCTCGGCGTTGATCACCTTGGCGAGGATAAAGTCGGCAAAGTGTTTGCCCTTGGAAAATGTTGCACCGGCTGGCACTGGCGGTCCGAACACCGGCACTTCCTTGCTGCGCGACACCGACACGCGGTACTGAGTGTTATCCGTGCACGGATTTACCGCGCGCACTATGATGAACACGTGCTGGAACTGCGATCGTATCCGTTTCGGACTGAAGGGTAGTGCTCCTGGTTCCTGCGACAACGAATGGCGAGCCGACGTTGATTATAGTTTGTTTTTTCAATCGCGAAGGAGTACGCGATGCTGATAGTAACAGTTCTCGCGGACGTTCAATGCTGCTCGCGTGTGAAAGCAATTATACATAGATGGAAAATGATAATAGTAATTGTAGCTTTCTAAAGACGAGTGATTATTCTAATTGAACGCGGATGTTAGTTAAAATGCAGCAGCATAGGATTGCGTCGAAGAGCAAACGTTGTGTGTGCGTACCTGGAAGACAATGGTGACTATATCGTTGCCAATGTGCCGCTTTCTAAGTAGCTGCTGACGGTTATTCGGTGTGAAAGGAAGCATCGTCGAAACATGGAAGGTGACTTCCGCTCCGCGGTGAGTCGCGCACACGGCATGCGTGCCCGTCGAGTCGGTTCTCGTGTCTAGGCCCGCCTTGTATCCCTCGAATCCTCGCAGTCTTATTCTTTGGCCTAAAAATCGAATCGGCGCATTTGGTGTAACTAACGGAAATAGCGACGTTTCGAAAGGCCAATCGTCAACTCACCAACGGAGTCTAAGAACTCGAGGAAAGCTGGTCCGGCGTGCTGATTATTGTACATTTCCTCCTCGGTTCTCTGTCCGGATCTGCAGTAGAGCACGCCCACTTTGTATCTGACGAATGCAGCAATAAAATCAATTGGATTAAATCGTTCGCGCAAGGAGCAACGCGGAAAGAGTAAAATATGAGGGCACCTGTTGGACAATCCTTGCTCGTCGAGCCTCGCGACGGCCTCTTCGGCTGGCGGCGTTCCCAATCTGAGACAGCTCATCTGCACCTCCGGAGCCACCATCTCGAGAATCTCCCGCGTGGGGATCTTGCCGTTGGACGACTTGGAGCCGGGTATAGCCTCTTCGGGCACGGAGCCTCTGAGCGTCAGCAGCTCGGACGTCCTGATGATGATCCTGAACTGCTGGGTGTCTTTGCGCACACTAATCGCCACGGGTCCCAGCTGATCGTCCATGCCGAACCAGTTCTGGTGCTCGCGCCCGAGGAAGTAGCGCCTATAGTAGTGCGCGCCGTCGTCCACGCTCTCGATCGGCAGTGGTCGCTTTTGCAGCGGACACGTGTACTTCCAGAGGGTCTCGCCTGGCGCCGGCTCCAGCACACTGACACCGTAGGCCAAGGCCGGACGGTGCAGACCGTTGCCCTGGGGGCGACGCGTGAGGCCTACCTCGCGCTCGCCCTCGCCGCCTATTTCGTTGCGGAAGAACGGACACGACTCCAGGAGATCGTTACCTGTTCACCATTGCCACGCGATTAGTTACTCCAAGGCCTTTCGACGTTGCCGCGACGCTCGGTCGTCGTCGGAAACGACCTCGTGTCAATCGCACTGCTGCTTTCTGTGCTCTCTTATTCATTCAAAGTCATATTCGTGACAATACTCGGAGTAGGTCATTTTTGCCATCATTTTACATCATTTGTTTCAACTTTCAAAACTCATCGTTCGAACAAATCATTGAGACATAACAGCGAAGAACTCGATAAGGTACTGCATATACAGCAAAATATTGAACAAAAGCTCACGTTGTGCTCGAAAACAGCATTATTCTTGACGCAAGGCCAATCGGTTTGCGCGTCCGAATCGACTGTGGAGAATCGGGCCATAAACCGACCCGTCGGAAAAAGCTGCGATTACCTTTGCCATCGCCGGCATCCTCTTCGGGCGCCTCGTCCGGCGTGGATGCTCTGAGGCTACTGGCGGCCGACGCGCCGGTGGCCGTGTTCCTTCTCCTCGCCAGCAGAATGCCACGGAGCTTGGCCGCGTAGCCAAGATTGGCGGTGAGCGACTGGCAGTCGTAGTGTGCGAACGCGCGCCGCCTGTGCCTCTCCTCGAGGTCCGCCGACACGACCGGACTCGTGCACGGCAACTCCTCGCCGCTCGGCGTGTTGGCCGCGCTGCTCGTCCTCGGTGGCTTGTTGCTGCCCCACAGCCGGTTGAGCTTCAAGCGCAGCTTGGGACTGGAGCCGCTGGGCCCGCAGACCTCGTCCACGTCGACGTTGGCCGCCGATTGAGCGTCGCCGGCGTGCTGCTGGAGCTGCGGCTGTCGACGCATCATCAGATCCGAGGCCGTCGACCCGCGCAGACCGACCGTCGCGGGATTCTCCCCGGGACGGAAGTCCTGCAGCATCGCCAGCAGGTTGTCGCTCACGGACACCGACTGCGCCACCACGTCGATGCTACCTGTTGCATTTGGACGACGCACAAATTACGCACTGGTGGCTGTGTCTGCCAGATGTCGGGCTAGCTGTTCTCGGAGGGGCGATTCATCGTTTTGTGCGCGTCCGCAGTCGCGGCCTCGAGTAAAGTAACCTCTACGTGCACGTACGAGAAAGAGAGAGAGAGAGGACACGTACGGTTTTAAGAGTAGTATAACGTAGTGCAAAATGGTGTAATAGAATAGCCAGGTTATTAGGGTTGCCGGGTTGAATGAATACAATAGAAAATTCGAAGAGTACAAAAATTAAAAACTCAGTGGATTTACAACTAACCATTACGAACTAATTACTGACTAAAAACTGAAGAAGAACAACAGGCCTGACGGAGGTCGACGTAGTGCAGCGGCGCAACGGATAAATTAGCACCAACTTGAGTGATGAGAGAAATAGTAGTATTACAGTAAGTAGGCGAGTGGTCCCCGCAAGCAAGCCAGGAAAACGATGACGGGAGTCTTTTGAAAGGCACCTTCGGATAATTCTATTCGTAACCTCACGACCACTCGCCAGGAAACTATAATTAAGATAGCGACCAGATACCCTTAGATATACGCACATTGGACAAATAGCCGGGACTTGGAAAGAACGCTAAACGTCGGGAAGAGTCGACAGGGTATCTCGGTCATGCCTTCGAGCGAGACTTTCGACTCAAGTTACAGCAATTCAAGTAGCAACAGGAAAGAGAAAAGCCAAGGTTTGAATTCCCGTAGGCGTTCGCCAGAAAATTCCGTAACGCTTAAATCGTTGAACAACTCTCTCGCGCGAATCGAGAAGGATCTTTTCCAAGCCTCAATAAGTGGCGCTTTGTAGTGGAATGAAGTGGCTGAATTTCCGAAGGATCATCTGGCAATGATATTATAATCCCGGCTGCTGAGACGAGACGTCGAATAACGTGACAACGCCGTTGCAGACAATATGGTACATTAAATTGGTCATGATAAGATTCCTTATTGAGAAGAGGGTGCCACCTACTGCAAGGCGATGGAACTAAACGCGAGTAGTAATGCCGTTCAAATGAACAAAGGGAACGGATCCAACCACCAAACGTACCATGTATTCTGAGTAATTTGCAGTTGGTCAGTACGAGATTTGTCAAAATCCACCCAGATGATGATCGAAGCATAAGAGGAATGCGGGAACGCCAAAGTTTCCCATATGACTTTCCTTATTCTACGTGAGAGTGACTTGTAGAAATTGAGGGAATGGAAGGAACGATAGGCCTTCCCGACGAACTCGACTGAATTCCACTCCCATTATAGAGTGGTGAAGATAGGAAAGGGATTAGGTTGTCACCTACGATAAATTTGGTGAGGGCCTGTAAGTCAAATCTAGACTCGAATGTCTCGCTACCCAGAACAATCATCTTCGTCTTGGCAACATTCAGTTTAATCATATTGGCTTAATCCGTAACTGCCTGCGCATCAAGCTGAACTCTAGCTATCTCCTTCTCAATGTCACACGAGAGACATAGGTTTAGATATCATCAGCATAGAGGATATAGTGCGCAAATCAAATGACTTTTGGGATGTCAATCATGAATACCGAGGACATCCGAAGCATTACGTAATCACTCAGAGATTGCGCCAGCCATGTAACCACCGTCTGGATACCGGCCGAGAGATCGTCGAAAAACCAATCGAGAGCTGTATCTTGGACACTGAGATCGCGAAGCTTGCACATCAACAGCCCATGCAAAATGGAATGAAAGACCTTCAAGAGATAGATAGATAGATAGAACAAGAGAGAGGAAGAGAGACGTAAAGCAGCCCAAGATGGTGATCTTACACTGCTCCACGGCATAGCGGACGTTATCCAGTAGCCCCAAGAGGGTGGGCCCGATCGAATGACACCCCTCCAAAAATCAGTGTGCCTGGAATAGAGAAGACCGCTCGGCTGGAGGTATTGGAGAAACTACCGATGAACAAGGTGCTCCAAGAAGAACTTGGGGAGCCGCGCAATGGTATGCATGTCAGTGAGTGACCGAGGAGACGCAACCTCGTCGATGCCAAATCACACGCGAGCGTTCGATCGGATTTCTCCCGCTCGGCGCGCTTGCCTAGGAGTAACGTTTAACGCCAATGGACAACCTCGATACAACGCTCGGTCTTCGAACGAACTACAACAACCCCGATCGTCAGTCGTCTCGATTGCTTCGTATGCGACTATACGGCTAAGCGTAGGCATTCGTATCGTTTCCAGGCCCGTACTACTTAGCAAACACGAGCTCTCTCCTGCGCGTAGCGAGAGCAAGCGACTCGAAGGCGTTCAAGTTTAACGACGGCCACTCGTGCGGACGCGCGCACCGTTCCGCAATATCGGCGGTGTAAGCTGACGATCGCGCCTCGTTGTCCGATTGTCGAGTCTTACCATGCGAGCCGTACTCGCGTCGCAGCGGCGTCTCCGGTACGCGCGATGCAGGATCCGGACTGTGCGGCAGCTCCAGGCTGGAATTGGAACGGTGCAGGGCCATACCGCGACCTATGCGGCTACCTGGCCCCATCGCGTTGCCTCCTCCGCCGTTGCTCCCGTTCACTGCCAGGCTCGCGATCATCTCCTCATTCTGAAAGCAAAACAAGCGTTACATTGACGGGCGTTCGTTCACGACGGCATTTTATGTACGATCAGCGCTTTTCGGGATTTCCATTGCGGCTTGCCGTTCTCCCGCTCGGGACGAAACGGGGGGCCGTCGCTTATCGCACTCATCCGCGCAAAGTGGATTTGATTGACCGAGGCGTCGCGCGCGAGGCAACGTGGCGCTACGAGAGAGAGAGAGAGAGAGAGAGAGAGAGAGAGAGAGAGAGAGAAAGAGAGAGAGAGACGAGGGAGCATCGGCCGACAGGTGTTCCCCGTGGGGACTCGCTGCGCCGACACCACCCTTTCGGTTGATTACGTGCGCGACTTTTCATTAGTAGTCCCCGAAGTAGGAGCCGTCGCCCCCTTGCTAATTGCAACGCGAGAATGAATATTGTCTGCTTGTATATCGACGACGTGCGATACGAGAGAAGAGCAGGCGCGCGCGAGCTCGACCTCTCGCGGCCACGAGGTCGGACGACTGTTTTAATTGTGCGACGATTAGAGCTCGCGTACGTCATATGCCAAATATGCCAATTAGCACCGACTCGCTGTCGTTTTTCTTGTTTTTCCAACCGGCGATGCCCGTCGCCGATGAGAAAATGTTCGGACGTCGGCTCTCCCCGCGATCGCGCGCGCGCCCGTGATCTCAAATTGATAACGAGCGAAAAATTGCCCGACTCAATTTTCGTGCAGCGGAGACAAAGGAGATAGGCCACATCCGCATTGCTGTCGCCGACGAGCGACGGCAGCGCATCCGATATAATACTGGCGCCGTCTAGACTGCTAATACCGCTCCTCTCCTTGCCTCCTGCCTTTGTATGTTGAACGCGCGCTAATTAACTACTCACTACTGCGCTACTGGCCGCAAATTCGCTAGTTCGCGTCTCGACCGGTCCAAGACTCACTGCATTCGAGTCGACAAACACACGAGGGCTAGTACGAGCGATAAATCAAGCCTCGAACCGTCCTCCACGATCCTCGACCGATTAAGCTCATCGCGCAGATCGAAGTCGATAAATTACCGAGGCAATTAAATCAGCGCAGCTGGCCCAATAGCGGGTCATCCACAGTTCCGTGTCTGAGTCAGCGGCCCTCCGAAAAAAAAAAATAAATAAAAACCTTAAAAACGCGATCCCGAAACGCAACTACGTGCAGCTGCCACTGCTGCTGCTCGCCAGCATTCTAAGTGCGTTCCCGCGCACTCGACCGAAGTAAAGCGCCCCTCCCCCCCCCCCCCCCCCCCCCCCCGACACACTTGGCTACTCTTTCGAGACACGTTAGCGCTGACAAGGGCTGCTCGTGCGAGCCTCGGCGCTGGATGGACTTTTGCCCTGCCGGTCGACAGACCGGTATACGCCTCTCGAACGCGACTGCGGTCCTCCGCGAAGTCCGCGATAACGAACGGAGCTTCGTTCGCAAATTACTTAGCGACCGCTCAACGAAACGTTAATTACCGACAAATGTTGAGTATCGATCGAGCGACCATTATTCATTCGGACGCCGTTATCGGACGGCTAATCGCCCATTGTCGCGCCAGATTATCGGTCAATCGAAACAAGTAAGCAAGGCGATGCGGCCGCGACAGTAAAAGAGTAAGAGGAAGTTATAAATAAATTTGAAAAGACGACGAGCGTGAATCGATAAAAATTTAAAAACGCGAGTAGAGCTGCTGCTAATGATGCTGTTAAAAACCTTCGAGCCGATAACTGTAGTAGCGTCTGCTTCAAATACAAGCACTTCCGCGAAAAGCCGCTGCTATTGAATCTAAACGAGGTGTAGAAATCACTGTCGAGCAGAAGAGAGCTCGCGGACAGGTCTTAACGATTGGAGCTCGCGGCTCATTGTCGCGGATTCGTCCGCGGGAAGCTGGGCTTGCGCAACCAGGTGTCCAGATGCTCGCTGCGCGATTGTCGGGCGCATCGGTGCGACTGGTTTCGGCTGCCTCGTGATTCATTTCATTCGTTTCTCTCGTTTCTTTTTCATCGAACGAACGCGGCGCACCGTCAACCGAAGAAAAAAAAAATAATAAACAAGCGGCGGAAGCACTTACGAGAAATGCAAATGAGGCTCCAAAGGCGCCGAATATCGTGCCTACCGAAGTGTCTTCCTCCTTTTTCTCCGTGACTCATCTCGCGCGGAATGCGACCACGACATTCCCGCCCCCCCCAGCGCGCGCGATACAATTTCCGCAGCGCGTTTTCCGTTTGATCCCTTTTATTTTTCCAGACCCGCCTCATGCATTATTGATGGGCGGCGACGTTTTAGGCGTCCGGCCCGATACGATTTATACCGATCTGCGCGCGTGCGGGGAGGGGAAATTCATATTTATCTGTCGAACGGGCCGATGAGATTTTCGGCCGTCGCCCGTACACACGAGCGCTTCGGAAATTCGTCCTGCAACGCGCAACGCCCGTTCGAGGTTTCGCGCTTATGCGGCGGCGACCGCTGGTCGTGAAACCGGCACCAAACTTATTTATGCGCACGCTCGTCCCACGTCAACTGCTTAACGCTAGAGAGCGTCCATCGCGGTTGCTTGCAGCAACGGCACGCTGCCATCGATCGGACGGACACCTCGACGAAACACCTCTCGATCCCGCTGCGCAAAGTCGATTCTCTCTTAACTGCGCCGCGCGTGCGAGCGTCGGCTGTCCCAAGCTCATGCGTGCGCATAAGGCAAGTGCAACTATCTCTCTCGCGCATCTCGCGCGATAAAAGTCGACGGCACTGCTACTTGGTGCGACGCGTCGATTGAAATTTCGCTACGAGTTATACGCAACTTGTCCCTTTCGATCGGTGGGCGAAAGCGCGCGTTACGATAAGATTCGTCTTCCTCGCAAATAAAACCGGCGGTGCGCCTTAGATTAGATTTTGTTGCCAATCATTCAACGTTGGACTCGCTGGTTTCTTCTTGCTGGCACTTCACAAAGATATAATTTTTACGAGGACCACTATTATATGAAAGTACCGAATGAAAGAAAATTATTTTTACTATACAAAAGCTGTTTTGATAGCTTGATAGTCTCGAATTCAATGAAAATTGAGTTAACACTGGGGTTTCACTACTTATTTTTTACATTACGTAATTTAAAAGTCTAAAAGCGCAATCTGCATCCCATTACTCGCAATCGATCATCGGTCACTAAATTTCTCAAAAGGAAAATATACGTTCCGCCCCGTAAAATATCCTCTGATCAATCACCATCATTGAAGTAAAACGCTCGACCGCGAGCAGTTGTTACGTTCGTAACAAGCAGTAGCAAACAGGCCAGTGGAGTGAGTGGAGCCGTGCCTGTGTATAAGGTCGAGGGCCTGCAAATCCGGTCTCAAGCGGAAGTCAGGCGTGTCCGCCCTAAAAAGAGCAAAGCGGATGGACCGCGCGTATGTATACGTTCGGGGAGAAGGGAGTGCGCACACGGATAAACTGGCCTCGCGGCTCTCGCCGCTGCCGCGCATCTTCTAGCTGCCAGAGCTGATGCGCGCCTACTCCGATCTCTAAGGTCGCGCTGTTTCTCGATCAAACGCTTGGGCGGCCCGCTACCGAGGGACTTTGCGCCATCGCGAAAAGTATGAAAGCGAACCGATTGGCGCGCGTGCCGTACGCCAAGCGTCCCGGGCCTCTTATCTCCGCACTTGGAGCGGTTACTGGGAATCCCCTCAAGCGACTGCTTGTGTGCCCGGCGATTTCTTACGACCGCCCGAGACACATTCGGATGTCTGCATCGATAGGTTTTCACGGCTGAGCTGCCGCTCTGTCCTTGTCGTGCACGCTGGCTGCTATCGCGGGCCGTTCCGTTCTTTCTGGATCATGCGCTGCGCGCCACTTAACGTTACATTTTATACGATCGTTGACAAACAAGTGGTCATTATTACGAAATGATTTTGTTCATCGGCAATATAGACTCTATGCGTGTCAGTAATCAGGTAACAAATTGCGACTGCCACCACTGCCTTAAAATCTTACAAAAGTGGCGTATTACCACTACGATCACACGAGCCGACGAATCCATGCACGAGCCTCGTCATTCTTCTCAACTAAATATTTTTCAATTCGGTTGTTCCAGCCACAAGCAATTGAAGACACGAAAATCAACAACTCCTAAGACTAATAAACTCGCTTACGCTCGTCATCACCGGTGCGGGGTCTGCAACACTTCCGCAGTTTGTCTATACCAGGCACTCGTGGCGGGTGAAGAAAGGAGACAAGAAAAAAGAAGCGACCGGACGAGGAATCAAAATGCAAAGTTGCGACACGCGAAGAATACAAGTCTTATTAGCAGCTTTCAAGCTTGGCGGTGCGAGCGAACTAGTTATGCAAATGGGACACAGGCGCATTCTCTTCGATTCACGGGCAATTTGCAGCGGGAACGCGCGCGAGCGAAGCCGAACTGCCGCCCGACGAGAGCCACGGAGAGCGCGTGCCATCCCGAGATCGGGATGTGTCGAGCGAGCCGAATGGTGTTTTCCTCGACCGGCGCGAGGCCTCGAGCTAGCAGCCAACGGTGTCGTCCTCCCGTCGGCTCGGCGCGTCGAGCGCAGCAGCCTACGGAAAAGAAAACGCGCTCCCGTCGTATAACTGCTCCCTTGTCGCGGCGAACAACGATGCTTAGCGCGCGCCACTGTTGTCCAGTAGCCATTTTTAAGCGACTACCTGTGTTTATTTGAACTTAATGAAACTGAGAGTCCTTCATCGACTAATTAAAATTAATTAGCATTGGAAACTTATGCCGTAGGAAGTTGCAGAGAAATGAATAACAAAAGAACCAGTTGGGCTTGCGAAAGCCGATGATATCTATTTTAGCCGGGGCATAATAACCACGAGGATATGCTCATAAAAGCGAGATGGCCGCGCGCGCGCGCACGCGAGTTTCAACAAAGCCCGGATCTCGCTCGATAATGCAGTCATTGCGAAAAGGCTTCACAGTGCAGCGCACACGTCGAATGGCCAAAGTACACAAAAGATCGCGGATTGGTTTTCTTTTTTTCTTTTTTTTTTTTTTTTTTCGCTGGAAATACGATAAAATTCGGTCGCGTTTTTTCTCGTCGAGCGTTTTCACTTTGACAAATCAGAGCCAAAGGCAAACGAGCGCGCACCGCTATACAGCCGAGATTATTTGTGCGCGCAGAGAGAGAGAGAGACAGAGAGATGCACACCGACACGTCGCTCGCAAGTGTACAGGAAATCATGAGCGATTGTGTATGTATCCGTGCTCCTACGGGCCCGTACATTTTAAGCCGCCGCGGCATTGTTCCCGATCTTTCTGGCCTTTCTTCCCTCCTCATAATCAACTTCAACTTGTTTGCCGCTGTCTCCTGCTTGCGTTCCGGCTTTCATGTGGATCGGAGAGCTTTTTTTCTTCTTTCACGTACAACGTCACGTTTTCGTTTCGTGCGATCGATCTGGCCGCCTAGCAAACCCACGCCTTCCGTAAAAACTACAATTAAAGGTGAAACGGTCGTAGAAAGCTGCGTTACGCATTGTTAATCGGCTTTCATCCCCTTTCGATTTTCCATCGTCGCAATAACCCATATCGTCGTCAGCGCGAAATAACACACTGACACACTGAACTTTCTCTCTCCCTCGTTCGGTTTTTGCGCTCGCACTATGATTATTGCTCGTATGCCAACCGGGTGTGGCTTTTGGTGTCTTTTTTTTTCTCGTGACTGCAGTGTCGATGTAAGACTGGCTCTCGTCGGTGAATGTGGAAAATCAACGTGTTTGATGATCGGCTCCCGGGAAATGTGCAGTTGTAACGAGTAACGAGATTTCTTCGAAATTTTCTTTTATAACGGGTTTATTACCAGCCGAATTCTCGTTGTTTCCGTCATTCTTATACTGGAATTTTTTCTTTTGTTATCCTTGACGACTGCCGTTTGCTGATATTTCGAAAAAAAGATCAAATGAAATGCCGTCGGAAAAGTGACACAAAAGTAAGGTGTACCACGTGTTTCCGAGGAGGAATCACGCGTACGGACGAACTAAAAAAAAAACTAGTGGCACGCGGATACGTCAAAGTACTGTTGAATGACGCTATGTGTTGCGCGCGAGCTAAAACGAGGCAATAGAACGAGTACGCGGCAACTGCACGCTGAGAGAAACACTAAGGAGGACTGTCCGTCGACGTGTGGTATTTTACGCGCTGCCTCCTGCTTCACCTTCAAATATGTTGTTGGTCGCCCGCGAGCGATGAGCGCCGGTCTGAAAAATAGTACATTACGATACAAATGCGGGAAAGTAGAGCGAGGGTGGCAAGGTACACGAGACGAGAAACTCTTTCCCGAACATGTGCCGTACCGTATTTTTTGATACGACGTGTGGAAAGTGCGATTTTCAACGCACGTTTTCTGTAAGCGTGCGAGAAAGACGCATTTTGCGCACGGAGTGTCGAAATAGTACATTACGATACAAGTGCGGGAAAGTAGATTCTTGTCTCGTGTGGCGTTTACACCCGAGCGAGGCGAGGGTGGAAAGGTACACGAGACGAGAAACTCTTTCCCGAACATGTGCCGTACCGTATTTTTTGATACGACGTATGGAAAGTGTGATTTTCAACGCACTTTTTCTATCGAGTGTGCGGGAAAGACGCACTTTGCGCACGGAGTATCGAAAAAAATATATCGTGTCGGGCGTATCATGTCCCATTGCCTTCTCGTGGGCGCGTACGCACACTTGCCGATTGTATCATTGCAGATGAATGACATAACGCGAACGACGATGACTCATCGCGATGTTCCTTTTTTTTAGCATTTCGCACGTGCGAACGCGTTTCCCTGCTGATAAACATCGAATTTCTCGCGTCAGTCAAACCTGCAGTAGTTTGTTCTCAAGGATGCACTTAAAACACTGGCTGGCGGAAAAAAAAGAGAATTGTGCATTTATGTATCCTGCACGAGACTTTCTCTCTCTCTCTCTCTGTCCCGTCGGATTTCCGGCGTAAAACAATGACAGGCGCGCGCTCACAGCGGAAAATCGCTCGGCAGAACGATGTATGAATTATTGATAAGTTTAAGAGGGAGAGAGAGAGAGAGAGAGAGAGAGAGAGAGAGAGAGAGAGAGTTTTTCCTGCGTA